CTGTTTCCTTCCCCAGATTTGGGAAGTTTTCAGCTATTATTTCTTCACATAAATTCTCTGTCCCCTTTTCTCTCTCCCCTTCTTCTTCTGGGACCCCCTGTAATACAAATTTTATGTTTGATGTTTTCACTGAGTTCCCTAAGTCTGTTCTCGTTTTGCATAATTCTTTTTTCTTGTTTTTGTTCAGTTTGATTACTTTCCATTACTCTTATCTTCTAGGTCATTAATTCATTCCTCTGCTTCTTCCAGCATGCTATTCCTTGCTTCAAGTGTGTTTCTCATTTAGTTTATTGAGCCATTTATCTCTGTTATGTTCTTTCTTTTTCTTTTTCTTTTTTTTTAAGATTTTATTAATTTGAGAGAGAGCATGCCTGTGCACATGAACGGGGGGAAGGGGCAGAGGGAGAAGCAGACTCCCTGCTGTGCAGGGAGCCTGATGCGGGTCTCGATCACAGGACTCTGAGATCATGACCCGAGCTGAAGGCAGCTGCTGCCTAACTGACTGAGCCACCCAGGCACCCCTCTGCTATCTTATTTCTTATCTCTGTGTTAATGGTCATTGATGTCCTCTACTCTTTTCTCAAGTCCAGTGAGTATCCTTATGATCATTGCTTTAAATCCTCCATCAGGCATGTTACTTACATCTGTTTTGCTTAGATCTCCAGCCATGGCCTTGTTTTGTTCTTTAATTTGGGACAAATTCCTCTGTCCTCACATTTTGTCTAAGTCTCTGTGCCTGTTTCTGTGTGCTAGGAAAGTCTGCTACGTCTCCTGTTCTTGAGGGTAATGATTTAATGAAGAAGAGGTCCTGTAGTGCCCTGCAGTGTAGCATCCTCTGTTCCCCAGGGCCCGCGCTTCTGGGAGTGTGTCCAATGTGTGCTTCATGCACTCTGCTGTTGTGTCCTGGCTGCTTTATGCTTCAGGCCAGTTGTCTGCAGATGCTCTCTTTGTCTTTTTGTCTTTTGTGGACAGTGTTTGGTTCCTGGCCTGAAAGTGGTGTGCCCTGGTCTGCTTGTGAAATGACACCTGTCACCACCGCCACCAGAGTTGAGACCCCACTATACTCCAGGGTTGGGAGATGTGTTGTGAGCAGGGATTTGGGCTGGTCTTTCAGGGAAGGGGGCTCACCATGCTGGGACTGAGGCAATATGACTGGGAAGGGTAGTTTTTCCAGAGTGTGAGGGGGCAGGGCTTGTTCTAAGCAAGTTAGGTAGCAAGTGTGGGTGCTGTGCTGTTTCCCGCTTGTGGCTGTGTTTATGCTGAGGGGTGAGGGAGGGAAATGGTGCTGGCCAGTTCCTTTGTTTCTGGAGGGGTCTCTCTGTCAGTGCTGCTTCTCTGGGACACAGTCTGAGATGAGCAACTAACTTCCCCATTATGTGCTCCAGGTACTCTTTGGATCACTGTTTTCCATGCTGCATGTCTCTGGGCTGTTTGCCCTGCCTTTTCTCCAAGAGCAGCCCCAGTGTCCTTTGAGCTCTCCCAGAGCCAAGTACACTGACCTTTAAAACTCTAGGCTTTAAGCCCTGCTGGTTAGAAGAACTCATGAAATTTGGGCCCTCTTGCTTTCCAAGCCAGTTGCTCTGGCGGTTTGTCTTCCCTGTGCACTCCCCTCTCTTATCTGTTTCTCACCCTTCTCCACAACCACAGTCCTCTCTCCTCCTCAACATCCATGATTCGTTTCTCTTCCAAAGTGCGTCTCTGCATTTCCTACCTTCTTTGATGTGACTTCTTTTCTACTTTTAGTTGTGGAGTATGTTCTGCCAGTCTTCAGGTGTATTTAGGATAATTTGATAGTTATCTATTTGTATTTGTGGGATGAGACCAGCCTAGGGTCCTCCTACTTCACCTCCATCTTCCCCTCAATGTGGACCTTGCTGCATTCTTATGGTATTATGTAAATATTCTTCTAAGTTGTTAATTAAAATTACAGGCTTGAACAGATTTAGGTTCATTATGTATTCTTTTTTGGCAAGACTGCTTTGTAAGTGGGAGATACATTATGCCTAATTATCCAGTTATGTTTTTAAACCTTCAGTTAGAACTTTTAATAAATTTTCATTATGTTTGGATGTTTATCAGTTGTTTTAGTTTAGCATTTTTTTTGAAAATCTGGAACTTTTCATTCATTAATTACCTGTTAAATATGAGCTAATATAAGCTTTTCATGCATATAAGCTGTTTCATGCATAAAGTTATAAATGTATATTCTGTACTTTTAAGTCACTCTGCCATGCCATTGGAAATCTTACTGTATATAACATCTATCCATTTTTCTTTGTGTTTAGTCATAGATCCATCTAACTGTATTGTTCAGCACCGTTTTTTTCAACTGTCTACAAGTTATCTTCCACAGTTCTGTTAATTTTTTTGCTGTATTAAGATATGAGTGTCCTTGGCATTCATTTTATTTATTTAAGAAATTGATTTATTTCCTATTTAACACACACCAGATGTTAGTGGTTACCACTCCTTATTCAAGGGTTGCATTTAGTGATGTGCCAGTAAATATTTAAGAAGAGGCTCTGTTGGGGGTGGGGGGAGGGCCCTTATTGGCAGTATTTGCTAATTTCCAAGGTGTAAACACTCCTGCTGTGGCTGGTTTCAGATTATCTAGGTGATGCCACTGAATGCAGAGGTAGGAATAGATGTGCATCATCAGCTCTAGTTAGTAATTCTCCTATTCCACCACCACTGTGATAGCTGAAGCACTTACTTTGTGCTATCTTAGTAAAAGTGTAAGCGGGGGCGCCTGGGTGGCTCAGTCGTTAAGCGTCTGCCTTTGGCTCAGGTCATGATCCCAGGGTTCTGGGATCAAGCCCCACATCGGGCTCCCTGCTCAGCAGGAAGCCTGCTTCTCCCTCTCCCACTCCCCCTGCTTGTGTTCCCTCTCTTGCTGTCTCTCTCTGTCATATAAATAAATAATCTTTAAAAAAAATTAAATCTAAAAAAAAAGTAAAAGTGTAAGCATTTTATTTGAATTAACATAACTCTATGAGGTTACTGTTCCCATTTTATAGATAAGACCCAGATTAAGTAATTTACTAAAGTAATAGAACAAGATTTGAATCCAGATTTTGTTTCTTCATAGTCCTTGCTCTTTTTTTTTTTTTTAAAAGATTTATTTATTTGACACAGAGAGAGAGCACAAGCAGGGGGAGTGGCAGGGAGAGGGAGAAGCAGCCTCCCCGCTGAGCAGGGAGTCCAGTGCGGGGCTCGATCCCAGGACCCTGGGATCATGACCTGAGCTGAAAGCAGATGCTTAACCAACTGAGCCACCCAGGCACCCCACCCCAGTCCTTGCTCTTTCAAAGATCAAAAATGTAAAGAATCAAGTTAGTCACAAGTGGTAAGGAAAAAAATGGCAGAGGTTCTAAAGGGAAGTACCAGAACATAGCTGTTCTCTACAAGCCAAGGAGAAAATTCTGGCCTTCAGGAAACTTTTTTTTTAAGATTTTATTTACTTATTTTTTTTTTTTTGAGAGAGAGAGAGTGCAAGCTGGGGAGGAGCAGAGGGAGAGGGACAAGCAGTCTTTGCGCTGAGTGCAGAGCCCGACACAGGACTCGATCTCATGACCTGGAGATCATGGCCTGAGCCAAAATCACGAGTCAGATGCTTAACTGACTGAGCCACCCAGATGCCCCAGGAAATATTTAAAAATATACAGATCTTCCTTGACTTATGATGCGGTTACAGCCTGATACACCCATTCTAAGTTGAAAATATTGTAAGTCAGAAATGAATTTAATACACCTAAACTACTGAACATCATAGCTTAGTCTAGCCTACCTTAAACATGCTCAGAACACTTAAACAGTAGCTTACAGTTGGGCAAAGTCATCTAACACAAAGCCTATTTTATAATGAAGGGTTGACTCTCTGATGTAATTTATTGACTACTGTAGTGAAAGTGCGAACAGAATGGTTGTATGGGTACAGAATGATATAAGTGTGTTAGTTGTTTGTCCTTGTGATTTTGTGGTTGACTGAGAGCTGCCACTGTCCATTATCACAAGACAGTATCTTAGTGCATTATCTGTAGCCCAGGAAAAGATCAAAATTGGAAGTATGGTTTCTAGAATGTGTATTACTTCTGCACCATCATGAAGTTGAAAAACTATAAGGCAAACCATAGTTAAGTTGGAGGCCATCTAGTACTAGTGTAGATAAAAATAGCTTCTTTAAGGAATTACTCTGGTTTGCAAAAGCAGATCACTTGGACCAGTATAAGTCTAGAGTGATACCCAGGATCAGACTTTGCCTCTAGAACTTTACATGTGACTGTGGCTACTGTATTGGACAGCATAGATATTGGACAGTGATGCTCTAGAGTGAAGCCTACCCATGGTCAGTCATGCTTACTCTTTTTGTTATGTTCCCGAACTTCTGCCAGAATAATACTTCTTCATGTTTTCCCTTTGACTCTGACTTTGGTGGCCCTCAGCCAGGGTAACTACCTTATTTTCCACTTATATACTGTTGTATCCAGATCCAAATGCCAAAATTAGTAATTGCTCATTTCTTTCTCTCTCTCTCTCTCTTTTTTTTTTTTTTAAGTAAACTCTACGTCCAGTGTGGGGCTCAAACTCACAAACCTGAATCGCATGCTCTAGTGACTGAGCCCAGCCAGGTGCCCCAGTAATGACTCATTTCTTATCTTCTTCATTATAAGGAAAAATTTTTAATGTTTAAGAAGATTAACAAATGGGGGCGCCTGGGTGGCTCAGTCGTTAAGTGTCTGCCTTCGGCTCAGGTCATGATCCCAGGGTCCTGGGATCGAGCCCCGCATCAGGCTTGCTGCTCAGCGGGAAGCCTGCTTCTCCCTCTCCCACTCCCCCTGCTTGTGTTCCCTCTCTCGCTGTGTCTCTCTCTCTCTCTCTCTGTCAAATAAACAAAAATCTTAAAAAAAAAAAGGATTAACAAATGTAACCTAAAACATTTATACATTTTAAAATTAGGCATTAAATACAATATTCTTATTTCTTTTTATTAAATAATTAAGGAGGAGAAAGTTCAGGCCATGCCAGTCCATCTCAGGAGCCTGGTGGATGTTCAAATCAGAGACCTCCGGAGGACCTCACTGTCAGAGTGGAAAGGTTTGCTCTTATTTTTGCAAATAGTATTTTTAAAATAGAGAGTGGTTTTCAGTTACTTAATTAATTTGAATAAAAGTTAAAATTACACAAATGAAGTTTCAGAATCTTGGGTTGAAATTTTTTATTTCCTGGCCAACTTATTTGTATCCATAAAAACTATATTCTACAAATAAAGTTGGGTATCTGAAGTCATCAGTCACCTTTAGGTCTGATCAGCCTAAGAATCTCTTTCACTGGTTTTTGGTACATGTGTGTTTCTCTCCATCACTTCTGCTTTTAACACTCTATGCCATAGGATAGTAAGTTCCAGGTGGGAAGAACTTCAGCTACTTTTATGACTGTACTGAGTCTTGGTTTTGCATAAGTGGGTGTCTGTTAAATGTCATGTGTTATTAGTTGGTGTAATAATCAGATACAGATTTCTGACTTTTTGTGGTTTGTAGTTTAGTATTTTTAATAACAGAAATTACCAAATTAGAGTCCTTTATAGTATGATTCTTTTTTTTTTTTTTAAAGATTTTATTTGACACAGACACAGCAAGAGAGGGAATACAAGCAGAAGGAGTGGGAGAGGGAGAAGCAGGGAGCCCGATGCAGGGCTCGATCCCAGGACTCTGGGATCATGACCCGAGCTGAAGGCAGATGCTTAAGGACTGAGCCACCCAGGCGCCCCTATAGTATGATTCTGAAGTTACATGAATTGTAAATGGATAAAGCAGGAATATTTTTTGATCCTGACCTAAAACAACTTAGTGTTATATGGAAGTTAAAATTCCTTAGATTTGAGTTTCTTGTCCACACAGATGCTATGGGGAAACAAGTTTCAGAATGACTACTGACATTGGGCATTTGGGTTTGCTCATGACTGAGAATCAGCTTTATTTCAGCAAAACCTAGATTCTGATGGTTCTTTGTAGGAGTCACGGCAGGGCCAAGATCTTGAGCTAAAAAGGATAGATTTGCTCACGGTGGTGAGAAGAGGTAGAAGGCTCAAAGAATATTAGCAGGGAACCAAAGTTCACCCAGTGGTTCATCCTCTTTGTTTCATTCTGTTTTGCTAACACCAAGTCCCATCACTGGGCATCTTTATTTGCACCACCTTGGGGGGAAGTGACAAAAGGTCAGAAAAGGATTTGGAGACTTGGGGGGAATGAGAAGACACACAGCAGATATCCCTTCATTGTAGGGTGGGCTTACGTGCTATTTAATTGCAGTGTGAAAGGGGAGTTTCTCTTGTTTCATAATAGCTTCCAACCAGGTCCCCCTTCCATTCTTAAGTAAGAGCGTGTCTGCCCCTGTCTGCCTATATGGTTTATCTGCCTATGGTTTATGCTATAAACAAATATACCATCTTTAATTAAAAGAAACTACGCTGGTGTATATGTGTTATATATAGTATATTGAGTCAGATAAAGACAGTTTAAGACATAGAAGAAAACATTTATATTAATATCTATGAAAGGGAAATTAAGGGATTTTTTCTTTGCTTTCTTCTGAGGTTGCCAAACTGTCTTCATTGAGCATTGTTACTTTTATAATCGCATATCAGGATAGAGTGGGTCTACAAGTTGTTTGAGATCCTTAAACTGAAAAAAACTTCAAAGCACTCTTGGAGATACATACATGTATATTTTTTTAAACCATATACTGTTAGAACCCGTTACATGAAATGTATGTGGGCTAGGGCCTTTTAAAAAAGGACACTAGTGTTAAAATTGGATGAAATGTTGGCATACTTACAAATGGAACAGTTTTCATTGGGAAGTAACTGTTCTCTGTTTAAACAACTTTTGAAAAATCCAGGTCATATAATTAAACCATAAAAGCATTTCAGATTGTTGTTGAGATTAATTTATCAGACTCAGCTAACCAGTAAAGCCTAGGTGCTAATATAGATTATTTCCTACACTGTGGTCCTGTATTTTATTCATCTGAGTTGTAACCTATTAGGAGTTTTGTTTCTTTTATGGAATTGGATTCACTGACAATGACAACTAAAAAAAATAGCCTATATAATATTCCTATCCCAAATGGCATCTTAGCTCATCATTTTACCCTTCGGGTGGCCTTCATCTCCATCATCCCTTGTCATAGACTCTGTAGTGCTTTTATGCCGTTGACTTACCCATCTTCTTTTTTTTTTTTTTTTTAAGATTTTATTTATTTGACAGAGAGACATAGTGAGAGGGGGAACACAAGCAGGGGGAGTAGGAGAGGGAGAAGCAGGCTTCCTGCGGATCAGGGAGCCCGATGTAGGACTTGATCCCAGAACCCGGGGATCACGACCTGAGCTGAAGGCAGACGCTTAACGACTGAGCCACCCAGGCGCCCCGACTTACCCATCTTCTGCAGGTTATTCGGTTCTGAAACCCTAATGTACTGCTAGTTTTCCCTGGCCCATAGAACTGAGCTGCAGTGCTTTTTCGCAGCCCAGATAAATGTGACACATCAAATACCTATGGTGTAATCTGATACTTATAGAATTTTGTAATACTAAGCTGTGTGAAGCAAAATATATATACATTTTTCTCTAACTTTGAATATATTTTAAAATTTCTGTCCTACAGATTAAAAATTCAGCCTTGGGCGCCTAGGTGGCTCAGTCGTTAAGTGTCTGCCTTCAGCTCAGGTCATGATCCCGGGGTCCTGGGATCGAGCCCCGCATCGGGCTCCCTGCTCGGAGGGAAGCCTGCTTCTCCCTCTCCCACTCCCCTTGCTTGTGTTCCTCTCTCGCTGTGTCTCTCTCTGTCAAATAAATAAAATCTTTAAAAATGGTAATAATAAAAAAATAAAAACTCAGCCTTAAAATTTGGCAGGTTGGATTATTAAATATAGGATTCTCATCATCCTCTCAAGCCATAACATGTGTTTCCAGAGACCAAGTTTCTGGAAAACTAAGTACTTCCCACTAGATCTTAGGCTTTTTTCTCATCTGGCTTCAAGGAGATGGAGTTTTGTTAGGTGAAAAGGTGACTACATCAAATTGATGTCAGCTCAGAAACTCATCCTATCCCATACATATTAAGAAAAAAATCTGGGGCGCCTGGGTGGCTCAGTTGGTTGAGCGTCTGCCTTCGGTTTGGGTCGTGATCTCAGGATCCTGGCATCAAGCCCTGCATTGGGCTCCCTGCTCAGCGGAGAGCTTGCTTCTCTCTCTCCCTCTGCTGCTCCCCTTGCTTGTGCCCTCTCTCTGTCAAATAAATAAAGTCTTAAAAAAAAAGAAAAAAAAACTGTCTTAAAGGGAAGTAAACTTGATTTTTTAAGAAACAGATTGATGATTTGTAATTGTGAGATCTCAATTTTTCTTAATATTAATTAAAACGTATACAATTTTATTTTCAAAGCTAAAAGATGTGAAACTTGAATCTTTTTTTTTTTTTTTTTTAATAATGTCTATGCCCAGCGGTGGGGCTCGAACTCACGACCCTGAGATCAAGAGTTGTATGCTCTACCAACTGATCCAGTCAGGTGGCCCTGAAATTTGAATCTTTTAGCGACTCACATGAAAAGATAAATCTTTAGTTAAATTTTGCTTATGTTTTTATGTCATTATGTTTAAAAATTGGCAGAATTCTCTGGGAAAGATAATAGATATATTATCAATTAATTCTACCATCAATTCCAACCTTTTTTTGGGGAAAGGTTTCAAGCCTGAAAAAGTTGAAAGAATAGTATAATGACCTTTTTTTTTTTTTTTTTTGCCAATTTATTTGAAAGTTGCAGACATCATTTTCATTTTACCCTAAATACTTCAGTGTGTATCTCCTAAGAATAAAAACATTGGCTGAGATTTTATGGGCTCGGAGCAGGGGCTACAGCCTAGGAAGGGGCCTGGGAGTCTCTGCCTACTGATTCATGCCCTACCCCATTCCTCAGGCCAATGAACACAATTTAGCAGTGGATTCCTGGATGCAGGAGTGATGAAACAGTCAATAGTTATGTCATTGAGTAAGATGCAATGGGCTTTTCAACTAGATTAGAACAAAATAACATCTGTTTTTCTCAGAAGAGAATTCTGCAAGTGGCATGTAATTAAAGACATTTTCAGATATTAGTATAATCCCATTGTCACACTCAGATTATAAATACATGATACAGTAAGATTATCTGATAAGCAGTCATTCAAATTTGCCCAGTTATTTCAGTAATGTCCTTTATAACTTTTTTTCCCCTGATATAGGATCCATTCAAGGATCATTCATTGAATTTAGTTTAGTCTCTTTTAATTCAAAACATTTCCTTTGTTTTGTTTGTTTTTGTTTTTATGTTTCATGACTTGGACATTCTTTAAGTGTCTAGGCTAATTGTTTCTAGAATGCCTTTTTTTTTTTTAAGATTTTATTTGTCAGAGAGAGAGAGTGCGGGAGCGGCAGGCACAGAAGGAGAAGCAGGCTCCCCACTGAGCAGGGAGCCCGATGCCTGGGATCATGACCTGAGCTGAAGGCAGATGCTTAACCCACTGAGCCACCCAGGCATCCCGGTTTCTGGAATGTCCTTTGATTTGGTTCCTGTTTTATCATTCTAGGTTCAGGTTAAAGTATGAGAACATTACGTAGGTAATGTTTGTCTTTCTCATTACTCACATTAGGAGGCACCTGATATCAGATGTTTGCATTATTGGTGATGTTAAGTTTAATTATTAATTAAGATGGTGTCTGTTGGATTTCTTGATTATAAATATGCCCTTTTCCCTAATTAATAAGTATCTATAGGGTGATTCTTTGAAACAGTGAATATGCTGTTCTTCAAAAGCTTTTACCCGGTGGTTCTGGCATCTATTATTTTTGCTTGGATCAGTTATTTCATTGGTAGTTGAAAATGGTGATTTTTTTTTTCTAGTTTTATACCTTCTAATTTTATACCTTATACATTTTTTAGTTAGCATTCTTCTGTAGAGAACTGCTTTGATCCACCTCTTCCTACTTTCTTTCCCCTACCTTTTTTTCAGTAAACTTACTAGACACCAGCACCCAGATCAAGAAATAGAAAATTACCAGTGTACTCCAAACACTAGGGGCCTGAGAACCCCTTCACAATGAGTACTTTCCTCCCCAAAATAACCACTGTCCTGCATCTAACACCATAGCTGAGTTTTGCCTGCTCATAAACTTCATGATGGAATCACCACATGTTCTCTCTCTGCTCTCCTTTGCTTCAGCTCTTTTGTGCTGCTGCTTGTGGCAATAATTGGTATACTCTTGTTGCTGTATAGTATTCTTTTATTTGACTGATTCATTCTTTTTTTTTTTTTTAAGATTTTATTTATTTGACAGAGAGAGATAATGAGAGAGGGAACAGAAGCAGGGGGAGTGGGAGAGGGAGAAGCAGGCCTCCCACGGAGCAGAAAGGGTCATAAACACTTGCCAAACAGTTTTCCAGAGTGGTTGTACCAGTTTATAACTCCCCTCAGCAGTAAGACATTTTATGGATCCTTTTTTTCCTCTGCATTACAGTTCACTTCTCTTACCATTCTTTTTGGTGCACACATTACCGTTGATTTGACTAGTGACATCCTCTTCATTCTTGCTCTTCTGTTCTTTGATGTATGTCCCCATCATTCTTTGAGCACTCCCTTGATTTCTGGTTCAGGTTGTTTAACTGAGCTAAAGAAACACTTATACTGTGTAACTGAAATCCCTCTGAGAAAGTACCATTAATTTTTAAAAATTGAAGTAATTAGATATCACGAAACTCATAGTGGGTTTTAATGTATTCACTAGGTTTTGCAACCATTACTACTGTTTGCTTTCATAATTGTTTTTAATTGATGAACTTCTTAGAGTTGGGAATCAGTTTTGGTATTTTTATAAATGCTAGCCTTCAGTTTTTTGCTTTTACTTTTAACATTTGTGCTATATTGTTGTTTACTTCTGTGTGACGGTAGCATTTGTAACTCGTTAATTTATGTACTTATTTGAAGATGTGTATGTATGTTTTTAAATCAGTATCAGATATATCGGTGGGGGAAAGGAAAACTAATGGTTAAGTAGGAGGTGGAACTAGGCTTCTAAAAGGCTCCCACTGACTGATAATGGATTTCTCTTGGGGCCGGAGGCCAGGCGGATGAGTTGCTCCTTTGCCTGCAGGAGCTTTTTTTGTTTGTTACTTCATTTCCCAGTTGTTTTTAGTGAAAGGAATCTCCCATTTGTTTATTATATTAATAAGATGTGTCTCCATTAATGTATTTTTTTTTTTTAACTTTTTATATACAGACTCACTAAAAAACTCGAAGAAAGAAGAGAAGAGAAAAGGAAAGAGGAGGAACAGGTAAAGTTCACGTACATCATCATTTTACTCTTCCAGTAAGTGAGGGAATGTTTGATTCCCTGCTCAATTTGGCAGACCTTGGATGGCTTTCTGGTTACAGTTGAGTGTTGAAGCATAGTGAAGGGAATTACGTGGCTTCCTTAGTAGGATCATAGTGTATACTTTTTTGTAAATTGCTAGGAATAAGTTTGATCATCTTTTTTACCCCTGCAGTGAGTCTTTTACACTAAGAATAAAGGGAATTGAATTAAAATTGTATTATTTTGATGCAGATGAAATTCTTAGTTCCTTTTTATGCAAAAGAAATTTGTAGACATTTTGCTGAATTTTCCCTCTGGTGTTGCCACATTGTGGTACACCATTCATTTTTCTCATCGTGTGCCCCTAAACTACATCATCTCTTTGAGGTTGTAGTATCAGAAAGTTATCAATTCTTTATGCCAAATAAATGACTACCTTGTATCCTTAGAGGGTAACATTTACTTTACAAACCAAAGACCTGTAATTCTTTTTTCAAATCACATCACAAATTATATCATAAGCTTAATAGAAATGCTAAGATTTGTAAGTTGATAGACACTTGACCTTTAACTCATACTGTTAATAAATTCTCTAGACCCTTATATTTTACAAAGTTATTTTATTCCTTTAGCTGTGCCCTACAGCCAGCTCATATAAAATAATACCTAAGGTGGATTATTAAGTTGTCTTTTGGGCTCATAAGACTTACCCTCTCTTTAATTTAGAGAGAAATTAAGAAGGAAATTGAGAGGAGAAAAACTGGAAAAGAAATGTTGGATTATAAAAGAAAACAAGAAGAAGAATTAACAAAAAGAATGTTAGAGGAAAGAAACAGAGAAAAGGCAGAAGATAGGGCAGCTCGAGAACGTATAAAACAGCAGATTGCGTTGGTGAGTAGTAAGTTTATTTTTAATGCTTGACTCTTGTGCAATTGTTTTCCATGCACAGTGGTTTTGGTTTACTACCAGGCCATGAACACAAAAATATTAGATTTTAGTGACTCAAAGAGTACCAATTTTCAGCTTCCTTTTAGTAGAAATTGTATATTGGATAGCTACCGGCCAACTCTTGATTTTGGCTCAGGTCGTGATCTCACTGTTGTGAGATTAAGCCCTGTGTCGGGCTCTGAGCTGGCCTCTCCCCCTCCAAAAAACCATAAAATATAGTTAAAATTGGGGGGCATGCCCGGGTGGCTCAGTCCTTTAAGTGGCTGACTCTTAATTTCGGCTCAGGTCATGATCTCAGGGTTGTGAGATCGAGCTACACTTTGGGCTCCATGCTGGGCTTGGAGCCTGCTTAAGACTCTCTCTGTCCCTTTCCCTCTGCCCTCACCCCCTTTAACAAAAAAAAAAAAAAATTAAAAATTGGGATTGGATGAAGAAGTAGTATATATATATATGTATATATATATATATATACACACACAATGGAATATTATTCAGCCATAAAATGAATGAAATCTTTTTTTTTTTTTTAAGATTTTTATTTTTATTTGAGAGAGAGAGTGAGAGAGAGGGAGTACATGAGAGAGGGGAGGGTCAGAGGGAGAAGCAGACTCCCCACTGAGCAGGGAGCCCGATGCGGAACTCGATCCAGGCACTCCAGGATCATGACCTGAGCCGAAGGCAGTCGCTTAACCGACTGAGCCACCCAGGTGCCCAAAATGAATGAAATCTTGCCATTTGCAACAACTTGGATGGAGGTAGACAGTATTATGCTAAGTGAAATAAGTCAATCAGAGAAAGACAAATACCATATGGATTTCACTCACATGTGGAATTTAAGAAACAAAACAAATGAGCAAAGGAAAAAGAGAGAAACCGAGAAACAGACTCTTAACTCTAGAGAACAAACTGCTGGTTACCAGAGAGAAGGTGGTCGGGGGGACGGGTGAAATAGGTGATGGGGATTAAGGAGTGCACTTGTCGGATGAGCACCAGGTGATGTATGGGGTTGTTGAGTCACTATACTGTACACCTGAAACCAATATAACTATGTTAATTATATTGAAATTAAAACAAAAACTTGATAAAAGATTAAAATTGAGATGATTTTTTTCAAAGTAATTTTTCTCTATGTTATGAATTTTATCAGTAGTCAAATGTAGTTTTCAAAAATTCCCTAGGGATGTGAGGGCGATCTGGCTGCCACATCTGTCATGCTATTTGATTGCCAGGGTTGATTCAGATAATCTGGCTGGCTAGGTGTGTGTCCCCTTCCTCCATCGCTGCTCCATGTGTGTCCTTTCTGAAGCTGCGCTCCCCTGCTAGAACCTCTAAACAAGCTCCCAAGGTCCATTTGTAGAAGAACGTAGTTAGGCTTCCAAGACTCAGACACATCCAAATGAGGTGCTGCATGTGGCAGTCTGCCTTTCTTTAAAAAAAAAAATCCCTAAAAAAGAAGCTTAGAACTGGTTATGTAGCATTCTCCTGTAGTCACAACTGTTCTTTTCTGGGACATTCAAAAGATATAGACATCAAGTAGGTTAAGATGGTTTTGCAACAACTGCTTTTATTTATTTATTTATTTTAAAAGATTTTTAAAATTTATTTGACTGAGAGATAGAGAGCACAGATAGGCAGAGTGGCAGGCAGAGGGAGAAGCAGGCTCTCCGCTGAGCAGAGAGCCCGATGTGGGGCTCGATCCCAGGGCCCTGGGATCATGAGTTGAGCTGAAGGCAGGTGCCCAACCGACTGAGCCACCCAGGTGCCCCGCAACAACTGCTTTTAGAATTAAGTAGTTATAATACATACGAAAGCCATGTCTACTTAATAATATTGTTCATTTGTTTATGCAACAAATATTTGTTGATTACCTACTGTGTGTCAGATCTTTTTCTAGGCTCTGGCGATACAGTAGTGACCAAAATCAAGTCCTTGTTTGTTTAATAAACAACTTCGCTGGTCTCTGATAGTTCATAAAACTAAAAAATACCAGATCCAGAGTGATAAAGTTTACAGATGGCTTTAAGAAATCTCATATGCTAGAGCTACCCTATGACCCAGCAATTGCACTACTGGGTATTTACCCCAAAGACACAGATGTAGTGAAAAGAAGGGCCATATGCACCCCAGTGTTAATAGCAGCAATGTGCACAATAGCCAAACTGTGGAAAGAGCCGAGATGCCCTTCAACAGATGAATGGATAAAGAAGATGTGGTTCATATATACAATGGAATATTACTCAGCCATCAGAAAGGATGAATACCCAACTTTTACATCAACATGGATGGGACTGCAGGAGATTATGCTAAGTGAAATAAGTGAAGCAGAGAAAGTCAATTATCATATGGTTTCACTTATTTGTGGAACATAAGGAATAGCATGGAGGACATTAGGAGAAGGAAGGGAAAAATGAAGGGGGGAAATCAGAGGGAGAGATGAACCATGAGAGACTATGGACTCTGAGAAACAAACTGAGGGTTTTAGAGGGGAGGGGGGTGGGGGGATGGGTTAGCCCAGTGATGGTTATTAAGGAGGGCACGTACTGCATGGAGCACTGGGTGTTACACGAAAACAGTGAATCGTGGATCACTACATCAAAACCTAGTGCTGTATTATATGGTGACTAACATAACAAAATAAAATTAAAAAAAAATACCGCATATACATTTGTGTTTGTTCCTTCTGTTTAGAAATACGTGAATAGATCATTCTAGCAGTGAAAGATAATTAGTGTCTAATACCTGTTTTAAAGGACCGTGCAGAGAGAGCTGCTCGTTTTGCAAAGACAAAAGAAGAAGTAGAGGCTGCTAAAGCTGCTGCTTTGCTGGCCAAACAGGCAGAAATGGAAGTCAAAAGGGAGTCTTCTGCAAGAGAAAGAAGGTACTTTATTTCCTGCTAAGTTATCTGTGCGTACATAGCCGCTGAGGAGAACAGCAGTTGTGAGTTGCTTTTTAACACTATTGTGTGCTGTGGCTATAGTAAGTAGTTCCAGGAGGATGTAATGACCAGTGTGGCAGTTGCCAGTGATATTTGTCATTGAATGTGAGTGTGCAGTGTAACAGTACAAAATAAGTCACTTCTAAAAGAAGGCTCAAGAAATCTATTTTCAAAAGACAGAAAACACATACATTGAAATGATTATAGTGGTTATCTTACATGTATTAGGATTCTTTAGTTGTGAGAATCTCAGGTCAAATAAGATTAAGCAAAAGAGGGAATCCATTGGCTTTGCAGTTGGGATTTCCATTGATGGATTTGATTAGGTATAGCTAGATACAGGGATTTAAAAGATAACATTTTCTCTCCCTCTTTTTAATCTCCTGGGGTTTTTTTTTTGTTTTAGCTTCATTCTGAAAGAAACTTTTATGATGATGGTGAACCCAGGGCTTCTTGGCACATTCAGGATTTTGAGCTCCTGATCCCAGAGAGGAAAAACTCTTTCTCAAGTCCTATATCATTAAGTTAAGTAGGGAGAATTCTGATTGGCCTTATTTGGCTGATGCGGCCACCTTCAGCTCAATCCCTGTGTCTGCTTAAATTGGCTCCCTGCTTGGGGGAGTTCACATGCTCACTTCTGTGGTGAGGAGGTCAGGGAAATGTTACTGATAATCATAACAGAATGAATGACAGGTGGCAGGGATAAGACAGTTCCCAAAACAAAAATATGTTGTAAAGAGAAAAATACAGATTTCCAGTACATCCTAGTTGGATTATGGTTAATATTTTCTTTTCTGTACTTTTCTTTTTTTTTTTTTTAAGATTTTCTTTATTTGAAAGAGAAAGAGCACAAGCATACACACATGAAGGGGACAGGTAGGGGCAGAGGGAGAGGGAGAAGCAGACTCCACACTGAGCAGGGAGCCCAATGCAGGGCTCGATCCCAGGACCCTGAGATCATGACCTGAGCCAAAGACAGATGCTTAACCAACTGAGCCACCCAGGCAGTCCTGTACTTTTCTGTATTGGAAAATTAATGAGCATTACTTTTGTAATCAGAAAAAGTACCTTTTTTATTTTTTTAAAGATTTTATTTTTAAGTAATCTCCATGCCCATTTTGGCGCTCAAACTCACAAGCCCAAGATCAGGAGTTGCATGCTTCACCAACTGAACCAGCCAGACACCCCAGAAAAACTACTTTTTATTTTGTTTTTTCAATTTTTACCACGTTTGTTTTATAATCATGATTTCTGAGTCCTTATTAAGTTGATACAGTTTGAGGAAATAAATACTTCCTTCCCTTTTTGTTGCATAGGTACTAGTGGAGGAAGGGGAACAGAATATGAGAGAATAAGCAAAGGATGTAGGGAGCAGAAAGATGAAGTCAAAGAGAGACAGTGTTTATATAAACCCTCTGTAAGCAGTACCAACCAACAAAGTACAGAGCTTACAGCATGATTAAAAACTACTTTTTAAAAACTACTTTTTAAAAACTGTTATCCAAAAGTAATAAAATACTTAATATATTTAATGAAAGTGTAAGTCTCGCATACTGAGAACTAGAAAACATTTTTTAAAGAATTAAAGCAGACATAAATACATGGAAAGATATTCTGTGTTTATAGATCAGAGGACTTAATATTGTTAAGATGGCAGTACAAAAGGGGCTTGAGAGATGAAAAAGGGGCAAAAAATGGCTGTATTCCCCAAACTGATCTGTAGATTCAACAAAATCCCTATTAAAATCCCAGGTGATTTTTTTTTTGCCAAAATTTTTGCATAAAAATTCATATGGAAATGCAAGGGACCCAGAATAGTCAAAATTATCTGGAAAAAGAACAAAGTTGGGACACTCAGATTTTTTTAATTTTAAAACAAAGCTATAGTAACCCGGACAATGTGGTATTGGCATAAGGATGAATGTATGGATCACTGTAATAGAATTGAGTCTCCAGAAATAAACGCATGCATTTCCCCAATGTTTATAGCAGCAATGTCCACAGTAGCCAAACTATGGAAGGAGCCCAGATGTCCATGAACAGGAGAATGGATAAAGAAAATGTGGTGTCTGTATGCAATGGAATATTACTCAGCCATCAAAAAGAATGAAATCTTGCCATTTGCAACAACATGGATGGAACTAGAGAGTATTATGCTAAGCGAAATCAGTCAGAGAAAGACAAATACCATATGATTTCACTCATATGTGGAATTTAAGAAACAAAGCAGATAAACATAGGGGAAGGAAAGGAAAAATAAAAAGAGGAAAGCAAAACCATAAGAGACTCTTAACTATAGGGAGCAAACTGAGGGTTGCTGGAGGGGCGGTGGATGGGGGGATGGGGTAATTGGGTGATGGATTAAGGAGGTCACTTGATGTAATGAGCACTGGGTGTTTTATGCAACTGATGAATCATTAAATTCTACCTCTGAAACTAATAATATACTATATGTTAACTAAATTGAATTTAAATAAAAAATTAAAATAATAAAATCTTTAGAAAAAAAGGAAAGAAACTCATGCATTTATGATCGATTGATTTTTGAAAATGGTACCAGGGTCATTCAGTGGGGGAAAGAAAGGGCTCTTTCACAAATGGTGCTTGGACACATCCAAAAGAATGAATTTGAACCCTTTCTTCAGGTATAAACTCTTAGGAAAAAAATGAGAAAATCTTGTGTTGTTGGAAAAGGCAGTGATTCTTAGACATGACGCCAAAAGCACGAGGAACAAAAGAAAGCAATAGATAAGTTGGACTTCATCAAAATTAAAAATTTTGTGTTTCAAGGGACATCATCAATAAAGTGAAAAGCTAGCCCCCAGAATTGGAGAAAATATTTGCAGGCCATATAGCTGATGAGAGACTTGTATCTAGAATACAAAAAGGAGTTTTTAATAACTTAACAGTAAAAAGCAAACAACCCAGTTTTTAAATATAGGAAAAGGATTTAAATAGACATTTCTCCAGAGAAGATCTACAAATGATCAGTAAGCCACATAAAAAGATACTCAACATTATTAGTCATTAGGAAAATTAAATCAAAACCACAGTGAGATACTGTTTAATACCCTTCAGGATGCCTAAGCTTAAAAAAGCAACAACAAATCTTGGCAAGAATGTGGCCACTTTGAAACTCTCCTACACCGCTGATGGGATTATAAATATTATTCAGTAATTAAAAGGAATGAAGTCCTGACACATGGCTACAACGTGGATGAACTTTGAGAACATAATGTTACATGAAAGCCAGTTACCAAAAAGTCACACATTCTACTATTCCATATAATGGAATTTGTCTGAAATGGGCAAATTCTTAGAGGCAGAAAGTAGATAAGTGCTTGCCAAAGGGCTAGATGAGGGAGGAGTAGGGAGCAATTGCTGATGGGTTCAGGGTTTCTTTTTGGGGTGATGAGAATGTTTTGTTGGAATTAAATAGTGGGGATGGTTGCACAACTATGACTATAATAAAAACCAGTAAATTGTATTTAGTAAAAAAAATAAAGCTATTTTTTTTAGAAGATTTTATTTATTTGAGAGAGACAGACAGCGGGAGAGAGCATGACTGAGGAGGAGAGGGAGAAGCAGGGCCCCTGCTAAGTAGGTAGCCCAGTGTGGGACTCGAGCCAGGATCCCAGGATCATGACCTGAGCCAAAGGAAGACGCCTAACCAACTGAGTCACCCAGGCGCCCCTAATTGTATGCTTTAAAAGGGTGAATTAAAATTCAGTTGGTGGAGTGTGCAACTCTTGATCTCGGGGTTGTGAGTTCGAGCCCCAACTCAGATGTAGAGATTACTTAAAAATCTTTAAAAAATAAATAAAAAGGTGAATTTTATGTTACGTAAATTATATCTCAATAAAGCTGTTACTAAAAAATAATAAATGAAGAGGTCTCACATTGTGGGAAAAATCCCATTTTTATTTTGCACATTTTCACTTCATTTTCTCTTTTAATGATATTGTTTGAGAATATGTAGAAGTAAAGATGCTGATTTTAATCTTCTTTTTTCATAGCACTGTTGCAAGAATTCAATTTCGTCTTCCTGATGGTTCGTCCTTTACAAATCAGTTCCCTTCTGATGCTCCTCTAGAAGAAGCAAGACAGTTTGCTGCACAGGTAAATTTATGTCTTGTCTTGAGTTGTAGTAAAGGTAGATGAATAGGTTATTAAAATGTAGGAGGAGAAAATTTCCAAGCCTGATTTGTAGAGTGTAAGTCATGACTTATCCCCAGGAGGGAAGCACCAGACACCTCTGGGGTGTGGTGGAGCTTCCAGCATGTATTAGTGCCACATAAGGAAAGCGCATCTGTTTCTTGTGCAGAAATAGGGATTTCCTGATACTGTAAAATAGGCTTTGGAAACTTTTCTCACTGCTTTTGCAAATGATTATCCAAAGGTCTAATCTGAGGGAGTTGTCACCTGTAAAAGGATGCAGTTTTTCTTCCTCTCTCTTCACATTTTCTGCAGGTCACCTTGGGGCTGGCCATTTTTCCACCATCTGCCAGGTGGCCAGGCCTAAAGATCAGTAATCTTTATTTGGTAACAGGTATCTTCTTCCAGAATATGGCCTTACTCAAAATCTCAGTTGGTGTGAAATTTTGTATCTTAGAAAATAAGATACGAGTAATTTCCAATTACAGTTGACCCTTGAACAGTGTGGGTATTAAAGGTTGCCAACCCCCTGCACAGTTGAAAATCCATGTATAATTTTCAATTCTGCAAAAACTGAACTGCTACTAGCCTACTGTTGACCAGAAGCCTTACCAGTAACAGTCGATTAACACATATTTTGTATATTATATGTATCATATATATTGTATTCTTATAATAAAGTTAGTTAGAGGAAAGAGAATGTTAAGAAAATCATAAGGAAGAGAACATACATTTATAATGCTGTACTGTAAAAAATCCGTGTCTAGGTGGGCCCACACAGTTCACACCCATGTTGTTCAAGGGTCAGCTGTAGTTTTTATTCTCTGAATGAGTCCTTTTTCAAAAAGGATTCTAGGCATTCAATGTCCTTTAGGATCTGGGCTCATGATATGCCCCACTCTTGGTCTCACGTAGCTTTTCAAGGTTAAAATTAGGGTTCAGATCTTTCCCCTAGACCTCATCTCCCCATTTAGTCTGCTTTCTCACTTATGGATCCCAAGAGAGTACCTAAAAAGCTGTCTGCCTTCCTCCACTGGTGAGCTGGGCTTTGCAATGTAAAAACATTTTTAAGAATCTTTTTCCCTAAGCTTACAGTGGAACCAACCCCCAGTAGCTCTTTTATTCTTCTTTTGCCCTGGAGCCCCACTTGGGGCCTCCCAAAAGGGAATACTTACTTCTGGCCTGAGTCGTACCACTGCTACCACAGGTAAGTGAAGGAGGAAGCCACATGAGAAAAAAAATCTTTGCATTAGTCCTATTAGAACTTTATTTCAGTACAGTAACCTAATTTTGTATTTTTGTATTTCTTCATGTTAGAGTAAGAACAGTGAAAGGTATGTATATGACCTCCAGTTAAAAAAAATACAAAGAACAAAGGTGTTGGTCTGTTTCTTTGGAATCTTCTAGGGAGAGAGAAACACTTATCTAAGATTTTACAGGTATAGGTGACTTAAAATTATGAAGGTGATCGTGATGCTGCCCAGTGTAGGTTCCTGGATCTGGGAGTGTGTGTGGCAGGGATTAGACTATGGGCCATTTATTTTTTTGAGACAAGGAAGACGTGAAACTCCTGATGTTATATATATGAGGAAAGTTCTGGACTATTCCAGATTTTTAATAGGGAATGCTTGTAATCCAGATGTATATGGAGAGATAGTAATACAAGTTTACCAAAGTATAGTGAAAACTAATGGCAAACTGTAGGAATATTCAAAAGAGATAGACAACTGTTCATTTTTACTCAATCAATTTAGATGGCTTTAGGAACTATAATCTTGCGATTTTGTGATCATTTTTGGCTTGTAAAAGCTTTTAGGTACTATTTGGATTTGGTAGCTTTGAGCTACTTTTTGAAGCACAAAGTTTTTATAAAGGTTTTGTGAGTTTACCTTTGAATGAACTTCTTTAAAATTTATTTCATTTTTTTTTAAGATTTTTAAAATTTATTTATCAGAGAGAGCACAAGCAGGGGGAGAGGCAGGCAGAGGGAGAAGCAGGCTCCTCGCTGAGCAAGGAGCCCGATGCAGGACTGGAGCCCTATGCAGGACTCAATCCCAGGATCCTGAGATCATAACCTGTGCTAAAGGCAGCCACTTAACCGACTGAGCTGCCCAGGCGTCCCCAGTTTTTTTTTTTTTTTTTTAAGATTTTATTTATTTATTTGACAGAGCGAGTGAGCACAAGCAGGCAGAGTGGCAGGCAGAGGGAGAGGGAGAAGCAGACTCCCTGCTGAGCAGGGAGCCCAATGCGGGGCTCGATCCCAGGAACCTGGGATCATGACCTGAGCGGAAGGCAGACGCTTAACCCACTAAGCCACCCAGGCGCGCCCCCCCCCTTTTTTTTTTAAGATTTTATTTTTTGAGAGAGAGAGCACGTGCAGGGTGGGGCACGGCGGGGAGGGAGAGGGAGAGAGAATCTGGAGCAGACTCTGTGCTGAGCAGGGCCTGAACTCACAAACCTGAGATCATGACTTGACCCAAAACCAAGAGTCGGACACTTAACTGACTTAGCCCCTGAATGAACTTTAAAATTAAGGTAGTTTGAATTAAAGCAGTTGTTTTGGATGCATTTGGGTATGTAATATCTTACTTTAAAAAGGCACCTTTGTAAGGTTTTAAACTTACGTTATGTTACAGACTGTTGGCAACACTTACGGTAATTTTTCACTAGCAACCATGTTTCCCCGGAGGGAATTTACCAAAGAAGATTATAAAAAGAAATTGTTGGATTTGGAACTTGCCCCAAGTGCTTCAGTGGTACTATTGCCGGTATGTATATACGTATTTTTTTTTTTCTATCTTTACAATCCTATTTGTTCTACTCCTGATCATTTCTTAAAATCAGTGGAAGGGAAGGTGAAACATGTACTGTGTGTAATTAAATTCAGATTGTCCAAAAATATTAGATTAATTTATTGTTCCATTATCCTGTGTGTTTTATATTTCTATTGCTAATGCATTAAATAAATATTTTAATTTTCCCCTTTTTTCCTCACCTATTTTCATGTACAAAAATGACCAGTAAGAGAAGAAAATAAGAAATGCACAGTATTGGTATAATGTATGGTTTTAGTGTCTTTTATTTATGTATGACCCTACTGTTTACGAAGTTTTTAAAAAAAAGATTTTAACATAAAAGTAACATTGATTTTTAAACATATTGATCACATTTGATCCTCACAACAGTATTTTAATCTCTGATGAAGAGGCTCAGAAACTTTAAATGACTTGGCCAAGGCATCCCCTAAGTACCAGAGATGGAGAGCCTGGTCTTCTGTATTTTGATTAGGATAGTTTTCCTGGTTCTGAACTAGAGCCCCACACCTGAAACAATTAGTCTTAATCAGGATTAATTTGTATTCACTGAGGTTTTGAAACCTTTCCCTTGTTTTTAATAAGCAAGGAAGACTTTTCTTACCAAAGTTGTTGATTTCATTACAAACAGAAGGTTAGTTCTCTTAAAAATAATTGGTTCATTTCACCAAGAACTACTTTCTAGTTTCAGTGTTGTGATTACTCCTTTAAAAAACAGAGCTCCTGGAGTTCCCAGAAGTTTATATAAAATATACATTTGAAAAACAGCAGAAGATGGTAATGGTACCTTCTTGCAGTAAACTAAAGTCAATAGGACTTTGTTTTCCAGATAAAAGATTCATCTAGAACCTTGAGTGTGATGTGGTTGGGCTCATGGAGCCTTTATTGAGGTTTATTTCTTAATTTTTAGGCAGGAAGAACAACCACATCCATGGTACATTCTTCCAGTGGAGACTTTTGGACATTGTTGGGGACAGTCCTTTACCCATTCCTTGCCATCTGGAGATTGATTAGCAACTTCCTATTTAGTAACCCTCCTGCACAGACCTCTGTGAGAGCAGCATCATCGGAGTCCTCAAACCTTGCATCATCTAGCAACTCAGAAAAAAGGTATTTGTTTGTGTTTACCCATTTCAGAATGTGTTAGTAATGTTCAAATTCAAAATGAACATTTTTGTTATGGGTACTTTGCCATCTTTCTGCATAAGGGAAAAAATTTAAATGTTCTCAGGTTTTACTCTGTCATCTTTCCTGGGACGCTCACTACCTGAGTTTTCTCAACCATCTTTCTAGAACCTCCTCCACAAAAATCAGCATCACCTCCGCTGATTTTATTTATTGACTTCTCCTTATCCTGTAACTGTAAAGGCAGATTTTTTTTTTCCAGGCCTAAATAGTAGTATCTTTCTTGCTAACCATGTTTTGTCCAACAAGATATTTCATTTAATTAATTTCTCACAGTAATCTTGCATACATTTTTTTGGAGGTGTCACTGTGCTTTAGATAATTTTAATCCCTGGTAGCTTTTTGATCTGCTTCCTGTCTTCTTCTTGTCTTCATTCAGAGAAAGACCAAACTGAGAAAACTAGATATTCACTTGAAAATGGAGCCTTCTTCAGAGTGTTATTTTACACTAGTCCCCTTAAGCAAGAGGCCTTCTTTTTATTGCACATGGCCAAGGTTAGAATGGTAATTCTAAACAACACCAATGATTTTAGCTCATACCTCTGTTAAGATTCTGCATATTTGAAACAGGTTAATGGAAGTATTTTCCTGGAAGGTGGGATTGTAGCTTTTTCTAATTAAATAATAGCACGATTTATTATAATATATACCTCTTGCTGTTAAACATTGTTCAGCCATTAATACGCATTATAGCACACACCAATCCTGTGTGATAAGTAATGAAAATCCTTGCTTCGGTCTGCCATCAGTAAATAAGGTCCTTGGTCTTATATCCTATTGACTCTCTTTTCTTTTTTTTTTTTTTCTCAAGATTTTATTTATTTGAGAGAGAGAATGAGAGAGAGAGCACATGAGAGGGGGGAGGGTCAGAGGGAGAAGCAGGCTCCCTGCCGAGCAGGGAGCCCGATGCGGGACTCGATCCTGGGACTCCAGGATCATGACCTGAGCCGAAGGCAGTCGCTCAACCAACTGAGCCACCCAGGCGCCCTCCTATTGACTCTCTAGATGAAGATTTAGTGAATATTGTGATTGGGCTGATTTGGCCTTTATCTTGGTTTCTTTTGTAGCTATTAGGAAGACCAATCATATCCTTAGTACATTACTTAAGTGGGGATACAGGGAAATTCTTCTCTAGACTGGGAACGGCATTCAAACTAGGTTTTTTTTTTTAAGATTTTTATTTGACAGAGAGAGAGATAGCGAGAACAGGAACACAAGCAGGGGGAGTGGGAGAGGGAGAAGCAGGCTTCCCGCAGAGCAGGGAACCCGATGTGGGACTTGATTCCAGGACCCTGGGATCATGACCTGAGCCGAAGGCAGACGCTTAACAACCGAACCACCCAGGCGCCCCCAAACTAGGTCTTGTTAGTGCTGAATTTTAGAACTCTTACCGAGCAATGGGTAGATGCATGTAATTCTGAATTACTGTTACATAGCATAGCTTGCTATGTGGGTTTGTTTTTCTCTTTTTTTACTATTATTTTTTTTATTAAGTAAACTACCCCCAGTGTGGGGCTCGAGCTTACGACCCTGAGACCAAGAGACACAAGCTCTTCTGACTAAGCCAGCCAGGTGCCCTGCTGTGTGGTCTTTTAAAACTTTTTTCAAATAAGGGAAGAGATACTAGGTTGGGGCAAAGGATGGATGAATGTATATCTTGAGAGCAAAGCTTTGTGTTCCACTGTTGGTCCCCCCCTTCACCCCACTGACCATTGGAGAATATATTAGCTTAAATTTCACCCGTTTTCCTTTCCATTTTCAGATGCTGAAAGCCTGTTTATTCTTTTTTTTTTTTTAGTGTCATTTATGAAATACATTTATTCACTGGACAGTAAAACATATTTTCCTACAAACCTTTTCCTTTCTATTCTCAACTATTCATTTAGTCAATCAAGAAATAAAATTCATAGTCAACTTCTTTTCTCCCTTTTCCTTACCCTTCTATATCTAATCTGTCAGAGTTTCACAGATTTAATCTCCTAAATATATTTCGTTTCATTCCTTTCCACTGCCTTAGTCAAAGATCTCATAATTTCTCACCAGAATCATTGGAATAATCCAATTGATCTTCCTGCCACTAGATTTACATCTGTCCCTTGTTTTAACCAGATTATTGCGTGAGTTAACTTTTTTTTTTGATCATTAACATATATTATTTGTTTCAGGGGTACAGGTCTGTGATTCATCAGTCTTACACAATACACAGCACTCACCACAACACATACCCTACCCAATGTCCATCACCCAGCCACCCCATTCCCTCACCTCCCCCAGCAACCCTCAGTTTGTTTCCTGAGATAAGAGTCTCTCATGGTTTGTCTCCCTCTCCAGTTTCGTCTTGTTTCATTTTTTCCTCTCTTCCCCATGCTCTGCCTTGTTTCTTAAATTCCACATATCAGTGAGATCATATGATAATTGTCTTTCTCTGATTGACTTACTTCACTTAGCATAATACCCTCTAGTTCCATCCACATTGTTGCAAATGGCAAGATTTCATTTTTGATGGCTGTGTAATATCCGTTGTATACCCATTTTGTGTGTGTGTGTGTGTGTGTGTGTGTACACACCACATCTTTGTCCATTCATCTGTCAATGGATATCTGTGCTCTTTCCATAGTTCGGCTATTGTGGACATTGCTGCTATAAACATTGGGGTGTATGTGCCCCTTCGGATCACTACATTTGTATCTTTGGGGTAAATACCCAGTAATGCAATTGCTGGGTCATAGGGTAGCTCTGTTTTCAACTTTTTGAGGAACTGCCATACTGTTTTCCAGAGTGGCTGCACCAGCTTGCATTCCCACCAACAGTGTAGAAGGGTTCCCCTTTCTCTGCATCCTCACCAACATCTGTCATTTCCTGACTTGTTTATTTTAGCCATTCTGACTGGTGTGAAATGGTATCTCATTGTGATTTTGATTTGTATTTCCCTGATGCTGAGTGTTGCTGAGCACTTATTTATGTGTCTGTTGGCCAGTTGGATGTCTTCTTTGCAGAAGACCTGTCTGTTATGTCTTTTGCCCATTTCTTGATTGGATTATTTGTTGTGTGTTGAGTTTGATAAGTTCTTTATAGATTTTGGATACTAGCCCTTTATCTGATATGTCATTTGCAAATATCTTCCCCCATTCTGTCGGTTGTCTTTTGGTTTTGTTGACTGTTTCCTTTGCTGTGCAAAAGCTTTTTATCTTGATGAAGTCCCAATAGTTCATTTTTGCCTTTGTTTCTCTTGCCTTTGGCAACATGTCTAGCAAGAAGCTGCTGCAGCCGAAGTCGAAGAGGTTGCTTCCTGTGTTCTTCTCAAGGATTTTGATGGATTCCTGTGTCACATTTAGGTCTTTCTTACATTTTGAGTCTATTTTTGTGTATGGTGTAAGGAAATGGTCCAGGTTCATTCTTCTGCATGTGGCTCTCCAACTTTCCCAACACCATTTGTTGAAGAGACTTTTTTCCATTGGATATTCTTTCCTGCTTTGTCGAAGATTAGTTGGCCATAGGGTTGAGGGTCCATTTCTGAGTTCTCTATTCTGTTCCATTGATCTATGTGTCTGCTTTTGTTCCAGTACCCTACTGTCTTGATGATTACAGCTTTGTAATAGAGCTTTGAAGTCTGGAATTGTGATGCAACCAGCTTTGGTTTTCTTTTTCAACACTCCTCTGGCTATTCGGGGTCTTTTCTGGTTCCATGCAAATTTTAGGATTATTTGTTCAAGTTCTATGAAAAAAGTTGATGGTATTTTGATAGGGATTGCATTGAATGTGTAGATTGCTCTAGATAGCATAGACATTTTAACAATATTTGTTCTTCTAATCCATGAGCATGGAACATTTTCCATTTCTTTGTGTCTTCAGATTCTTTGCCTCTTTGGTTAGATTTATTCCTAGGTATCTTATGGTTTGGGGTGCAGTTTTAAATGGGATCGACTCCTTAATTGCTCTTTCTTCTGTGTCATTGTTGGTATATAGAAATGCATCTGATTTCTGTACATTAATTTTATATCCTGCCACTTTACTGAATTCCTGTATGAGTTCTAGCAGTTTTGGGGTGGAGTCTTCTGGGTTTTCCACATAAAGTATCAAATCATGTGCAGAGAGTGAGAGTTTGACTTCTTCTTTGCCAGTTTGGATGCCTTTGATTTCTTTTTGTTGTCTGATTGCTGAGGCTGGACTTCTAGTAGTATGTTGAACAGCAGTGGTGATAGTGGACTTCCTGCTGTGTTCCTGACGTTAGGGGAAAAGCTCAGTTTTTCCCCATTGAGAATGATATTCGCTGTGGGTTTTTCATAGATGGCTTTTATGATACTAAGGTATGTACCCTCTATCCCTACACTCTGAAGAGTTTTGATCAAGAAAGGATGCTGTACTTTGTCAAATGCTTTTTCTGCATCTATTGAGAGTGTCATATGGTTCTTGTCCTTTCTTTTAATAATGTAGTGTATCACATTGATGATTTGTGGATGTTGAACCACCCTTGCAGCCCAGGAATAAATCCCACGTGGTCATGCTGAATAACCCTTTAATATACTGTTGGATCCTATTGGCTAGTATTTTGGTGAGAATTTTTACATCCATGTTCATTAGGGATATTGGTCTGTAATTCTCCTTTTTGGTAGGGTCTTTGTCTGCTTTGGGGATCAAGGTAATGCTGGCCTCATAAAAAGAGTTTGGAAGTTTTCCTTCCATTCCTATTTTTTGGAACAGTTTCAGAAGAATGGGTATTAATTCTTTAAATGTTTGGTAGAATTTCCCTGGGAAGTCATCTGGCCCTGGGCTCTTGTTTGTTGGGAGATTTTTGATTAATGCTACAATTCCCCTGCTAGTTAGGGGTCTGTTCAGGTTTTCTATTTCTTCCTGGTTCAGTTTTGATAGTTTATACATCTCTAGGAATGCATCCGTTTCTTCCATGTTGTCTAATTTGTTGGCATATAGTTGCTAATAATATGTTCTCATAATTGCTTATATTTCTTTGGTGTTGGTTGTGATCTCTCCTCTTTCATTCGTGATTTTATTTGTGTCCTTTCTCTTTTCTTTTTGATAAGTCTGGCCAGGGGTTTATCAATCTTTTTTTTTTTTTTTAATGTTTGTTTATTCATGAAAGTCAGAGAGGCAGAGGCAGAGGGAGAAGCAGGCTCCCTGGTAGGCAGGGAGCCTGATGCGGGACTCGATCCCAGGACCCTGGGATCATGACCTGAGCCGAAGGCAAACACTCAACCATCTGAGCCACCCAGGCACCCCCAGGGGTTTATCAATCTTATTAATACTTTCAGAGAACCAGCTCCTAGTTTCATTGATCTGTTCTACTGTTCTTTTGGTTTCTTTTTTCTTTTTTTTTTTTTTTAAAGATTTTATTTATTTATTTGAGACAGAGAGAATGAGAGAGAGCGAGCACATGAGAGGGGGGAGGGTCAGAGGGAGAAGCAGGCTCCCTGCCGAGCAGGGAGCCCGATGCAGGACTCGATCCAGGGACTCCAGGATCATGACCTGAGCCGAAAGCAGTCGCTTAACCAACTGAGCCACCCAGGCGCCCTCTTTTGGTTTCTATTTCATTGATTTCTGCTCTAATCTTTGTTATTTCTCTTCTGCTGGGTTTAGGCTTTATTTGCTGTTCTTTCTCCAGCTCTTTTAGGTATAGGGTTAGGTTGTGTATTTGAGACCTTTCATGTTTCTTGAGAAAGTCTTGTAGTACTATATACTTCCCTTTTAGGACCACCTTTGCTGCCTCCCAAAGATTTTGAACAGTTGTGTTTTCATTTTCATTTGTTTCCATGAATTTTTAAAATTCTTACTTAATTTCCTGGTTGACCCACACATTTTTTAGTAGGATGCTCTTTAGCCTCCATGTATTTGAGTTCTTTCCAACTTTCCTCTTGTGATTGAGTTCCAGTTTCAAAGCATTGTGGTCCAAAAATATGCAGGGAATGATCCCAGTCTTTTGGTACTGGTTCAGACCTGATTTGTAACCCAGGATGTGATCTATTCTGGAGAATGTTCCATGTGCACTAGAGAACAATGTGTATTCTCTTGCTTTGGGATGGAATGTTCTGAATATATCTGTGAAGTCCATCTGGTCCCGTGTATCATTCAAAGCCCTTATTTCCTTGTTGATCTTCTGCTTAGATGATCTGTCCATTGCAGTGAGGGGGTTGTTAAAGTCCCTTAGTATTATTGTAAATGTGTTTCTTTGATTTTGTCATTAACTGGCTTATATAATTGGCTGCTCCCATGTTAGGGGCATAAATATTTACAATTGTTAGATCTTCTTGTTTAATAGACCCTTTAATTATGATATAGTGTCCTTCATCTCTTACTACAGTCTTTGGTTAAAAATCTTATTTGTTTAATATAAGATTGCCACCCCAGCTTTCTTCTGATGTCCCATTAGCATGATAAATGGTTTTCGACCCCCTCTCTTTGAAACTGGAGGTGTCTTTGGGTCTAAAATGAGTCTCTTGCAGACAGCATATTGGTGGGTCTTGCTTTTTTATCCAGTTTGATATCCTGTGTCTTTTGATTAGGGCAGTTAGCCCATTTACATTCAGGGTAACTATTGAAAGATATGAATTTAGTGCCATTGTATTGCCTGTAAGGTGACTGTTACTTTATATTATCTGTGTTCCTTTCTGGTCTGTGTTACTTTTAGGCGCTCTCTTTGCTTAGGGCTGGTTTGGTGATCACAAATTCTTTTAGTTTCTGTTTGTCCTGGAAGCTTTTTATCACTCCTTCTATTTTCAGTGACAGCCTAGCTGGATAAAATATTCTTGGCTGCGTATTTTTTCGTTTAGTACCCTGAACATATCATGCCAGTCCTTTCTGGCCTGCCAGGTCTCTGTGGATAGGTCTGCTGCCAATCTAATGTTTCTACAATTGTAGGTTACAGACCTCTTGTCCCAAGCTGCTTACAGGATTTTCTCTTTGTCTTTGAGATTTGTAAGTTTTACTATTGGATGTTGGGGTGTTGACCTATTTTTATTGATTTTGACGGGAGTTCTTTGTGCCTCCTGGATTTTGATGCCTATTTCCTTCTCCATATTACGGAAGTTCTCCACTATAATTTGCTCCAATATACTTTCTGCCCCCCCCTTTATTCTTCTTCTGGGAGAATTATTTTATTCTCTAATTATTTTAATATTGTTTCGCTTTATGGTATCACTTATCTCTCAAACTCTCCCCTCATAATCCAGTAGTTTATCTCTCTTTTTCTCAGCTGCTTTATTCTCCATCATTTGGTCTTCTTTATCACCAATTCTTTCTTCTGCTGCCTTACTTATCCTAGCAGTTAGAGCCTCCGTTTTTGATTGCACCTCATTAATAGCATTTTTTATTTCAATTTGGTTAGACTTTAGTTCTTTTATTTCTCCAGAAAGGATTCTCTAGTGTCTTCTATGCTTTTTTCAAGCCCAGCTAGTATCTTTATAATCATTATTCTGAACTCCAGTTCTGACATCTTACTAATGTCCATATTGATGAAGTCCCTGGCAGTCAGTACTGCCTCTTGTTCTCTTTTTTGAGCTAAGTTTTTCCATCTTGTCATTCTGTCCAGAGAATAGATGAACGAGAGAACAAAATACTCAAAGGTCAACCATGACCGCAGAGAAATATACACTAAACAAATCAGAAGAGACCCAAAACCGGGGGGAAAAAAGGGAGAGAATGTGATCAGGCTGGTGAATAGAACAGAGCCATACACTAGATTTTGGGTGTATTTTGGTCTGTTAGAAGAAACTGCATCTCAGAAGTTTAAAGAAAGAAAAACATATATATATACACACACACACATATATATACACACACATGTATATACACACACACACACAAACAAATAAGGTAAAATATAATGAAGGGATAGAATATGGCTGTAAAAATGAAAATTAAAGATTTTAAGAAAGGAATTGATAAGTTGGTTGGAAAAGGAAAGAAGAAAAATAAAAAAAAAAAAAAGTTGAAAGACTAAGAATCCCGGGGGATAAAAAGCTATAAGTTCTATGTGGTATATTCCCCTAGCGCTGGAGTTCTGCCGTTCTCATTGATCAGTAAACTTGGTCTTGGCTGGCTGTTCTTGCTGATCTTCTGGGGGAGGGTCCTGTTGCCGTGGTTCCCAAATGTCTTTGCTGGAGACAGAATTGCCCCACCTTTGCTGGGTCCGGGCTAAGTAATCTGCTCTGGTTTGCTCTCGTAGCTTTTGTTCCCTGCAAGCTTTCCGTACAGCTTTGGAGGACGAGAGTGAAAATGGCGGCCTCCCAGTCTCTGCCCCAGAGGAGCCGAGAACTCGGGGCCCCACTCCTCAGTGCGCCCCCAGAGAAAAGCAGTCAATCACTCCCGTCTCCCCCGGTCTCCGGCCACACTCCATGCTTACCTGGCCTTTGACCGAACATTTCTATCTCTGGCACCTGACCCTGTGTGGAGTCTCCAAACCCAGCAGATTCCTGCGGTGCGCTCCTGTGCCGCTCCTCCTGGGGGAGGAAGGGGAGTCTCCCCGGATCTCCCCCTTGTTGGGTTCCTGCTGGAAGAGCAGTGGCCTGACTGTGCCGCGAATCATGGTTTATGGCAACCCCGAGCTGAGAGCCCACGCCTCAGCTCTGTCTCTGCAGCCGGCTTCCCTGCTCTGATACCTGGGAGCTCTGCCGCACTCAGGCACCCCTGGTCTTTCTGTGACCCTGAGGGTCCTGAGACCACATTGTCCCAGCGAGGGTTCCAGCCCCGCTTAGCCACTGGAGCGACGTCCCTCAGCGGAGCCAACTTCTAAAAGTTCGATTTTGTGCTCCGCTGCTCTATTACTTGCCGGTAGCGGCTGACGGGGTCTCCCTCCCGCCACGGTCTGTCTTCCCAAATATCGCCTTGGATACGCTTCTCTGCACCTCCTGCCTTCCAGAAAGTGGTCACTTTTCTGTTCATAGCGTTGCAGCTGTTCTTTTCTTCTATCTCCTGTTGAGTTCCTAGGTGTTGAGAATGGTTTGATAACTATCCAGCTGAGTTCCTGGGACCAGACGAAATTTAGGTCTCCTGCTCCTTCACCATCTTGGACTCTATCTGCCGGTATAAATCAATCCTTCTTACAGAGTATGAAAGGATTAAAAATTAATAATTGATGATTTCTGTAAATTAGGCTAGAAATGGAGCTTGGATAAGCTCTAGGGTGCTGTGTAAGTTATACACATTTTAGTAGATAAATCAGTTTGAGTAAATAATAAAGATTAGTTAGCAGATGGCCCTATTCTCCTAAAGCTTAGAAAGCCATCAAGAGATCCATGATAATGGAGCAGGGACTGGGCTAGTTTGGCTTGGAAAACAGATGAAGTTAACCTGCCAAAAACGTGTATAGTCTTGTGCCGTGTTAGCATATAATTATCTCCCCTGGACTCTCCGTAAAGTACAGCTCCCTGTCCTGATGGAAGTGTAAAGGAAACAGCTTTGTATTACTGCTGTTTTCACTTTTTGTCACTTTCTATTTTCTCCCTTTCTCCTTACGTCAGGGACCCAGTCAGGAAAAGAGTGCTGGAGAAACGGGGGGAAGACTTTAAAAAGGAGGGGAAGATCTACAGATTGAGGACTCAAGATGATGGTGAAGATGAAAACAACACCTGGAATGGAAATTCTACTCAACAGATGTAGTGTGACAAGTACAGTATGTGCAATAATCATTGTTTCCCTTACGATTTAATGCAACTAAAATTCTACTGGAGAAGTGGGACTGCTTTTTTGTTTTCCAGCTGGTCTATAAAGTGTCCCTTTATTCTTGCTTAGTGGGTTAAAGTTGTTTAACTCCTTGGACAACTCAAGAGATGAAGTAACTGGCCACTAGGTCCTTGCATATGGTAACCAACTGCTAGAAGCCTAAAAGAATCAAAAGTTCTGCCACAGCCCCCCTTTATCAGCTTTCTTAGTATCTCATATACCCATTAGCCCCATGCTCTCAGATGACACGTTTTGTTTAGAGCTATTTTGCTCTAGAACTCTTAAGTCCACACAAAGTAACTGGTATGTCACTGAGTAATTTGACTCGGAGTCAGAGCATTTTTAACTAGCCAATCAGATGATAATTTATGTTTAACTTTTCTCTTTTTGCTCATCAGCTGCAAGCAAAATCTTGTAGTTTTTAAACACTGAATAAAAAATCTTTTCCAAAAATTGAAATGATCTTAGTTTTGCTTTAAGTTTTGTTATCCTAGCATTTTTTTGTTGCACAGGGCTCTGTTGAGGTCATGTGTTTAATTCCCCCCCCCCCAGTACTGCCGTGGAGCTATCTCAGGAAAGTGGCTGTGACTACCCTACTTGATAGAGGAGGAAGACGTTTTCTGACACACATGGATGCTATGTTACTGTCTGTCCTAAGTCAGTGAGGCATCACTTTGCGTAATGTTATGTATGGTCTTTGTTCTCCTCAGATGCAAAACAGCTGCTGAGTTATAGCTAGTTCTCTCTCGCCTTTATCATGAAGTTTTGCTCTGGACAATCACCTTTCAAAGACCTAAGGTACCTGTAGGTAGGACAGGAAGTATGGAATAAAGATATGCCTTTTGCTCATTTGGTTTATTCTTAAGAATTTTAAAGAGATTGTTAACCTGACTTACACGATACTTCATCCCTTTGTTTTTGGTAATGGAGACCACTAACTCATCATGTTTGAAAAAGAGAGTAAGCTAGACAGTTCCTCTTTTAGCCTTCCATTTTTAGATTGGAAGATAGTGCTTTTGAGTGAACTTATAGACTTAATTTTGTAACAGGAGGAAGAAATTTTCTCAGAGCAAACTCTGTTTTTCACCTATGAAATAACGATTTTTAAAAATGCTAAAGGGAAACAAGGCAAGGAAACAGCCAGGCTGTGATGTTGGTAAGAGTGAAAACTGGTATACTCTTTCCGGAAAACATCAGCAACCTTAAATGGTTCAAACTCCTTGATCATTTTTTCTAAGGAATGATCGTAAGTGTAGACAGAGTTTAGGTACAAACATAATCATTAGGTCTTACACCAACCAAATGCCTTCTGCAGAAATTAACTTTTGATGAGGAGAAATGGTACAGTACTAATTTAACAATTCAGTTTAACATACATTCATTGACTACCTGTTATGTGTTGTGGGGGGGGGAAGCAGAATACAGATTTGTACATACAGTATGATCTCAGCTTTATAAACACATTTTATATATAAATAGTACCTGTATTAACATAGTGTAAAGAAAACAACCAAACATTAACAGTGGTAAGATGGTTATATGTTCTTTTAATTCTTTTTGCACCCTAATAGATTTTCCCAATTTTCTGCAATGATCATATTACTTGCATAATTTAAAAGTGAATTTGGAAAAGAAAAACTTCCACCAGGCATCCCATTTAAGTCAAGGATTAAAATACAGCAATATGTGATTTTAAAAAAACCCACAACCTTTCAAATGGGTGTGACCCTGCTAATAACTATTAGAAATATGCTTGCAGAAACTTGGAGTATCTCAAGTCTGTTTGCTTGAAAAAAATTAAATATCAGAGAAACGGATATAAAAGAATGGTTCACAATCTTTGAGTAGGAGGATTCCCTCCTCAGCTTTATAATTTAAAAAGTATGCTTGGTAAAAAAAAATTCAAAACTATAGTATAGAAGGCTGTAAAATGAAAACGAAGTCTCTTTCCTTGCATCTTACCCCAGTTCTAGTCCTCAGAGGTAACCTCTAATAACAGTTTCTTTTGTAATCTTCAGAAAAATGTTATGTATATAGAAGCCAATATGTGATGTTTTCTAAATACGATCATATATGTACTACTCTGCATCTAGTTTTTTACTTACACAGTCTCGAAGATCTTTCCCTGTCAACACATAGCTACCTCATTCTTATTAATGTCTGTGTAACATTTTACTTGATAAATGTACCCCAACTTATCCATTCTCTGGTGGCATCTGTTATTGTAGGGTTTTTTGTTTTTGTTTTTTTTTCCCGCTTGTTTTTGTTCTTCCATTAGAAATACTGCTATACTGAGCATCTTTGGGGCGGTATCTTCTTAGCTTTGAAAATACACCAGTAGGATATGTTTGTATAACTGAGTCATGGAGTGTTTGTAGTTTGGATTATAAATGAAGCTGCCAGAGTGCCACCTCTAAAGGCTCTATGAATTTATACCTCCGACCAACAGTGTCTGAGAATGTTGATTTCCCCACATTCTTACCAAGACTTATATTTTTCATCTTTGTCAGTGGTAGATGAAAAATTGTATGCATTTTATATGCATTGTGTTGATCACGAATGTAGCTGTCTTTTAATATTATTGGACATTTCAGTTTATTTTGAGAACTGCCTGTATTTGCCAGTTTTTGTTTTTCATCTTTATTGATTTATAAGAATTCCATGTACATAAAGAAATTTAGCCCTTTGTCTAGCATATGCTATATTTTCTCCCTGTTTATCTTTTGATGAGTATGTTGACAGTAATTTTTTTGCCACAGTATTTGTGTGATCAAATTTATCAGTTTTTCTTTATGGCGTCTGGGTCCTAAGTCTTATAAATACCTCTCTTTGCAAATTAATTTTAAAAAATTCACCTATCCTACTATTCTTATGGTTTCAGTTTTTTTACATTTAAATCTAGTATCCTGGGATGGAATCTGGCTCCCTTCCTTGTGGCTTACATCCTCAGGAGCTAACCTCTTGACCCACCACCATTTATGGACTACTCTGTCTGTCCCCCTAATTTGGCATGCTCCCCTTGTCCTGGCCTTTATGCCCATATGTAGTTGTTTATGTGTACAGTCTTGTCTTTTGTTGATCTTTTCTCTCTGCTAGCTACCAAGCTATTTTTTTTATAACTAGCTCTATAATGTTTTAATGTTCTTTTTTTGCCTAGATTGTTCTGCTCTTCCTACAAGTTTATTTAATGCGAAACTATCAGTCTATGTCCCCCTCCTCAAAAAAGTTACATTGACTTTTGAGATTTTAGAGGTAATTGACAATTTAGAATACTGAGTCTTTCAGTTTTAGAACCACCCTTACCCCCATCTGACAAACTTTTCCAATCTATTGATGGAGGAAAATGTTTCTATACCATAAATTGTCGGCTGGGGTCCCCAGCAGTGAAACATTTGATAGGAATTTTCTACAGATACAACAAATTCAGGTAAGGAATGCCTGCAAGAAACAAAATTTCAAGCATTATCAGTCACTTATTTAAGTAAACTCCACACCACATGTGGGGCTGAAACTCATGACCCTGTGGTCAAGAGTAGCATGCTCCACTGACCGAGCCAGCCAGTCACCCCCATGATCACTCTTTTAAATCTAGCTGAAAACTACTATTTATAAATAACATTCAGTTCCCTGATACCTATAAAGAATGTATAGACCAAATAAGCTTTTAAGTATTCTGTACTGAGATTGTCTATTATTAGCACATTGTGGGGAATTGATAAAGACCACATCATCTTTCTGTACTTCCTACCACTACTTTGGATGTGTTTTGTGAATGAACACACAAAAGGAGCAGGTGTGCTTTCTATGCCCTGTCTGCAAAATGTGCTTGCTAGGGACAGTGAGACATGGTCCTTTATCCTCAAGAGGCTGATAGAGAAATACACACTTCCGGTATAATATGGACAAGCTGTAATAGGGGATATTTATAAGCAAAGTAGAGGAAGGAATGTTTGGGGGAATTCAGGGGAAGCTATGCAGAGGGAAAAGTGCATTATTTGAGCTGAGATTGAAGGCATTTTCAGAAGAAGGGGCATCCTAGGGGGAAGAATAGTATTTGCAAAGACACAAAGGAAGAGGGGATAGTCAAGGGCTTACACAAGGTTCAGAATTACCACAAACTGAGAGGGAAAGACGAGAAACAGGCTAAGTGAACCAAGGGCAGATTACATGGGCCTTGAAGGCTATACTTGGGTCCTTAGAAGTCATCCTGGGCAGGGGAAAGGCAGGAAGGACATAAAAGGTGGCTATGAGGGGAATAAAGGTTCATTCAGAGGTCATCTCTCTTTGGATGTTAGGGTATCTCTGCTCAGGGAATATGTAATATAAACAGAAACCATGGGTCTCGTGGAAAAGCTTAGAAGCCCCAGAGGGCTTGTGTGACTGTATAAATTCTGCGGAACCTACCTTCTCAAGGAGAAGCAGCCATAGGATATAGGATATAGCTTACAGTACCATTTTTCTTTTCTGAGCAACACAATTTGAAGAGAGGGCAGGAGATGACAGTGCAGTCCATCTACACAGTGGAGATGATGTCTTATAAAAAGGATTGCTATGGTTTTTACTCCTATTTCTACAAGAGCCAAGTACAGGGTCTTCCAGTGCTCTAATGAATTCCTGATACTGGGACAAGATGCATGTATTTCCATTTTAATTAGAGATTGAGAGCCTCCAAGATTCATGTAGTCTCTAACAGTGCAGAAGGCCGTTGTGAAGAAATCTGGCATGGGCAGAGTAGAAGGTCCTAAGGAGTTTTGTGGGCAGTGAAGGTATACAGGCAAACGGCTTGTTTTGCAGAACTGGAGCAAGTGGTAACTTGTGGGTCAGAATGCAGAAATAGTGCTCAATTCCTGTTGGCCTGCTTGTGTTTTCCCTTGCTTGGAGTGCTTACAGTACTTGTATGACAGAAACGTCACACATGAGATGCTGAGAATTGCCAGAGAAAAGAATACGTACAAAGCTGTCTGGGCTTCTGTCGCACCTAGTGTTAGCCCCAGAAACTGAACTTCCTCCTCTTGCAGGGGGCTGACGGTAGGTCCAGCATCTAGGAGAGGAAGACAGAGGACAGTTTATGCACTCATACAGATGTAGTTACCAAATCAGTGTTAACCGATATTAAACCCAAGCTAGGTCCTTGGAATAGAGTCACACAGGTATCCAGAGTGAGCTCCTGGCTGAGGTGACAGGATGCATCCCTTTCCCCGAGTTATTGAACCTCTGAAGTAGTTGTGTTTTTTTAAAAAAATCTGTCAACAATTGGAGTAAAGTGGATAATTATCTCTTTTCTGTAGTAATTAATGCTTTTTCAGTCATTCAAGTATTAGGCCCCTTACATCATGCCAAGCACTGTTTGCAGTCATTATATTAGATCCTCACATCCACCTGGAAGCATGTGCCTAGTTTCTTGCCTCAGGTTGCACAGTTAGTGGTAGGTCTGGGACAAGAATCTAGACTTGCTCTTCCCAGACCACGGTCTAGTTTCTAGATGTAACATTAATCCTTGGTTCCTTTGTTTCATCATAAGAATGTCTGGAGCATTCAAAGAAAATATTGGTTGAATGAATGAATGAATGAATGAATGAATGAAAATAAATATGAGAAAGGCAGAGAAGAGGGGAATAAACTAGAAGAAAATAGACTGAAAAGGCCCCTCTCACCTTCTGGCTTTAGTCCCTCCCAGAGCCACGGCTCACCTTCTGGCTGGAGGCAAGGGTGCGGTCCCGCAGCAGGGTTAGGGAAGCCATTGCACCTGGCTATAGAGGCGAAGAACTTGGCTGATGCTTTTGGGATTCTTGGCAGAGAAGGGTCCGTGTAGTTCACAAAATGCAGACCAAACCTCTCTGCAAAGCCTGTGGCCCACTCAAAGTTGTCCATCACACTCCAAACTGTGTATCCTCGAAGGTCCACCTTATCCTGCACAGCTGCCCAAATGCAGAGGCCACAGCATGAGCTTCCTTTGTCTTATAAGACCCCATTCCGCTGGGCCTACAGGAGCCACGCCTGCCCACAGCTCTCCCACAGTCCCCGCTTAAGAGCCATCAGCATTTTCCTAGAAAGGCTCAGTCCTGAATGGGAATCAGGAACATGGATAGGCTACATTAATCCTGCTGAGTCACGCAATCCTCTGTCTCCACATGTTGGGATACCAGTCTTGGGGAGTGCCTTAGAGTGTTAATGCTTCTTTCTAAAGAAAAGAAGTGGCCCTTGGAAAAGATTTTCACTGGGCTAGGACTTTCTAAGCATTTCTTTCCGCTGCTGCAGTACTCACTCTTTCACTCAGTTACTTACAGGCCCTTGCCCTAATCCCATCCCAGGGGGTTCTGCTGAGCTGAGGGTCTCAGACTTTTGCTTGAGGAACAAAAGACCCTACAGACAGCCCCCGCAGCCTGCTTCTCCTCCTCCTAGCCCCTGCTTTCAGCAGGTCGCTGCTGTTCAGGGACATCAGACATCAGGGATCATCTGGCAGAGCAGATGACTCTGGCCAGGAATTCAGGTCTCACTCTTACCAGGCAACGGGGTTTGCTTGCTGAGTTACATCTAGGAAGGAAAAGACTCAGAGTGCAGCCTCAAAGAAAAGCTTAAACCCATCAGGAGTGAGAAGCCGCCTTTTTCTCATGATGGGGTCTCGTGGATGCAGTATTCCCCTAACTGGAGACGTTAGCAGGTGTTTCCAGTGGTGAAACGTGCACACGGAGGAAGGGATGGGCCTTCCCTACCTTTGAGGGCTTCATTGATGTAACTGCGGAGGTAGTAGATCCTTAGGGTGTCATTGAGGTCTGTTTCTCCCCGTTGGGACACTCCATTCTCTGTTACGTAAATTGGGGGGTTGTTGTACTCCTCCTTTAACCAGTTCAGTATCTTCCTGAAGCCAAAAGGTGTTATCTTCAGCCAGAAGGAACCAGAGTCAGGCCAGGAGCGATCTGTAATGGAGGCAACTCCCCTACACAGGTTCAAACACGAGAGATTAGGTCTCAGTCTGTAAATCCCAAGAGGCCCTTTGCACAAAACACGAAGCAGGATTTATACTAGGCAAAGCCTTAGGTTTAGTCTAGACTTGACAGTCATAACTAACCGCAGAAGAGTCAGGTTGCCTCACGTTCTCCTCTTTTCATTAGTTCTAGTCGTACTGCTCATTGCTAGTGTAGCTGTGACAGGCCACCTGAGCTCTCTGTTTGCACCTCTACAGATGAATGGCTTTACTCATGGACTGAACCGTCCAAAGGCTGTGAAAGGCTCTGGGATTCCCTGATCACAGCCTCCAATAGGATCTGAGTGCTGTGTCAGGAGAGAGAATGGGCTTCCCTGCGTCAGTGACATCTAGTCAGCACCACAGGTGTGGCCACAGGCACCCATGGTTGGGGCCCCCATTTGGTGAGGGCAGGCAGCAGATAGGCTGGGACCTGCTTTAAGTGCCCAAGACCCTGCCTCTCTCCAGTGATGGACCAGGAGAGGGCAACAGCTTGTGCCAAAGCAGCACCTGCTGGGGGAAGCACAAAAACTTGAACGTCTCCAGAATCACACTTTTTTTTTTTTTTAATTTTGCCTAACCTACAGTGCAGTATTGGTTTCCAGAGTAGAATTCAGTGATTCGTCACTTACATAAAATACCCAGTGCTCATCACAAGTGCCCTCCTTAAAACCTGTCACTCATGCAGCCCATCCCCACCCACCTCCCTCCACCAACCCTCAGTTTGTTCTCTATTAAGAGTCTCCTATGGTTTGTTTCCCTCTCTCCTTTCTTCTCCCCTTCCCATATGTTCTCTGTTTCCCTTAAATTTCACATGAGTGAGATGACATGGTATTTGTCTTTCTCTGCAGAGTCATACATTTCAAATAAGGATGAATTATTTAGATCTTAATGTCCAAATCCTTCAGGAAAAAAAAAATACACTCTTATCAGTAACTGAATTTATCTTTCTCAGCTGAACTGGACCCAGAACATTTTCTAAGTTTGAACACAGGTCACGGGGAGACAGTGCAAGGAACCATGAAGCAGCAAGAGTCCAGTGAGTGCTCGGACAGGGACCAGCAGGGGGATGTTCTCAGCCCCCTCAGCGAGTCTGACTCTGGGGTTTGCAGAATGCAGTTGGGGGGGAGGGTAGGTGTTTGTTTTAAAAGAACCTAGACGGATTCACAGCTGATGTGGAAACATGCTCATTATAAAAGGAACAAGATAGTACATATATATATACATATAATCTTGGTTTTTGGTAATATATTTTTATGTATAAATACATACTACATAAACTATACTATATATCTTACATAGTTTATATAATGTATGTCCTTACATGTTATATTGATGAAGAGAAGGAGAGGTAGTATACCCCCTACACATACACATACACTTCTGGAATGACACCCACAAGAATTTCTGTTCTTGCTTTCTGATGTTTCCACCATGAGTGCATTTGTGTAATGCAGAAATAATAGTTTCACCTTTACCCCAGAAAGGGGGGGGGGGGGAGGAAACACCAACCTTACTGTTACTTTGACTGAAATACATCTGATAAGTGAAACAAATTTGACAAAAGAAGAAAACCAAGGGAAGAAAAATACTTGAAGTCTTGAACATGTTTGACAAAAACTTCAAGTATGTCTGTCTCATTGGGAAGCACTTTGGAAATGCTAGCTGGTATTACTAGCAGACTGACAGAGGTTTGATTAGGTGTCTCAGGAGTGGACTCATCTTCAAATCCCAGGATGTATGGCACCAGGAGGTAACTTTCCTGAGGCTGTGCAGTAAGAGCTGGGCAAAGAGGCACCTTGCTGTCTTCTCCAGAGATTGTTCCAAATGCCCTGTTGGCCGACTTACCTGTCTGCATCAAAGGAAGAGATCCAAGAGGCATAGTCAAGGTTGTAGGCCAGGATGGTGGTGTAGTGATTGAACCCAAAAAAGTCATAGGTGCCATTGATCCTCCTTTTCTCACTCTCCGTGAACTCTGGGAGCCTGGATGGAAGGAGCCATGAGAAGTGGGGGGCTTGAGCATCATGCTTTGGGAAGAGAATGTCCCAGGGCAGGGTTGGGAGAGCGCTCTAACTATAGGCCTGGTGGTGGTGAGGTGGGCAGCTGTCCAGAAGCAAGGAGAGGTCCCTCCAGCTGCTGCTGAAGCACCCGAGGCGAGGCTCCTCCCACCAGACCATAAATTTCCCTGCCCTTTTTTGTGACAAGGCCCTCTCTCTTCTTGTGTTGGCCAAATGAAACAACAAGTGACTTTTATAAACCACCTCTTCAGGGCCATACAGACATTATGTACACACATGTCCATATCCACAGAACATTTTTGTTTACTTCAAAAATTGACATGCAACTTCAGAGGTTTACCATCTATGATAGATTTTGAAATCAAGAACGTGTCAGAGATACATCCCTTGAGACTAATCCTTCATGGTCACCAGGTTTTAATATCATTTTTATTTCCATAATCTGCCCTTTCTAAGGTACTTTTTTCTGTTGTAGTTTAGGCTTGCCTCTTTTCTCCAAAGTCCATCCTTATAATAGGGGAAATATTTTTTAAAATTTATTGAACTTTTGAGATTTGGACTTTTATGCTCATATGATTTTACTACACTTTTTTTTTCTTTTCTTAAACCTCTTGTGGAGCATTTTCCACGTGTAGTCTAAGTGAGACTTTTCTACTGAACGTGACTGACAGGCACTTGGGGGCAGCACTTACAGGTTCTGCAGCCACATGTGATGGCATGTGTGTCCTGACAGGGAAACCGTGGGGCTGCTAGTTTAGGCTTGCTTAGAGATGACCCTGCTTGGGCAGCTGACACTTCCATTTTGATTGAGATTTTTGCTGCCACTCACCTGGTGGATCAAAGCCTTCCCCTACTGGGGTTTCTGAAATGCTAGGAGAAAACTAAAGCCCAAACCCCTCACGCCCCTCACTCTCCTGCCCAGAAGCTACTAGCAGTAGCTCCTTAGGGCTTGTGGCATCAAGGCTGAGCCCCTGTGCCTGGCACCCCCACCCCCAAGCCACTGGGCCAGTCCTCCCAACCCTCAATTGCAGGTATCCCGCTCATTCCCACCAGGCCACGCTCACGCCCTTCCCCTCAGTTGGAATGCCCTCTGCTCGCCCACACTTCATTGTCAAGGCCCAGCTTAACTGAAGTCCCACCTTGTCCATGAAGTCTCTTGGTTCTACTCAGCCCACCCTCATCTCATCTTCTGAGTTTTCTTTGTATGGAGAAATTCAGGAGAGAACTTTAGTGGTAAAGTTACTCTCTTCCCAGCTGGTGTGTCGGCAGCTTGAGGAGCCAGACTTGGAAGCCGCCTCCCCTTACGTGGACTTTACTGGACGTGGCCCTGACCTGGGCACACGGAGGTGCTCAGCAGAGTTGTGTCGGTGGACTAGAGTGCCAGCTTGCTTGGTGGAGACCAGAGTTGGCAGATCAGACCTTGACGCACAGTCCGCTCCACAGGACTTGCCCCAACCAGGGCAGGAGTATGTTGTAAGGATGGGGACTGCAGTATTGAACCTGCACAGCTGGGCTACATAAGGGAAAGACTCGCCGGCTATGTTAGGAATTCATACCTTTGGAATTCCTTTTATCCTTGAGGCCCTGCTCATGGAGGGGAGGGTCAGGTCACTCTGTCCCCTTCCGCACACCTCACCTCTAATCCTAGCCAGATGACTCTTAAACTCAGAGTGTGGGCCCTGGAGATAGCTTGGTTTCAAATCCCGACTCTTGTCACTTCAGTAGCTGGGTAATCTTGCCATAATCTTTGTGCCTCAGTTTATTCCTCCTTAAATAGGACTAAGAGTGCCACTGGAAGATGGATAAATGCTGGGTGTCATTGCTATTACTCCCTTGACAGGAAGAGGAGTGGGCCCTAAGTAGGACTGCTTTGGTGCAACCATCGCCTCCTACAGGCCAAATGACAAAAAGCACATGCCTGGCAGTCACCCACTCCTACCCACATTCACTCATAAGGTGGTGATGATAATAGTAAATAGGATGAGCTGGGGAGTTTGTCCCTGCTGGAGGTGGTGGGTTACTAAGAAGTGGGTGCCCTTGAGACATATTTCCTGGCTGTTCTACAGAGAATAACCGCATCTACCTTTTGTCAAACACATAGCAAGGCCCTGTCCTCGGCTGAGAGCTTCACATACACAATCATGTTCAGTCTCCCCAGCAAGCAGGGAAGCTCAGAGATACAGTAACTTGCCTAAGACAGGCCTCTCTGACCCCAACGGCCACACATTTACCACTGAGCTGTCTACCAGGAGCCTCAGTTTGGTATCACAGACCAGACTTCCTCCTGACCTCTCCCTGGCTGAGCACTTGGGCACCAGGACCTACCGAGACTTGCTGAGGCCTGCAGCCAAGCTTCTGTCACGGATCCGTGTCTTCATCACCTCGTTGTAATCGCCATTCTTGAAAATAGGATGTGCAAACCAGCCTCCCATAAACTGCAGGTGGGGTGGGGGTGACAACCTGGGCATTAACAGGGGGTCACACTAGGAGACAGCAGCTTTCCTGCTCACAAGTCACTCAGAACCCACCCCTTCCTTCCAGCACCTCCCTTCCCCACCCCGTCTTAAACTTGCATCTCCTCTGCAGCTGTTTGCATGTTCCAGCTTAAATGCCCACAGGTCTTCCCACATGCTACCATCTCCTTGCGGAGATTCTCAACCCCTGCAGCTCAAAAGGAGATGAACTGCACTGAGCACTGCCTCAGGACTCAATAGATGCTGCCTGGCTGCCCTTGGCAGGGTCGTGCAGAAGAGCAGGAGAGACTAGAAGCTTCCAGGCCGTGGATTTCCTTTTATCACAGAGCAGGCCCTTCTCCATCATCCTGCCCTAAGGATCAACCAGAACGGCTCTGGGGAGGGCTGAGTTGCAAGGATTTCCTGGCTGCCCAAGGCCAAAAGTTCCCTGGGGAACTTTTCAGCCTATTTTCTTGAATGGGGTCTAGACCATCCTTACCCTTAGGGGAGATATGTGGCACCCAAATGCTATGATGCTGGGGTCCTGAGAGGCTGCTTTGGTCTCTCCCCATCCCCTTACCTGCTGGCTGATGCCTTAAATGTGGGGTGAGGGCAGCCTTCCATTCTCAGAGAGGCGGCTTTGGAACACACACACCCTGGCAAAAGAGGCTTTGGCGTACTCGAGGTAAAGTGTCCCTTTCTGTGGAAGCTGATTTTAGGGTATGTATCATGATCCTGGGCCGCAATATCACAGTTGAACAGGTGGCTCAATCTAATGAGATTAGAGCCTAACATTTCCTGAGGTTTGGGGTTTTGACTTCAGGAAAATTATTGCTCTACTTTACCAGTTCTGTGAGTCTAAAATGAGAGATGCATTATTTTTGTTCCAAGACTTTTTTCCTAGCTGGCTAATAAATGGGAAAATTAAGCTCTTACTTGCATTCATTAATTTGATCGCTGTTACCAAGTTCTCTTGTGAGAAGTCTGGCAAACAAAGAGCCAGGTTGTCCCCTCAGAATGCTGCTGTCTTCAGGCTCCTCCACAGAGCCAAACGGGGGTTCAGTGTGGAGAGACCCTTGCCTTTCTTTTCTGATGCTGAAACATGGGAGAGGGTGCTTTCTAACCCCATCAGAGACACGAGCAAGAATCAGGGAAAAGCTGTGCCTTGACAAAGGCCATTCTTTTCTCTCCTGATGTCAGGGGCTCACACTGAAGGAAGGATGGGCTATTTTGTTGGCACCTGCTTACTAGTGACTCTTCTTTCTTTCTTTCCTTTTTTTTTTTTTTTAAAGAAAGATTATTTTAGAGCGTGAGCAGGGGCAGGGACAGAAGGAAGCGGGGAGAATCTTAAGCAGACTCTGTGCTGAGCACAGAACCCCATATGGGGCTAGATCTCACGACCCTGAGATCATGACCTGAGCCAAAAATCAAGAGTCAGACGCTTAACCAACCGAGCCAGCTAGGCACCCCGTAACTACTTTCTAGGAGCAAAATTCCATGACCAAAGGTGCATGTCCTTATGTTAAACTCAAAGAATTGGAAAATTATGGGCACTAATGAATTTCACAGAATCCAAAGTCCCCCAACTCCAGGAATTCTTAGGCCGAATACATAAAATTTGATGGTGAAGTGTGACATTGCAGCCCAGCTCTATCAGCTACTATAATCAAACCAGAGATTGAAGAGATGGAATTTCTGTTACCTTCAAGCCAGTATTGCATGCAGCAAGGACTACATGGACAAGTCATTTTTAAGACTTAAAACTCAACCCCAAAGAACTCTGATCGCAGCAAACCTATGATATAGACAGGTCGCCTCTGCTTCATAGATGAGAAAACTAAGGTACAAAAATGTTTAGGTGATTTTTCCAAGCTCACGAAATCAGGTAATAGCAAAACAGGGCCTTGAACCTAAATCTTTGTTTTGCAATCTAATTCCATTTCCATTAGCTGATGACAGGAGGGAAAGACAGGCAAGAGTATTAACAATGCCCAGAGGAAACACAGACCTGAACGTATCTCCTGGCGGCCTCCACATCCTCCTGGTTGGAGGGGTCTCTGGGCTCAGCCCAGTCACTGCTGATGGTGATGGAAATCACGCCACCTTGCCTGGTGCGGTACACATCATTGTACAGATGCCAGGCCTCAGCATGAGCCTTTAGGAGGTTGTGGCCAACGATGTAGGGGGCAGTGCCAGGCCTAAAGGAGATTCCTGGAAACACAGGGATGTCAACAAAGAATGAACATGGCCAAGAATATTGCTCTCTCCCTACAGATAACATCTATGTTTGGGAAAAAGCGTGTAGATTTTGGTATTAGGAGGAAGCGAATTCAAATCCTGGCTGTGTAACTTTGGTTTCTAGCTGGCTGTGTAACTTTGGGTAATTCAGTCTTTCAGATTCCTCCTTGGCAAAGTGAGCAATAAGAAAGTTCTTGTGAGAAGGAAATGGGAGTGTGTATGTGAAGCACCTAGCAGCACTGTGTCTGGTGAGAAGATGGTAAATGTTGGTTTCTGTAACATTCTCCCAAAGAGTGGCTCCTACAGATCGGGCCAGGTACCCAGCAGAGTATGTGCCTTGGGAGTGGACATCCTGGAACTCTGTGGGGACCTACAGTGGAAGTAAGGGTTGGAGAATTCGGCTGATGAAAGCAGCTGATAAGAGATTCCTTGAGAGCAAATGTCGTGAGAAAGGCCCCACCTCTCACATGTTAAAGGAAGTTGAAGGAATGGTAAACCAAAGCACCAACCAAGGACCAATGGGAGATAAATGTGGTAACGACTTAAGCTCAGAACTAGAGAAAAGGTGAATTGGATGGTTCTAAAGGCACAAGAACAGGTCCACAGTCCCTTATTCAAAACCCTTCAGGTCTATGTGGTCTGGAAGTACAAGTGTTTTGTGTCTTAGAAAAGTAATAAGTTGCAGATAACTTTACACAGCACCCCAATCAGACCCAGGAGAGCGCTCTGTAATCAAGGACCCGAATGTGGCTGCAGCAGAAATGCCCACATTAAGTGGGATAATAATGTCTGTAAGCAGCCTCGTATTGGTTCAAGTCAGGATGAGCTCAGGTGAGCCGAATCAGTTCTTGGAAACTTGGGTTTTGAAGTTGCAGAAAACACACAGTGGACCTGTACAGTCTGATGGCCTGTCCTTTCCTACATCAATTAGTCCCTGTCTCTGATCTCAGGAAGCTTTCCATCTGAGGCAGGGCAAAAAAAGCACAAAGAAATGAAGCCATTTGGAGGTACTGACCTGTAAAATCCATGTTTAGCAAAAAGTGGTGTCAGAAGGGGAAACCTGCTGTGTGTCAGGCAGCCTTGAACAAGAGCAGAGATTCAGAGGCAGCACCACTGAGCTTTCTTGGCCTCTTCTTCCAGGGCCACCTGGATTTCAAGTTTTGGTGGGGCTAAGAATGCCATGCTCCAGAGAGCTGGCAAGTTGAGCCTGGGACCCTCACCTGGAGCTGATGTCCCATAGCCATAGCCCTGGTTAGCGATGACAAAGGGCTCGTTCAGGGTGATCCAAAACTTCACCTTGTCCCCGAGCCTCTGGAAGAGCACCTCTGCATACTCTTTAAACCGCTGCACAATGGTCTCATTCTCCCAGCCTCCAACATCCTGGAGTGCCTGTGGCAGATCCCAGTGGTACATGGTCACCTGTGGAGAAAGCAAGATCAGCATCTCCATCCAGAGTGCTCCAACCACAGCAGAGAAGGAATGAGAAGACCAAACAGTTCAAAGGTTCTTTGGTGGGATAGGGAGGGCAGAAGTGTTGAAGTGTGAGAGAATCAACATCTGCGTCGGAGAAGACTGGGTTTGAGTCCCGGCTCTGCCATCTGCCCGCTGTGTGACCCTGGCTCAGGCACTGAGACCTGCACATCATGGAGTCGTGGTGGGGCCAGGGATCCTCACCACTAGTGCTCCAGAACCTCCCTGCGTAGACCATGCTGAGCGTCTGAGGCTCTGAGGCTCCGGGAGAGTGGAAGTGTTTCCCTTATAAAGGGACACCCCCGAGAACATCATCCAGTGTGTCTGCATGCTCTTCCTGTGCAGCTGGGAACCCTTTGCTGGAGACGGCCCCCCTGGCCACGTCCATGTGGCCTTCCCCTTGATGCCCTCACACACCCCATCTTGGCTAAGCGGGGTCTCCACTGTCCTCGGTCTGCACGGGGCCTGCTAACCATCTTCAGCCCAGACGCAGTCTCTCCCTTTGCCTGGCATGCCTTCCCCTGCCCACGTATCCATCCAGATTCTCCTCTCTATTCAAGCCCCACACCGCCCTAGCGCCTTTGCTTTCCACCACGGCTTGGTGCCCTCAAAGCTCTACCGTCCTTGGCCCTGAGCTGCCTGCCCTCTGATGGTGTTCAGAATTGTGTGTGATGAAGTTCATTGTCCACTCAGACCCTGGGTCCCACAGGGCAGCCACTGGCCATGTTTTCTCTCCGCATTCATGGTAATAAGTGCTGCATGGCTAGTTAGCTCCTGCCATGGTATCAGTATGGGCAAAGAAGTCCAGATAGCACTTTATTTGGGGCGAGGTGGGGGGGAGTCGGAACCGTGGGGATTACGGTCTGGCTGCAGTATGTAATCTCAGCCATACAGCAGAGGAAGTGCAGAGCTTCGTAGAAGGTGCCCTCCACCGCTTTACCACACGTGCCCAGGGCAAGAGGCAAAGCGTCCTTAGGCTCCCAAGTAAAACTCTAAAATTTTGGTGAGATCCAAGTAAGCTCACAAGTGAGCTTCTGTATCATTATTCATAATAACTCTGAGCTGAAAACCACGTGCCCTTTTGCCCCAGTAATTCTGCTCCTAGGACCACAGCCTACGGATGAATTTACAGCCAGGTGACTCACTGCACTACTGGTTAAAATGGCAAAAGACTGGAAAAGCCACAGGGAAGAGTGTTGATAAAAAGGAAAAGTAGTTCTAGAGGTAAGGAACAAACAGAATTCCACGTAACTTAAAAAGAAAAATCGACAAGGAAACTAGATACAGATATGGAATTATGGGCCAGAAACACTGTTAAAAAAAAGCAAGTACCAAACTGCATGTATGTGAGAGTTATGAAAAAAGAGGGAGAAAGGAGCAGACGTGCACACATGTATACGTCTCCTGGCTAATGGATGCAAAAGGAGGCCATGAGAACCTAGCCAACTTGACTGCCTTCTTTAAGCCAGGGAACTGGATGGCTGGGGGTCAAAGATTGCAGGCAAATCTTCATTGTGGACTCTTACACCTTTAAAATTCTGTGCCATGTGAATTTACTGACAGTTCAAAACCTGAATCTGAAAAGAGCACTTTGTGTATGGAACAAAGAGCCCCCTGGCCCAACCGGCTCCCACACGTGGACTGGATCAGAGCCCGGCCAGGGCCCGACCTCACCTGGGGCTTGATGTCGGCGGCCAGCAGCACGTCAATGAGCCGCACGTAGTAGTTGAGACCCGCTTCATTGATGTACTTGGTGGTTCCATCCGGGAGGATGCGCGACCAGGCAACAGAGAAGCGATAGTGGGACACACCCAGGTTCTGCAGGGCGACCACGTCCTCAGCAATCTTGTGGTAACTGTCACAGGCCACATCGCCGGTGTCGTCGTTGCCAACCCTCAGTGGTGTGTGAGAAAACGTGTCCCAAATACTGAGTCCTTTGCCATCTGCTCTCCATGCGCCTTCAATCTCAAGGTGACAAGACATGGTCTAGTTAAGTGCTGCAGTCAAGCCCCCCCAAGTTCCTGTCAACAGGGGTGTTGCGAGTCAGGACGCAAGGCAGAGTCACCTCCTCTGGGAAACTTCTCTGGCCACCCTCTGATTTCTGAGCTCCTGCAGCCTTCCGTACATGCTGTCTGTCCACCCCAGCACTGTCGCTCTGCGTCACGCAGTTGTGGGAGCGCTGACGGACCTCCCTAGGGGCTTTCGTCTGGGTGTCCCAGTGCTCAACACAGCAGAGTCTGGTGTATGGCAGGTGCTCACTAGAAGTCGGAATGAACAATGCCACATGCCTCCAGTCCCCATCAAGGTCAAAAAATACCAGTGGTGCCACTGTGGAGGCAGAATTTCTAATTTCTAACCCGTGTCATGGTTTCTGTGCCTCCTTTCTCTCCTCCCACCTACCTTATAGGGAAAGTGACCGTAAGCCACTGGGCAAATGCCTACTTAGAGACTTAGGTAATGGGACAGGTACAAGTTCTGTAATTTACTTTTTTTTTTTTAATTGATTTATTTTGGAGACAGAGCAAGCATGCACGAGCTGGGGTGGGGGGCAGGGGCAGAAAGAGAGGGAAAGAGCGAATCCCAAGTAGACTCCCCACCAAGCAAGGAGCCTGACGCGGGGCTCGATCCCACAGCCCTGCCATCACCACCTGAGCCGAAATCAAGAGTCAGACACTTCACTGACTGAGCCAGCCAGGCGCCCCTACTTCACTTTAAAGCACTACAGCACATGTGCTGTGATGTTATGTGACTGGCCGCCGCCAAGGTAGTGCTGGTATCCCAGCCAGGAACACCCGCCCAGGCCTGGCCTGCACAGCCCCCATGCGAGCGGTGGGCCCAGGGCCAGCAGGCCCGCACCGGTGCAGGAGATGGGCTTGGTGGCTGGGAGATTGGTGAATGCAGGGAGATGGAGAACATAAGTGACGAGGTTGAGGCTCTTCGGAGCTAGATTTTTCACCACTGGAGAAAGGAGATACAAATACGGCAATGGGAAGGCTAGCATTAAGCCTATGGAGTGGGGTTGGAAGAGGAGATATCAGTATGAACTCACTGTTTTTCAATCTACATAGAGATGGGATGGATGTAGAAATACATACAAGTGCACGTGTTTGCGTGTACACACGTGTATTTCCTGGCTCTGTCTATGCGGGAGCTGAGGAATGCAGACACCCCAGTGGTGGTGAGCACACCCAGCACCTAGACCTGGGGTTCTAAATGCCCCGTCCGGTAAAAGAGGCCGGGGCTCATTAGAGAAATAGATGGTTATAAGGCTGGGGCAGAAAAAGGCCCAAGATGAGCCTGTAGCATCTTGTACCAGAAAGAACTAAGAAAGTGCTCAAAGAATGATGGGCCATGTGAAAGGGACACAGGATCAGGCTAAAAGGCACACCCCCCGCCATGGGAAAATGTGAACATCTAAATACATAACACTAGCAAAAGTATAACTGATTGAATAAAATAGGACTCCATGAGACCATACTGCTGATGTACATTTATATAGTATAAGTAAATAGGAGAAAAGTAAAAGCTTGACCCTTCTGTTGAGTGCCACCTAACAAATACAAGAGGAATGATGAAATGAGAAAAATCAGTTTGTCGGCTATCACTGTAATAACCGATTCAGGCAAAAATTATTAACAGTTGCTAGAATAGGTAAAATTTGATGAGGAACAGGTTATTTATAGGGTCTCCAAGTAGCTCCCCACAAAATACTTATCATTTATAACTATAAAATACTAATTTTATGGTAGAGAAACCTGGAGAAGACCTTCTCATTCAAGTGATAAAATCAGTTTCATATACATATAATATCTATGTGTATGTATATACACACACAGAACATAAGGCAAATGGTAAAATTTTAACAGTTGAGGAATATGGGAAAAGGGTTTATAGGAGTCCTCTACTATTTCTGCAGCTTTTCTCTATGTTCAAAAAGATTTCCAAATAAGAGGTTTTAATAAGAATGCACGATCGGGGCGCCAGTGTGGTGCAGTTGGTTGACGCAGTCTGACTCTTGGTTTTGGCTCAGGTCCTGATCTCAGGGTCGTGAGATCGAGCCCTGCGTTGGACTCATGCTCAGCGCGAAGTTTCTTTAAGACTGTCTCTCCCTCTCCTTCTGCCCTTCCCCCATACGCATGAATGCTCTCTCTCAAATAAATCAATCTAAGAAAAAAAAAGAATGTACAATCAGGTGATATCTAATCAGGAAGCCCACACTATAAGCACTTCTCATCTGTTCTTGATTTGTACATGACACTTTGTTAATTAGACGATCTAAGGTCACAGATGACGAGAATTGTGCCTGCTAACCACCTGATGAATAGAAGTGGGTGCTTGCTGACGCCAATTTAATCATTCAAGATGTGGGTTGGCTAAAAGCTTTTTAAGACACTCCTTTCCCTTGCATGGACAGGGCTTAAGAATCCTACAGGGCCTGCAGCCTGTTCCCTAGAATCAATTCCCTAACCCTTCCTGTGTCCAGCTGTAAACCTGTGGGGTAGTGGCTCTCCCGCAGGGGCTATTTTGTCCCAGAACAGACATTTAGCAATGTCCAGAAACATTTTTAGTTGTTACAAGTTGGGGAAGAATGTCCTGATGTCTAGTGGCTACAGACCAGAGAGGCTGTTAAACATCCAGCAGGGCAGAGGAAAGCCCCAAAACAAGGAATCATCCATGCCAATGTCCATCAGGCCGAACTGGGGAAACCCTGGACAGCGGGTTCTGTTGGCTTGAAGTGAGAGTAACAGAGTATTGTCTCTGAAATCTTGGCATTTCCTCAAATGATTCTTTCATGCAAGGTGTTGGCCAGAGCACCGAAGAGGACCAAGAACTGGGGTTTCCTCCAGCCCACAGAACAGGATCCATGAACAGCTTTTGTGTTTGTACATTTACTTAATCATGTCCGGACATGGCAGAATTTGGCCTGAGACTTTGCTGTAACCTGGTAGTGCGGTCATCTGGGAGTAGCGAACCCTCACCTCCCTCCAAAACATTTTCAGCAGCTCTGGTTGTCTAGAACACACCCAAGGGCTGAGTGCATCCTGGGTCAGGTCAGCTCACAGCACTGACCCTGACCAGGTCCCACTCCCCCTACTCCTGCTTCAAAGGCAATCAGCAGAGGCAGAAGATGTAAAGCAGCGACTCCTCACTAACTGCCTGGGCAAGTCACGCTTTGTTTTTTATCTTCCATTTTTCTGGCGAAAAGCAAAACCCTTATGTTTTCTGTATCAGTGAGCTTCATTTGGCACGAATAAGCTAACACTGAGATGTGGTCAGGACATCAAAACAAGCCCAGGCCCCTGTGACAGTCATTCTGAGCCAACTGCCTGCTTGGAAGAGGCTGGGTGACAAATAGCCCCATTCCAGCAGAGAAGCTTCCTGTTTGCACGTCTCTGCCTAAGTGTCTGTGCCCAGCTTCACTGCTCCGTTTTGCCTGCCAACACCCGTCTCAGCACAGCCCTAGAAGCTGGTCTGCCTGAATTCGGGGATGTGAAGAAGCCAGGCTGTTCAGGGAAAGGACCTCCCCGACTCCCTGCATGGTACCTGTACTTCCCTCCCACAGGTCTGTGAGAAGCCCCTGCTCTTACCTGCCCTCCCGGGGGGTGCACAGAAGGTACGCAACACATGTTGCTGAACGGCCCCGGACTTCTCACCTGATAGGCGGCGGAAGCCGCACTCCAGATGAAGCCCTCGGGAAAATGTCCATAGAGAAACTCATCTTCCCTGGGCTGTGGCATGCCGTTGTTGGTGATGACCTCCGTGTAGTACCTGGCCGAGGCTCTGGCTGTGCGAGGCCTGTTTGTGTTACTGAAATCTACATGGTACAGTCCAAACTTGACTGTGTAGCCATTCAGCCACTCAAAGTTGTCCATCAGAGACCATGCAGAATAGCCTCGAAGGTCTACACCATCCAGTCTGTAGGCTGGGAACACCCCAAAGGGAGCAGAGAAGAGCTTTACACCAGGAGGGTGAGGTTCCCCAGGAAGCCTAGCCAAGACTGGCCCCTCATTCAAGACAGTAGTCCTAAACCATTACCTCCTACACACAAGTAATGTATGCCCAGATAGACATATCACCTTGTCTTTTTTGCCAGCACTGATGCCCTCACAGCAATAATTAATGACCGATCTTTGCAAAATCAAATTCTTTTGTTGGGGTAAAGGGACATGCCTCAAATCAACAGTCTCAGCCCACTTTAGAAGTTAAACATACAAATGTGAATTAGAGAAGAGTTTCTTGTTCTGGGGTGCATGGAACTCACCAGAATATAAGCTCCATGTTATCTTTTTGTTCACTGCACTTAGAATAGAACTTGTCACATAGCAGTTGCTCAGTAAGGAATGGATGGACCCATGAAAATACTCTTTATTTGTGGGAAGATGACCGTAGCTTTTTTTCAGATTTCTGAAGGGATATGTAACCCCAGATAGGAAAAGAATTATGGAGTTAGGGCCTAAGAGAGACTTGTTGATGGTTTGGAATCCACTCCGCCAAACTATGGATGCTGGAAGATTCTGTAGAGGGGACATGAATGCTCACATACCTTTCAAAGCTTCATTGATGTAGGTTTTGTGGTAAAATATCCTATCGGTATCTTCCACTTTCGGATTACTCAGCCCCACTCCGTTTTCAGTGATGTAAATGGGGATGTCCCCATACTCTTCCTTGATCCAGTTGAGTAGTCTTCGCGTCCCCCAGGGCGCAGCTCTGTTCATTGCTGTGGAAGGCCATGAAGAGTCCTCCTCCTCGGTTTTCTCCTGGTCATCTTCATAGGAGGGTGGGTTTAACCTGGGCGTTTTGTGCTGCACAATTCTGGAGTAGTAGGTGTTGAGGCAGAACACGTCGGCTGTAGCCCTGATGTACCTCTTCTCTTCCTCAGTGAAGCTTGGCAGGCGGGAGGTGGCTAAGTGTTGAAGTTCACTCCTATTCCCCACTTTCCACTTCATGGCATCGGGATAGTCTCCATTTCGGAAAATGGGGTGGGCGAACCAGCCCAGTGAGAACTGCAGTGATCGGTCAGCTGCCTCCACGTCCCTCAGGATCTCCGGTGACTTGGGCTCTGCCCAGTGTGTACTGAGGCTCAAAGAGATGACCCCCTTCTGTTCCTGCCTATATTTCTCATCATAAGTGTGATAGACTCTGGCATGAGCTTTGATGATTGCATGGCCAATCCTGTAAGGTGCCCAACCTGGGTCCTTCACCTGTGGAGGAAACTCCCCTGAGCCATAACCTAACCAGGCCTGGTATGTGGGCTCATTAAAGGTCATCCAGAACTTGACTCTGTCCCCAAAGGTCTGGAAACAAAAGTCTGCATAGCTGTTAAACAACTCAATCAAGGAAGGATTTTCCCAGCCTCCAATATCCTGGAGGGCCTGGGGCAGGTCCCAGTGGAACAGTGTCACCATGGGTGAGATGTTGCTTGCCACCAAGCCATTGATCAGCCTGTTGTAATAATCAACACCATGTCTATTGATAGAACTCTTTCTCCCTGTTGGGAAAATCCGAGACCAGGAGAGAGAGAAGCGATAGGCCTTCACCTTCAAAGCTCGAAGCATATTCAGATCGGCATCCAATTGGTTATAGCTGTCACAGGCGATGTCTCCAGTGGCGTTGTCTTTCACACTGCTCCCTGGTGTGTGGGTGAAGTTATCCCAGATGCTGGGGCCTTTGCCATCAGCATCCCAAGCTCCTTCAATCTGATAGGCTGATGAAGACACGCCCCACAGAAAGTCATCCCTGAAAGTGCCATGGTAGAACAGATCTCTTTCAAACTTGGGTTGGTTGGAGAACTTTTCCCAAACTACTTTAGCCTTGGAGGGCACATCAGATGGAAAAGTGAAGGCTCTCATTTTAGGCGGAAAGTTTGCTGTACTGGGTGGTGGCAGTCTCTTTACTACCTTGGGAAGGAAACCGTTCTTTTCAATGATGCTGGTGAAAAAGTAGGCAGACTTCCTGGGAGTCCTTGGCTTGCTGCTATTATTGAAGCTGACGTGGTGCAGCCCAAACCTCTGGCTGTAACCAGAGGGGCCTTCGAAGCCATCCATGAGGGCACGAGCGATGTAAGATCGAACATCCACCAAGTCCTCCTTAACAGCTACAGAAAAAAACAAAACTCAGGATTATTTTAATGTCTCTGTTACTGATGTTGCTATTTAAAGGTTTTCTTTTGATATGCACACTTTGGAGGGGACTTGGGTTACCCCAAAAATGCTAACCCTTTTTCCCTAGAATGAATAAAAGAAAAATTCCTAAGACCCTACAAATCATCAGGCCACATCTATGGTCATAAGTCTCAATCCAGAGGAGTCTCATGAATATGAGAATGTGTCCCATCTGCTATTATCAGGGCTTCTTAATTTTTTATAGAATGCATAAATATTTACAATGTACTTTTGTTTTTCCTTATGTTTAGCAATACGGACATAAAATGATCACACAGCCCATCTTTAAAAAGAGAAATAAAGCCTACAGTAAAGTATTCCCTGGTACAGTGGGTTGAATAGTGATTCCCAAAAAGATATGTCCAAATCTTAACTTCCCATACCAGTGAATGTAATCTTATTTGGAAAAAGAGTCTTTGTAGATGTAATTAAATTAAGGATCTTAAGATGAGATCATCCTACATTAACTGGGTGAGTCAGAAATCCAATGGCAAGCATCCTTAAAAGAGAAATAGAGAAGGTCCACATGAAGATGGAGGCAGAGATTGGGGTGATACAGTCACTAGCCAGGGAATGCCTGGAGCCACCAGAAGCTGGAAGAGGCAAGAAAAGAGTCTACTCTGGAGACTTTGGAGGGAGAGTGGCCCTACTGACATCTCCATTTTGGACTTCTGGCCTCCAGAAATATGAGAAAATATGAAAGAAAGAGAGAGAGAGAGAGGGAGGGAGGGAGGGAGGGAGGGAGGAGAGAGAGAGAGAGAGAGAGAGAGAGAGAAAGAAAGAAAGAAAGAAAGAAAGAAAGAAAGAAAGAAAGAAAGAAAAGAGAGAGAGAGAAAGGAAGGAAAAGAAAAAGAAAGTCTAGTGAGTCAACCAAAAACCAGCATCAGAGTAAAGCAATGGCTTTGGGCTCAAACTGGGAACCAGCAAAGTATTAAGCCCTATTTTTAACAGATTACACAGCCTCTCAACAAGCACTAACTGTATAAGAGGCAGGTAATTCATATATTTTGTATAGTTCATTTAATCATTCAATAAATAATTTAGTAAGCACCTACATTGTCCCAGGCTGTAATAGGCTCTGGAAACAAAGAGGAATAGAAGCCTCATAGGTTTGTGGGTATTGCTGAGACAGAAATAGAAAGGCATACTGTTTCACTCACTGGCTGTTTGGGCACATCATGTAATTTCTCTGAGCATCAGTTTTCACAATTGTTCTATGAGGATATCTGCTTACTGTGCCTGGGTGGCTCAGTCAGTTAACCGTCTTTGGCTCAGGTCATGATCCCAGGGTCCTGGGATCGAGCCCCGCATCGGGCTCCCTGCTCAGTGGGGAGCCTGCTTCTCCCTCTCCCACTGCTGCTCCCCCCTGCTTGTGCTCTCTCGCTCTCCCATTCTCTATCAAATAAATAAATAAAATCTTTTAAAAAATTATTAGGGGCTCCTGGGTGGCTCAGTCGTTAAGTGTCTGCCTTCGGCTCAGGTCATGATCCCAGGGTCCTGGGATCGAGCCCCACATCGGCTCCCTGCTCCGCGGGAAGCCTGCTTCTCCCTCTCCCACTCCCCTTGCTTATGTTCCCTCTCTCGCTGTGTCTCTCTCTGTCAAATAAATAAAATCTTTAAAAAAAAAAAAAGATATATGCGCCCTGTTCATTGCAGCATTAGTTACAACAGCCAAATTATGGAAGCAGCCCAAATGTCTATCAAAAGATGAATGGATATAGAAGATGTGGTATTTATATATACAATGCAGTATTACCCAACTGTAGAAAAGAATGAAATCTTACCAATTGCAACAACATGGATGGATATAGAGGGTATAATGCCAAGTGAAATAAGTCCATTAGGTAAATACAAATACCATATGATTTCATTCATATGTGGAATTTAAGAAACAAAACAAAGAATACAAGAGACAAACCAAGACTCTTAACCATAGAGAACAAACTGATGATTACCAAAGGGGAGGGGGTGTGGGGATGGGTGAAATAGGTGAAGGAGATTATGAGTACATTTATCATGAGGAGCACTATGTATAGAATTGTCAGATCACTATATTGTATACATAAAACCAATATAACACTGTATGTTAACTATACTGGAATTAAAATTTAAAAAAATTTTAGAAGACATACATACAAAAGAATGATTCTGTAGATATGAATTAATTGGATCAAAGTGAATGGTGTGGAATGTAGGCGTTATAGTTAAAGAAGATGGAGAGGAATGTGGCCAGAACAATGAGGGAAGATTTAATGGGTTGGAGTCCCATCTTATAATGCCATTGTCATCCTATATTGTAATTTTCTGTGTTCCTCAGTAGACTCTGAGTGTCCTATGGGAAAAGATGATATTTGTTCACTATTTAACCCCTATGGTCTTGTGCAATGTGTGGCACATAATAGGCACTGAATACGTTTTTATTAAATGAATGCATTAAAAGATGATGAGTCTTGATCAGTGGATAAGACTCAGATGGGCAGAATGTAGAAGGCATTATAGGGAATAAGAACATAGGAACAAAGACTTGAGGCTTCTGGGGGAGACAGGAGGGTAATGTTCGGGATTCATGATATTACTACTACTACTACTTTTGGCTTCATTTTCCTGGAAGACTGTCTTTGTCTCATTAAACAAAACTCTGAGGCTTGGAGAAATACCAAGTACCAAGTACCAAGAAGTACCAAGAAGTTCCAATCACCAGCATATCCACCATTCTTACCCTTGAGCACCTCGTTGATATATTTTTTGAAGTAGTCTACTCTCAAGGAATCTTCAAAGAGATCTTCGGTCTCCCCTGTGGGCATGCCATTCCCAGCCAGGTAGATCGGAACTGTTCCTCTTGTATATTCCAAATATGCAAACTGCAACAGTCTCCTTATACCCCAGGGCACCACATAAATCCAAGGGGATGAGGTCTGGGGCCAAGCAGGGTCCACATGTTGGGAGAAGCCTCCAATGGTATCATAGCTGGGGATGCAGGAATCTTCTTGGGCCTTGCTGATAAGGCGGGAGGTATAATGAGACAGACCCAGAAAATCAGCGGAGGCTTTGAGGAGCTGCTTCTCTGCCTCGGTGAACTCAGGGAGCTGGGCCACAGGACTGGGGCACTGTTGGTTCATCTGTTGGATCTGGGCCTTCAGGGCAGCAGGGTAGTCTCCATCCACAAAGATGGGGTGTGCAAACCAGCCCAGCATGAAGTGCAAGAAGCGTTCAGAGGCTCTGAGGTCCTCAGGCCTCTCTGGAGACAGAGGTTCTGCCCAGTCTGAGTTCAACACAATGCCCACGCGTCCCTGCTGCCGTGGACGATAGTGGCTATTATAGTGGTGCCAAACTCTGGCATGAGCCTTGAGAACCAAGTGAGCCACCTTGTGAGGAAGAAAGAAGGAAATACAGTGCTTAATAGCAACCAACAGTAAAGCCAACAACCATAAGCCAAGAGCAAGTCTACGACAACATCAACAAGTTAACACCAATGTCAATGTTACCAATGTTAATGACAACACTAACACTGAAAATGTCCACGTCAATAACAAGAGTAACGTAAACAACATCAGCAAGTCATCAACAAGTTAATGCCAGTGTCGGGGCGCCTGGGTGGCTCAGTCGTTAAGCGTCTGCCTTCGGCTCAGGTCATGATCCCAGGGTCCTGGGATTGAGCCCCACATAGGGCTCCCTGTTCAGCGGGGAGGCCTGCTTTTCCCTCTGCCCCTCCCCCTGCTTGTGTTCCCTCTCTTGCTGTCTGCAGAATAAATAAATAAAAAATCTTAAAAAAAATTAATACCAATGTCAACAAGTCAGCAATATCAATAAGAAGTTAAGACAGATGCTAACAGTGTCAGTAAATCAACGGCATGGACAATGTTGACACGGACAACACCATCAACACAACACCAGTGCCAGCAACATCAACAATGCAGACAACAGAGTCAGTAAGTCAACGACAATGTCAACGAGTCACCACCACTGACAGGTCAACAGCAGCAGCATCAATAACCATATTTCGTAGTAAACACTGTTAATGAATTCTCTCACGAATTTCTTACAACCTTATATGGGAAGTATAATTATTATTACCACTGTACAGAGGAGGGAAACAAGATCCAGAGAGATGTAGAATGCAGGAAGTCTGACTCTAGGCCTGTACTGTCCCAAACAATGCTATTCTGCCTTTGTTCTCAGTAATCCTTATTGACTAATTCATCAACAACGAATTTGGGGGGTCATTTCAGTTGACATACAAGGGATGGGACAATTCTTTCTAACCTACCGGTCTTCCTTTCTACTTAATGAAATCTAGGAAGAAAACCCATGACCAGGAATCTCTTTGTAGACTCAACTCAAGGTCTTACAAAAGTCAACAGCTTCCTTTGGCAGAGCACCGTGGGAAAACGGGCAAAAGCGGGGTGCCTGGAGTATAACAAACCTAGATTTGAATCTTGACTTTGTCACTAACTTGCTGAGTAAACTCAAACAATCTTCTCATTCAGTTTCCTTGTCTGTAAGAAGTGGTAATTACGGATCCATTTAGGACAAAGTAAGATCATGTATATCAAGCACCAAGCAGGAAGCTGGAGTGCAGGAGGGAGCTTGCTGCAGTCTAGCTTCCTTTCCTTTTTCGTTATCATCATCTGAAGAGGACGACACTTATTTTTGAAGAATTTATTATCAAAATATGCTCTAGGAAGTGAAACTCCTCACTGCTTCTCATGTTCCAAATGTTAGTCCTTAACTGGGTCCTCAACTCCATGGCAAACTGTGCTCCTTTCCAAAAAGCAGAAATGCTTGCCTTCTAAACCAGTCCGCGTCAGGCAGGGGGCTCAGTGGAGGATCAGACAACTAGCAGAACCAGCTACTTGTAAGAACACGGAAAAGGGTTAATGAGATGTCAGGTGAAAAATGCACACTAGGGTGATTGTGATGTGTCAGTGCAGGGTCATCAACTGAAGCAAATGTACCATGCTGGTGGGGAGGGGGTGTTGATAATGGGGGAATCTAGGGGGAGGGGCAGAGGGTATATGGGAAATCTAGGTAACTTCTGTTCAATTTTGATGTGAACTTCAAACTACTGTAAAAAAATAAAAGTCTACTTTAAAAATATGCACTAAATTGAGTGCACTCTGAGTACACTGTGAATGCAAGGGAGCCAGGACTGGATGGAAACAAGGGCAGAATTAGGAGAGACACTTTTTCTTTGAAATTTTCCCTTGATGGTATTATACTATTTTAACTAATACATAAAAGCAAGACGTGAAGGAGCAAAGTGAGGTGGACTTTCTAGGAGCCACACTTGTAGGGATAAGAAGCCAAAGGAGAAGCCTAAGGAGAAGAGATTAGGATGAGTTTTACAATGAGGAGACAAATAGAAAGGTTTCAACCTTCCATTTTCCGAAATGTTCTCTCTGTGTATACGGTCACTTTGCTGAACGAGAGCAGAGTGGAAGCCTTGACTTCAGTGTTATAGGGATTTTTGGCATTTCATCAAGTCACTGATTCCGATTTTTCTAGTGCATTCTGACTGTGGACATTTTGGACTGTTCTCTAATTTTCTTATATGTATTTGTATCATCTCCTCCAAAAAGTTTTAAATCTCAAGGACATGGGCCATGCATCCTCCTTAACACCCAGCATGGGGCACAGCAAAGACTCCTATTTCTGAACAGAACCCAAGTGCGGCAGGAGAAAGCCAGACTAAAGGTCCATCCTGGAGAAGGCTGCCAGGGGAAGCGGAGATTCTGAAGAAATATGGAAATGATGGGAAGGACCTGTATTAAGCCATTTAAATTTTTGTCTCCAGTATATACATCCCCTTCTTGTGGGAATGATACGCTGACTAGGCTCTGGAAAGCCAAACCCTTTCTCCCGCCCCACCTCTCAGCCAGTGTGTGAAGGGTAGAGCTGGGATCGGGACCCAGACCAGTGCTGGCATTCCAGTCCCCTAGCCTAGACCCAGTGACCGGTTCAGGGATGGGCACGCCACCCGTGCAGCAGCCCGGAGGCCCAGGCACGGGTTTGCTGGGAATGCCACAAGAGAGGCAAGCTTTCCTGCTCGTCTTGAAAGAGGGTTTCGCAGGCAGCCCAAGTAGAAAGCCAGTAGGGGGGCAAGAGAGGAAGAGAAATCGAGTACTAGTGGCAGCGTTTTGGGTCTGATCAGGCTCCACTGAGACCAGCTAAAACCCAGACTTTTCCATTTCCTGAGCAGCCAGATTCCCTCTTTGCTTGGGTCAGCCTAGCTTTGGTTTTCTGTCACCTCCACTAAGAGTCCTGGCTGATGTTGAGAACTTGCTGTGGAGTCAAGTAGACTTGGGCCCGAACTCTGGCTTCAAACGGCTGCCCGTCTACAGATGCCATCATGAAGCAGTTTCTGCTCTCTGGGCCCCCAGTTCCCTCAGCCACCAGCGCCGTTCCACGGATGCCATGACTTTTGCAAGTGCCAGCATGGTGTCTGGACAAAACAAGGTGATTAACAATTTCCCGCGCCTTCCCTCCCCCGCTCTGGCTTTCTTTAAAGGACGGGAAGGAGAGGCCTGCTGAAGAGAAGAGAAAAGGACTTTTCTCCCAGAGCAAGGTCTCCCCCAGTGAGGCGGCCCGACGGGGCCCAGAGGTACCTTAAAAGAGGCCACCCCCGGGTCCGAGATGCCCGGCGCGTGTCGGCCAGTGCCATAGCCGGCGTAGCTCATCACCCACGGCTCGTGGAAGGTCACCCACAGCTTCACGCGGTCCCCGAAGGCGGCGAAGCAGAAAGCCGCGTAGTCCAGGAAGGCGTCCACCACGCTGTCGTTCTGCCACCCGCCGTGCTCCTGCAGCGCCCGGGGCAGGTCCCAGTGGAAGAGCGTGGCCATGGGCTGGATGCGCGCGTCCAGCAAGCTGTCCACGAGCCTGCTGTAGTAGGCGACGCCCCGGCGGCTGGGCCGGCGCCCGCGCCCGCTGGGGAAGATGCGGGACCAGGAGATGGAAAACTTGTACACCTGAGCTCCGAGGCCCCGAAGCAGGGCCACGTCGGTGTCCACCTTGTGGTAACTGTCGCTGGCCACCTCCGGCGTCGCGGCGCCCTGGGCGGCGTTCGGGCGCCCCAGTGGGTCCCAGACGCTCGGCCCTCTTCCGCCCTCGGCCCAGCCGCCTTCCACGTTAAAGGCTCCCGTGGAGACGCCCCAGAGGAAGCCTTCGGGGAACACATCCCGCAGGAACGCGTCTCTTTCGGCCCCGGACTGGCTGGCAAACGTCCCCCAGACTCTCCGGTAGGCCGAGGCCCGCGGCGGCCACACGGCCCGCTGCACCGCTGCCTGAAGGGGAGGGCCGGCCGTCGGCGAGCAGGGCCCGCTGCGGGATTGGGAAGACAAGGGGACACGGGAATGACTCTGCGGGTCCTCTGCCCTGTGACGGCAACGTGTGTCATCAGTTAGGGCTCCAGGGACACGGAGTCAAAAGCCATCCGCACTAGGTTGTGGGCAGGAAGTGACTGAGGGGTGGGAAAATTACTATTATTGCCCCTCCTTAGGTACATTGTTATTGCTCCTGCAGGAGTCAAAACAGTGTGCCAAGCCTCCTGTTCCCTGTATTAGCTTGTCCTTGAGTACCGGTTTTGGTTCTGATGCCATGCTTTTTTCTTATTTATTATTTATAAAAAAAAAAAACACAAAACATAGCTAATTGGGGCCCCTCGGTGGCTCAGTGGGCTAAGCATCAGACTCGATTTCTGCTCAGGTTATGATCTCAGGGTCCTGATATCGAGCCCTGTGTTGGTTTCCTGATTAAGAGTCTCTCTCTCCCTCTGCCCCTACCCACCTCGCTCGCTCGCTCTAATTAAATAAAAACAACATAGTTAATAATAATGATGGCTTTAATTCATTCTGCCTTGATTCTGTGCTGGCCACTGTGATAAGAATGTAGGTCTCATTTAATTTTCACAAATTTATGAGATAAGTACTATAATTATGTATTCTTACCCTGCAGAAAAGGAAACGGAGACTTAGAGAAATAAGTTCTGGGCATCAGGGGACCAGCACCTATAAACCAGCTGGTACAGAAGTAGTTCAATAATTGAGCTATTGCTATAGCTCTACTGATATGCACCAGCTAAATATTAACACTAGCTCTTCCACCGAGACCTGCCCCGGGGCACTGCAGGAGCACGGTGAGTGGCAGTCCTTTCTTCATGCTGCCTCGATTATGGACATAATGGCAGGATCTCAAGCATCCATCCTGGACCATAAGGTAGAAGATAGGAGCCTTGATTCCCAGTGATTATACCTATTCTAGATTATCCATCTCCAGTCTTTTTTTTAAGATTTTATTTATTTATTCGAGAGAGAGAACCAGTGTGGGGAGAGGCAGAGGAAGAGGGAGAAGCAGACTCCCCGCTGAGTAGAGAGCCTGACATGGGGCTTGATCCCAGGACCCCAGGATCATGACCTGAGCTGAAGTCAGACGCTTAACTGAGCCACCCAGGTGCCCCCCATCTCCAGTCTTTTTAATGTAAATGAACTCCTATCTTCTTTTTTTTTTTTTTTAGGATTTTATTTATTTGACAGAGAGAGACACAGCAAGAGAGGTAACACAAGCAGGGAGAGTGGGAGAGGGAGAAGCAGGCTTCCCGCCAAGCAGGCAGCCCGATGCGGGGCTTGATCCCAGGACCCTGGGATCATGACCTGAGCCAAAGGCAGATGCTTAACGACTGAGCCACCCAGGCGCCCCTCTTATTTTCTTTTAAATGAGAACTTCTCCGTGATCACACAGTTTGCAAATCATTGAGCAGTCTGTGGTATCACTATATTTGTGTGTAGACATTTATATATATATTTTTTTTTTAATAAAGATTTTATTTATTTGAGACAGAGAGAATGAGAGACAGAGAGCATGAGAGGGAGGAGGGTCAGAGGGAGAAGCAGACCCCCTGCCGAGCAGGGAGCCCGATGCGGGACTCGATCCCGGGACTCCAGGATCATGACCTGAGCCGAAGGCAGTCGCTTAACCAACTGAGCCACCCAGGCGCCCGACATTTATATATTTTTAATATTTCATATATATTCAGATAAATATATATGTGAAATAAAACAATATAAAAATGCTATCCTGCCATGAATGCAGTCTATTTTCTATTTTATTTTTAATCCATTTCTCTCCTTCTGTCTTTCATTCTTTTATTTTTTTTTTTTAAATAAAACAGTTTTTTCTAACATTTCAAAACAAACCCTAAATTGGTTTCCCAATCTCCAAGTCCTGGCCTGTAGGCTGGAAAGCACAGTTCAATAGCATGTGGCAGTTCCACCAGCAGAGGACAACCTTGAGGAAGGGTCTGTGCAGGTGGGTGTGTTTGGTCTGGGGAAGAAAATACATGGGGTGGGGGTGGGGGGTACAAGGAGGTGCAGTACAAGAGCATCTCCTGTCCAAGGGCCATCATGTGGAGAGAGGATGACGTTTGTACTAGGTTGGCCCAGAGCACAGAACTGGTAGAAATGACAGGGACTCTGCAGAGGGGCCTCCATCCCATGGAGCAAAACCTGGGTCTTCCAAACCTAAGCACCTTATGTTTTATGAAGCATCAACTAACACATTTGCTAAAACAGCAGTAGGGGTGAAATGATCTATAGTTATGGATTATTCATAATATATGCAGGTCTCTGGAGCACAATCAGGGACACAGGTGACACCCACTCAGTGAAGAGCCTCAGCTGCTCTGACCCAACCCTCCTGACCCTGACTGTCCTCCTGGCTTGGAGAAAATGAGGTCTTGAAGAAATAAACAGCCCCTGTCTAAAATACAATTTGCTCTAAAGGCTTTTTTTTTTTAAGTTTAAAAATTATTTATGTAAGTAATCTCTACACCCAACATGGGGCTAGAACTCACAATCCTGCGATCAAGAATCACGTGTTCTTCTGACTGAGCCAGCAAGGTGCCCCTCAATTTACTCTAAAGGTTTTAATGCTGGGAGTCCTGGGTTTGCCTAACTTGGGAAGAGATTTAGCACACAAAGCCTCAATCCCTATGCCCAGGCCTTCCAGGTAGCCCTCCTTCAGCTGTCCCTCCCCGGCCCCCAGCTGCCTCAGAGCATCCCAGATAACGCTCTTTCTCCCCTGTCTGGGGAGCAGTGCCTTGTTTCCTGCCACAGTCTGGTGTCAGAGTCATTTGTGGGCCTCTCTGTCTCCCCGCTGAGGTCTAAGATCCTCAAAGGGAAAACCATGTTAATCCTGTTGGAAACCCGCCGCCCGCACTTGCTCCTGCCCCCAGTGGGCTCTCCACCAATGTCCACCTGAGTGAGGACCCCTGGCTGTTAGTTTGATGTTAGCCAGCGTTGGACCTTTGCTTCAGGCCAAGGTTTAGAGGGAGAACCTTAGAGCTGGTGTCACATGACTTCTTGTGGTTTTACAATCACTGAGCTTTCAGGGCAACCCTTCTTTTTTTATGGCCTCTTGAGTTCTATTTTCTGAAAAGACGTGGCCCAGCACTCCTCTACTGACTCTAAGTGTGGTAAGGGAGCAGTTCTGACCTGTCTCCTCTTTCCACCGTTCACAGTCCCAGGACAAAGCCTTACATGTAGCAGCCGCTTCGGGCTTGTTGATTTGACCTGCTGGCTTGAAGTGAGTTGAGAGGATTGAACAACAGAATGAAATATACAAGTGCTGGAAGAGGAAAAGGACAAAGAGGTGGTAGCAACTGAAGCGTAGGACTTTGGACAGAGCTGTCCTAGCAAAGTCTAAGGTGAAGGGCAAGGAGAGCTCCAGCTGAAAGTCTGGGAAGCCCAATGATTCTTTCTGGTCTTTGTCCTTTGTCCAAACATGGTGCATGAAGCTCATGCGTGTAACACACCCATGGAAGGCCGAGGGTTCTGGGGAACAACCCATGCTGGTTTCCACACCATCTTGTCTTAATCACTTGAGAAGCACATTAGATTATGAGTGTGTGAGGGTGTCATTATGGGGGTAATCTCAAACCTGCTCTAATTTTTTTTTTTAATATGCCATTTACAAATGTTGTTACTTCAGTTGTTCAGTAAGAAATTATTTGCAACCCCACCATAGATTAAAACCTTTCAGAGGCCCCTGGGTGGCACAGTCTGTTAAGCATCTGACTCTTGGTTTCGGCTCAGGTTGTGATTTCATGGGTTGTGGGATCAAGCCCTACATCGGGCTCTGTGCTCAGTGTGGAGTCCGCTTGGGTTTCTCTCTCTCCATTTCCCTCTGCTCCTCCTCCCTTGCTCTCTCCCTCTCTCTAAAATAAATAAATCTTAAAAAAAAATTAAATAAAACCTCTCAGAACACCACTGATTTAGGCTTCTGCCCCACTGCAACAGCTGAATCTCCAACCTACACTGTCTCCTTGTGGGAAAGATGTTTCACAGTTCACAGGAGGAAACAGGTGCAGAGAACTCACCTCACTTACTCAGGTCATGACTTCAGTGGGGTGGTCAGATCTATCTTTAACTCAGCCTTCCACAAACTCACACTACCCGCAACAAGATCTTAAACTAGAAGGCAGGGGTTCAAATCCCAGCTCAGCTTGCTGTGCTCACTTGGGCAAAATGCAAGGCTCCCAAGTGCAGAGTGACAAGTGAGATGCAGAAACACGTGGGCCCAGAGTCAGATGCAGTGGGAGCCAGGCTCTCTCGCTGCCTTCCCCTCTGAGCCTTCATTTCTCACCATGATAAAAATCACTGGCCAAGAGGCAGTGAGCCAACATCGTGGCTGGAACTAGCCTAAGCTAAGCAAAATAAGTCAGTCAGAGGCAGATGACAATAGTCCCCTGAGAGTACACATGTGAAAGAGTAGTCTTCAAATATCAGCTATTTAATAGATTTCAACAGGAAATCTAACATTACCTTGTCTTGGAACTTCGTGAACAGCTTAGGAGCGTATTAAGATCAAACCCAATGGTGAGAACCTGGTGTTCACTTATGGCTGTAAAAGAAGAAGTTTAATTAACACTCCCTGAAGCCCAACCAACAATATTCATGACTCCCATCAATTGTTTTCTTACTTATACAACACACCCAAGCTCCAAGCAATCATTCTAAGCCCCCTGGAAAATACCACAGGCCGAAGATGTAAGGAGCTCAGGAGTGATTTCCATGTACCTAGAACAGTGGTTCTCAAACTTCTGTGTGCATCCGAATCACCTGCAGAGCTTGTTAAACACAGCTTGCTGGGCCCACCCCATAGTTTCTGAAGCAGTGCACTGACGTGGGGCTCAAGGATTTGAATATCTACCAAGTTCCCAGGTGATGCTGATGCTGCTAGTCTGAAGACCACACATGGAGAACAACTGATTTAGAAGAACTCAAACAGGGCGCCTGGGTGGCTCAGTTGGTTAAGCGACTGCCTTCGGCTCAGGTCATGATCCTGGAGTCCCGGGATCGAGTCCCGCATTGGGCTCCCTACTGAGCAGGGAGTCTGCTTCTCCCTCTGACCCTCCCCCCTCTCATGTGCTCTCTCTCAAATAAATAAATAAAATTAAAAAAAAAAAAAAAAGAACTCAAACATCAGAAAGAGATGGAATTTTTTATAATTGTCGTGAACTACGCATAAACAATAAATTGACCATTTTAGCCATTTAGAAAGGGGTGGAACTTAAGAACAGAAATCATTATGCCATCAAAAGTGAGTTAGGGTGAGGGTTATTAAGTTGTATCTATGGATGAGTGTCATGAGGTCTTTGAAGCTAGCTCAGCACTGGTTACAGGTAGTAGAGAGGGCACTAGTGACTTCTACCATACTCTGCCTTATAGGGCAACTGGAATGAATATCAGGACACCCAGGAACCTGCCCCTCCCTAGTAGCCCTCAGCTCCTGATGCCTTAACACAATCCACCTTTCCCTTGATGTGACTGGACCCTGAGTGATCTCTTGATCCATGGCCCACCAATCAGATTCACTCTCATGAATTTGAAGTAAGAGACACAGAGAAGATGGTCCATGAGCTGTGGGTCTTAGACCTGAAGGCTTCAGTGAGGTGCGCACCAGGGCCATGTGTGAGCTGAGGTAATGGGGAAAACAGCAAGGGTAAGCAGAGCAGGGGCAAAGGTGAGAGATCTTGGAGGGAGCGGTAATGAAAAGGGACACTCAGGCACAGAGCAGTGCCCATGCTTATACCTGAACCTGGAAGCCTGATGGTCTTTATTTCCACTAGACCAAAGCATCTTTGTCATTTTTGTACAGAACCTGTCTTCTTTCTTGAGTCAATGGGAGCTAAGGGACCAGTAATACAAAGGCAAGGGACATTAAACCTGTCTGGCATGGGCTCTCAGACCAGCCCTCTTCTGGTCCCTTCTCTTACTGGAACCCCAGACTTCTAAAACTGCTACTCCCCAAGCCAATGCACCAAATGTCACTGAAAACCTCTCCAGCAAAAGGGGAACCCTCCTACACTGTGGGTGGGAAGGCAAGCTGGTGCAGCCACTCTGGAAAACAGTATGGAGGTTCCTCAAAAAGTTAAAGATAGAAATACCCTACAATCTAGCAATTGCACTACTAGGTATTTACTCAAAGGATACAAAAATAGTGACTTGAAGGGGCACCTGCCCCCTCCATGTTTATAACAGCACTATCAACAGCAGCCAAATTATGGACAGAGCCCAAATGTCCATCAACTGATGAATGCATAAAGAAGATGTGGTGTAAATATGCAATGGAATATTACTCAGCCACCAAAAAGAATGACATCTTGTCATTTTCAACATCGTGGCTGGAACTAGCCTAAGCTAAGCAAAATAAGTCAGTCAGAGAAAGACAAATACCATACGATTTCACTCATATGTGGAATTTAAGAAACAAAACTGATGAACATAGGGGAAGGGAAGGAAAAATAAGATAAAAACAGAGAGAGAGGCAAACCATAAGACTCTTAACTATAGAGAACAAACAGGTTGCTGGGGGGAGGTGGGGGGGGTGGGCTAGATGGGTGATGGGCATTAAGGAGGGCATTTGTGATGAGCACGGGGTGTTCTATGTAAGTAATGAATCACTAAATTCTACTCCTGAAACCAATACTACACTGTATGCTAGCTAACTTGAATTGAAATAAAAACTTGGAAGGACAAAAACAAACCTCTCCAGCAATGGTCCACTCACCCTCGAGAAGGCTGAAGAGCAGCCCGGTTGAGTTCTTCCTGGTGGAAGGGCAGTCCTGGAATCTCAGATTGAAGATGAAAATTTTCACTTTTGGCTCAATAGTCTGAAAAAGATCAAAGCCAGCAAGTGAATGGAAGCTGCCTAGACTAAGTGATTTGATAACAGGGACAGATCTTCAAGATGAGAAACTATGAACACTCTGGTTTGGGAAATGTTCTCTAGCCGGGTCAATTAATAAAGGGAGCAGACTCTAGACCCTGAGGGAAACCAGTCTACACTTTTCAGTAACATTAGCCACCCTCCCCATTGACCCCCAGCAAAGAGACAGGTTCCACATGCTTACAAGGCTCCTCCTAGAACCAGGCACTAAGTGTTGGGACCAGGAACAAGGCCATCCACTCATGTTAGGGGCCTTTGTTACTACAAGAAGCTTAATCAGGTGTCACCATAACAGTATTTATGAATGTCTGGGGTTTGCTTCAAAACAATCTGGCTTGAGGGGCGCCTGGGTGGCTCAGTCTGTTAGGTGACCGACTCTTGATCTCAACTCAGGTCTTGATCTCAGGGTCGTGAGTTAAAAACAACAAGAGCAACAACAAAAAAACCCCAGTCTGGATTGAGAAGGGAAAGGTAGGCAATAGATGGAACAAGGTCAGCCATGAGTCAACAGCTTTTGAAGTTGGGGATGGCGTCATGATACTTTTCTTTCTACCTTTGGATATATTTGACATTTCCCATGATAAAAAGTTAAAAGGAGTGGTCCTCATTCAAATGGAACAGGTGTGACTTTTCTCCCATTTCTAAACCATGTCACTGTGGAAGGAAACATTTGTAGGTTGACCTGTCATTTGACTTCACCTTAAATTACCTTTTTTGGGGAGGCTGGGTTTGGTCATTTTCCCCACACCAAGTTTCTCCTCTTCTGAGGGGCTAAAGGCCACTGAGAGATACCAATACCACCACTGCCAAAGAAGGCAGGCACATTATTTTCTGAGTCACCCGCAACAGTGTCCCTTCTTTACAGATAAGGTGCCTTCAGCTTTGAGAAGCTAAGTGGCCCAGGACCACAATTAGTAGAGTTGCAGCTCACACACAGCCCTTGTCCTTTCCCTTTGCTGGGTCAGTGTGGGAAAGCCCAACTATTAAGGACACAGAGGGTTTTCTCTTTCCTGCAAGGTCAATACACAGTGGGGGCAGCCTGTGATATCATAGGATGGGAGAGCTGGAGGAGTCTTCTGCTGGGTGGAAAATTCCCTGGGTGAGCAGAGCCTTTCCTGCTAAGACGATGTGGGAGGCTGCTCATGGACCTCCTGCAGAATTCAGAAGTGCTGTGGCTCTTTATCGAGGTGCTGGGCCTGAGGATGCCCTCCAGCCCTAAAACACCGGTGTGCTGGTGGGAGGTGCAGCAGCTTAGGGTCCCTGAGGCTCAGAGAGGGACAGGCAAGTGCTCTGGGGAGGGTGGAGGGAAATGGGAAAGGAGCGGGCACCTGCTCCTCGCTGCCCTGCCTTATCTTCCCTGCAGCCCCAGGAGGACGCAGGGAGGCTGGGCTGAGGAGGGACGGTAGGTATGCTGGGAAGGAAGCTGTGGGTGGTGTGATTTGGGTTCCTGGGGAGAACTCAGCTGTTCTTCCTGTCCTGGGGGTGCTAACTGTGTGGGAAAATGCCACAGGCTCGTAACCGACAACCGCAGAGAGGGACAGTCTCCTCTCCAGCTCGGTTCTCTCCTCATAGCTGGTGATCGGGGTGGTCATCCTGAATCTCTGGGGCTGCCTCTGAGCTGTCACGTGCAACATCTGGAATTTAATTCCTACCTAAGGAAATAAAAGGAACAAAGAATTGCAGCAGGGCATAATCAATGGCTGCCAAGTTTGTCCAGGGAAGGTTTTACTGTTTGGCTGGCCAGCTATTGACTGAGGGTTCACAGCTGTATCCAGGCACTGGTGGGAGCAAGTCTTCTTGAAAATGTTTTGATATAAAAAAGGAAACCCGATAAACCACATCCTTAAGCAGAAATTAAGCCCAAGCTCTGTTGACGGGCTCTCCGAAGCATGCTGCGTCTGCATAACCCTGACAGTTTTAAAATGTCAGCTTTTCTGAACCCATTAACTGAGCAACAAGCTCAGCTGGTTGACTTCCTTAAGGATGATAAAAGACAGGTTTAGTTATCACAGGCATTGGAAGGTCTTGAAGACACTACTTAAGTGCCGCTGAAGGACCAGAAATCTGGCTAGCAAGCCCACCAGGGCAGGCTCTGGGTCAAGGCAATTTGGGTTCAGGTAAGAAGATATTTACTAAAAAAAAAAAAAAAAAAAAAAATATATATATATATATATATATATATACATTTACAAAAACTAAAATTATGTGATTTTCAAAAATGCCACTCTCATTATAATGTCCCCAACACCTTGGAATTACTTTTGTTTTGGAGAGGCAGTGTGGTGTCATAAGAAAGTCTGCTTCCAATCCCAGTTCTGCTCCCCACCTAGTGTCTGACCTTGGTTATGTTTCTTGCGTGCTGGGGTCTGCTGTGAGGGGAGAAATATTGTGAGGATAAAGTGCCCCACGTGGTGCTGGGCACAGAGCAGCCACGAAAATCACAGTGGCTATCACTCAAATGTCTTGCAACTGCATCTGCTGGCTTTATGAGATCCTATTACTTATAGATAATAAAAGTGGTGGTGCCTACAAGGGGCAGCAGGAAACCCACAGACCCCAGGGGTGGGACTGACGCTAATTTGTCCGTTTCCAGCTTCCAGCCTCAGGTCGAATGGAGAGTCCACCTAGCTGCAGCACTGAGGGTTTGACACTGAGGAGCTTGGCCTTTCAACAGATAATTCCTCTAACTATCCATCCGGCTTGGGGGTGGGGATGCTGGGATTCCAAACCAGGAGGCAAAGGGCAGAAAGAAGAGGGGAGCGGCTTTGTGCCCACCCCTGCAAGAGCAACAGGAAGGCACGGGTGAATGCTGGTGACCAGGCATCCCCAGAGAGGCCTGTGAGAAGGCAGCTCTTCAGGGGTAAGTATGGAAATGCTGCTAGGACTCGGAAGGTACAATCCGTTCTACCCTATCAGGAGGTGGGGGGAATAGTCAGGACTCCAGGGAATTTGGAGTTTGTCGTCCTCAAGGAAGTTGCTCAGCAGTGACCAAGCACAGGGGAGAAAGCTAACAGGTAGGTAGGTGGCAACCAACATACTTTCTCTAACTAGTCACAATCATTACCCTCGAGGAAAACAATACTGGGAACAGGAAGAAAGGGCCTAAAGTTACAGGAAGGTTCCCAGAGCTGGCCTCTGATTTAGCAGACCTGGGTGTGAAATGTCTTTTTTTTTTTTTTCCCAGTTGTGGGGAAATACACATACAATTTACCACCGTAACCATTTTCACGTGTATAGTTCAGTGGCATTAAGTCCATTCACGCTGTTGTATAACCATGACCACTGTCCATGAAATTCCTTCTTAAATCTTAGAAAGAACACTGAAATTTCAATTCTCAGATTTCTACACAAGAGATCACATAAATATTTAACATGATAACCCTCCTGATCCCTTCCAGGGAAGACTGCCTGACCACCACCCCCGCCCTGATGTTCTCCAACAATGCATTCAAGGGCGATCTCCCCCAGTGCAACTCTATATCTCTGCCAACTGTGGGGGCAAGCTCAGTTTACCCATCAGCCAGGCCATTAAATGTCTACCATGCTGTTGGGAACTTCTCCATTCATCACCAATATAGGAAATGGCTCAAATTACCTGCAATTTACTCAGCTTCTGTGGCAAACTTGCTTCACTTTGGCATTCATAAGACAAATCAAGAGAGAGGAAATCGACAGTGCCCTAGAAATAAATAGGGTTGTTAGAACGTAAGCAATTTCAAGGCAAACTACTGTTCAGAAATAGCCTTTTTTCTTTCTCCTCCTATTCCTAAACTGATACTCTGAAGTGAGATTTTCCAAGGGAAAAGCAGGCAGAGGACAAGCTGGGACAGCATGAGAATGTGTGTGTGGGATGTTCTGTTGGGAATACATCACCAGAGACTTAGCAAAGTGCTTGGCATACAGTAAGTGCTTGATCAATGTATATGATTAAATGAGTGAATGAATGAAGTACTGTATGCCAGAAATTGTGGGCTCCCACCAAACAGGTGAGCACTAAGGGAGTCAGAGGCCAGAGCTGCCCTGGTCAGCAGCCCTCCCATTTTGCCAGGATGGAGAGAGTGGAGCCCTCAGACACCCACAGAACCCTCAGGGATCTCTCCAGACCCTACGGGGATTTGGGGGATCGTTTTTAATTGTAGGCTATAGTCACTGGCTACTGTCAGGCCACAGATTAAAGTCTGCCCGAGTGGACCCTAGCTTGGCCCATAGTATTGGAGAACACAGCTCTCACGGTCCTGGACATACCACCCTGCATACATTCTAAGAACTTCAGATTCGCAGAGTAAACCCATAAAGATACCACTGGGATTCCCTCTCTGCCTTTCTCAGAAGTCATTCTATCCTTATCAGGACTAGATTATCACCTGTCATCTCTCCTCCACAGATGATCTGTTCTTTCAGGACAAAGACCCTGGATAATGGCATCCGATGACAACCAAGGGCGTTGTGGACCTTCGATAACTGACTCACCAGTGGTTCCCTCTGGCTTTTCTAATCAAGTCGTCATCAGTGTTTACCAAATAGTCCACACCTTGCTCCACTTTCCTGAGTATCACTCCAACCCTTCTCCCCTCACCCTCTCAGCTCTTACTTTGGTCTGTTGATTCTGTACAAAACATATAGTCGTTGAGTTCCTACCCTTAAAATCACTGTGCTCAGTGCAGCAGATGAGGATTCGCATTTAAAGAGTAAGAACCACAGAAGCTTACCAATTAATAGAGTGTTAGCAAATGCACCAATGACATGAAAAAACAGGAGAGTTAGAAATGTGATAAGCAAAGTCCACACCAGTGGTCTTCAAACACACCTGGGAACTGAGGAAGCCTATGAAGCCACATTAAGCCATGGCCCTTATGTGCCTTACTAGCTCTCCAGGTGGTTCTGATTCACAAGGCTTGGGAAGTGCTGGTCTAAATAAAGGGCTAAGTGTTCCAAGTGGAGAGAGAGCACATCAGGTTGAGCAAGGGAGTATTATTAAATGAGGCCTCCTGATGGAGAGCATATGCGCATGTATGTTGTAAATGGGTAGAATTTTGTTGAAAGAGATTTGAGCAAGGCTAGGATAGGAAACTCACATGAGTGCCCATGCAAGTGAGCAGGAAGAAAGCATAGCATACACACTGGGAAAAACAGGAGGGGCAACCTGAGAGAGAGCAAGACAGCCCAAGTGAGCCACACTCTGGAAGGCCCTGAGGAATTTGCACCAATTCTTGCAATCTGTGGCAAAATACACATTACATAAAATTTAGCAAGTTCAGTGTCATTAGGTGCATTCACATTATTGAGCCACCATCACCACCATCCATGCGATGCATTTTTAAGTCTCAGAGTGAGCACTGAGTGTAGCTTCCCAGTAGGGAACTGATAAAGACTGTGCTCTTGGAAAATCCAGAAGCCCTGGGTGGCATGGACTGGGGCAAAGAGACCAGTTCAAAGGCTATTGCTCAACAAGCACTTTTGTGATCAGCACTTTGGTCTTCTGGGTTCATGACCGATAGTGGTTATTACCCCTTGTAAATTAATTTAGATGGCATTCTGGCCATACAGTCAGCCTCGGAGCTGGTTATTCAGAACCTTATCACATCTGCATTTTAAGTTCCTGAGCTGGTAAATCTGAGGGCTGGACCCTGACCCACGGAGCCTCCATGGACATGGAGACACTCGTGTCTGTCATCCAGCACCATGCTATCTATACAGCACCCTGTCGAATGCCACAGAACTACAGAAATCAGCTATTTTGTCTGATGACTTTCCACACTGCCCAGCAGCCAAGCTTACAGAGGCCAAAGCTGTTTAATTCTCAGATTTTTTTAAAAACTTTTCTTATTAAAATTGTAGTTAAAAAGTTATGTTTAGAGGAGGCAGGAACCAAGATGGTACTCCAGGGAGCACATTACTTAAAAAACAAAACCCTTTACTCTTCCTTGTATCTGTTTTGCTACAAACTGGCCTCTCCTCTAATAAGCTATTTTGGACTCGGACTAAAAAATCAGAGCACACAGAGGTGTTGGACTTTTTTGCATAGACAAAAGCTTGGGCTGCAACAAATGAGATTTTGTTTGTAAACATGAATCTAGAGAATGGACCGCACTCAAAAGAGGCACTTACAAAAATGTCAAGCTGACAGATGAAAACTTCTCTTGTGCTCTAAAATTAAAATCACAACTTTCCTCAGATGTTACAAATACTACTTGGGGCGACTGTCATCACCTTGGCAAGCAAAGATGCGGATGGTTCCAGCAGGAGCTCCGAGGCGACGACAGCTCGCAGGACCACAGAGAGCTTTCCACCTAAAACCAACCAGAGGAACCAGCTGCAGGTGAGCGAGGCAGGACTGGGACCACGGAAGCTGCGTGGGGACTCTTTTCCTGTTCCGTGTTCATCGACTTTAAAAAAGGATTTCTTTTTAAAAGCCACCTGGGTGGTGGCTCAGTCAGTTAAGCGACTGCCTTCTGTTCAGGTCATGGTCTCAGGGTCCTGGGATCGAGTCCCGCAACGGGCTCCCTGCTCAGCTGGGAGTTTTCTTCTCCCTCTGCCCCTCCCATGCTTGTGCTCTCTCTCTCTCAAATAAAATAAAGCCTTTAAAAAAGGGTGGGGGAGGATTTCTGAAGAAATCACTTACATCCCTTTACTCCAGCTGGAAGATTTTGGATAACAAGGTGGCTTTAAAAACATCACTTACATCACTTTACCCCAGCTGAAAGATTTTGGATAACAAGTTGGCTTTAAAAACATCACTTAACATCACTTTACCCCAGCTGAAAGATTTTGGATAACAAGGTGGCTTTAAAAACAAAAAAGTCCCTTTACAGAATGTTCCATTTAAAGCAGGACTCTGAAATACAGGACACCTGTAAGTCTTTTAGAAGAATAAAAGCAATTACCATGCCCTGCGCCTCCACAGTGTAGAAGGCGGTGTGGGGAGAACTGCTTCCTCACCCGCTTAAAGGCAGGGTGCTCTCGGGAAGCTACTGTTCCCGGGTCCTCACTCACTGGAGGAACAGCTGTTCAGACCCTACTGCGCATGCCCAGAGGGGAACCGAAGGCACTGTGAACACCTGCCGCGTGGACCCACTTGCTTTGATCTTGGATTACCTACAGTGGTGCTGGTACTTGTGTGCCTCGGAATCCCCCGCGTGCTTGTCCGCGGACTGGGCTGAGCCGCACAACAAGGGCACTTTAAGGAGCCTCCCAGGTGCTCTTGACCACCCTTTGAGAAACACTGCGGTGGGGGAGGGCTTCTTCAGCGGTTTGCATTGTGCTCTAGGATTCTTTCTTGCGCCTGAGTGTTTCTCTCCCCCTGGATTGTGTGCTTGCTGAGGAGCAAAATTTAAAACATCTCCTTAATCCCTCCAGATATCAACTTCAATACTGGATGCATAGCGGACCTGGGGTTTGGAAACACTAAACAAAAACCGAAAAAAACCGGAGTTTGAGAGTTAAACTGTAAGGCTGTATTCCTGACTTCACTTTCATCCAGATTCTCTCAGGAGATCTCCTGAGACAATGAAACCACCACTGAGAACTACAAGAGTGCTTGGCTTTGTTTGGCTTTGTTTTAGTAATCTCTATGTCCAACGTGGGACTCGAACTCAGAACCCCCAAGATCAAGAGTCGCTCGCTCTTCAAACTGAGCCAGCCAGGTGCCCCCAAAGGGGCTTTATTTTGATAAACATGATAGAACTTTGAAATCTTCTGAGTAAGGAATATCAGAGACATTCAGTCCTCGTTCTGATAAGATAGCGCCATTATCTAGTTACTCAGTGATTGTGCCGGATGGTTCCGTTTCGCCTTTCACAGATTTCCGTGCTTTGGTCCATCATCATGTCAGCACACATGGAACATACAGCTTGTGCTTAACATTTTAAGATGTACAATTTAGTGTCATCTCTAGACTAATGAAATGAAACAAGACTACAGTTAATCCCTAAGCAGAATGAACTCACAAAGCATTTCTATTTGACTCTGCAAGCTGCTTTTAGAATTAGTGAACAAATGTACTTGAAGTTCCAGAAATTCTTACACAAAATAATCAAACTTCCCCACCATGGTTGCCAAACTTTTCCCAGTGCAAGCATAAACTATACTTCTTAAAATGCTGCAAAAGGCAGATTACTCAAAACTATCCCTTACAGGGATGTCATGAAATAAATGAAAGACTTATATTTTGTTTTCTTTCTTTTTTTAAAGATTTTATTTATTTGAGAGAGAGAGAACAGAGGGAAAGTGAGAGGGAGAAGCAGACTCCCTGCTGAGTAGAGAGGCTGACGTGGGGCTCGATCCCAGGACCCCGGGATCATGACCTGAGCCGAAGACAGATGCTTAATCACTGAGCCACCCAGGCGCCCCAGAATATAATTTTTAAAAATTTTTGGTAAAATATATATAACAAAACTTACCATTAAATTTTTATTTTTACTTATTTTTTTGAGAGAGAGAAAGAGAGGATGGGGTCTGGGGAAGGGGAGAGGGAGAGGGAGAGGGAGAGAGAATCTCAAGCAGACTCCCTGCTGAGTGCAGAGCCCAATGTAGGGCTTGATCTCATGACCCTGAGATCATGACCTGAGCTGAAATCAAGAGTCAGATGCTTAACCGACTGAGCCACCCAGGCACCCCTACCATTAAATTTTTTTTTTTTAAAGATTTTACTTAGAGAGAAAGTGAGAGCTCAAGCATGGGGAGGAGCAGAGGGATAGGGACAAGCCGACTCCGTGCTGAGTGTGCAGCGTGACAAAATGCTTGATCCCACAACCCCGAGATCACAACCTGAGCTGAAATCAAGTCAGAAGCTCAACCGACTGAGCCACCCAGGTGTCCCACCATTAAATTTTTTAAGTGTACATTTCAGTGGCATTAAGTACATTCACTTTGTTGTGCAACCATCACCACCATCCATCTTCAAAACTCTTCCAACATCTCAAACTAAAACTCTGTATTCATTGAACAGGTAACTCCCCATTTCCTGTCCCTGGTAACTACTATTCTACTTCCTGTCTCTGTGAATTTGATTATTGTAGGTCCTTTGTGTATGTGGAATCCTACAATAATTGTCCTTCTGTTACTGGCTTATTTCACTTAGCATAATGTCTTCAAGGTTCATCCATGTTATGGTATGTGTCAGAATTTCATTTCTTTTTAAGATCGAATAATATTCCATTGTATGTAAATAGCACATTTTGTTTATCCACTCATCCATCCATGGGTTATTTCAAACTTTTGGCTATGTAAATTAACACTGCTATGAAGATAGGTGTATAAATACCTGTTTAAGTCCCTGCTTTCAGTTCTTTTGTGTCTGTTCCCACAAGTGCTAGATGATATGGTAATTTTATGTTTAATTTCTTGAGGAACTGCCATACTCTTTTTCCATACTGGCTACATTATTTCACACTCCTGTCAGCAATGTATAAAGATTATAATTTCTCTGTATCTTCACCAACACCTGTGATTTTCTGCTTTCTAAAATAATAGCTATTCTTATGGATGTGAAGGGATATCACATTGCGGTTTTGATTTGCTTTCCATAATGGCTGAGCATTCTTAATGATTGAGGTGATTTTTGTATATAGTGCAAGGTTAGGGTCCAACTTTGTTCCTTTGTATGTGGATGTTCAGTTTTCCCAGGAACACTTGTTGAAAAGACTCTCTTTTCCCCACTGAAAGTTCAGTCTTTGCACTTTTGTAGAAAATCATTTGACCATATAGGCAAGGGTTTATTTGTGGGCTTTCTGTTTTATTCCATTGGTATATATGTATGTCCTTACACTAGTACCACACTATTTTGATTATTGTAGCTTTGTAGTAAGTTTTTAAATCAGGAAATGTGAGTCTTCCAACTTTGTTCTTTTTCTTTTCTTTTCTTTTTTTAAAAGATTTTATTTATTTGAGAGAGAGAATGAGAGAGAGAGAGAGAGCATGAGAGCAGGGAGGGTCAGAGGGAGAAGCAGACCCCCCGCCGAGCAGGGAGCCCGATGTGGGACTCGATCCCGGGACTCTAGGATCATGACCTGAGCCGAAGGCAGTGGCTTAACGAACTGAGCCACCCAGGCACCCCTACCTTGTTCTTTTTCAAGATTGTTTTGGCTATTTGGGGTCCTTTAAGATTCCATACATATTTAAGGATGGATTTTTCTATTTTTGCAAAAACTGTCACTAGGATTTTGATAGGGATTTTATTGAATCTGTAGATTGCTTTGGGTAGTACTGAAATCTCAACAATATTAAGTCTTCCAATCCATGAACAAAGGATGTCTTTCCATTTATTTTTGTTTTCTTTACCTTCTTTCAGCAATGTTTTAAAGTTTTCAGTGTACAAGTCTTTTGCCTCCTTGGTTAAGTTTTAAAAATAACTGTTTTAAAAAAGATTTTATTTATTTGGAAGAGAGAGAGAAAGAGAGAGATGAGCAGGGGCAGAGGGAGAGGGATAAGCAGACTCCCTGCTGAGCAAGGAGCCTGATGCAGGGCTCGGTCCCAGGACTCCAGGATCATGACCTGAGCTGAAGGCAGATGCTTTACTGACTGAGCCACCCAGGTACCCCTAGAAAATAACTTTAAAAAACTACTTGTTAGAGGGAGCATAACTTGGGGCATCTGGCTGGCTCAGTCAGTAGAGCATCCAACTCTTTTATTTTAAACTCTTTTTAAAAAAGATTTTATTTATTCATTTGAGGGAGAGAGCACAAGCAGGAGAGGCAGAGGGAAATGGAGAAGCAGAGCGAGAGGGAGAAGCAAACTCCCCGCTGAGTTGGGAGCCCAAAGTGGGGCTCAATCCCAGGACCCTGAGATCATGACCTGAGCCGAAGGCAGATGCTTAACCATCTGAGCCACCCAGGCACCGAGAGCATCCAACTCTTAATCTCAGAGTTGTGAATTTAAGCCCCACATTGGGCATGGAACTTACTTAAAAAAAAAAAAAAAATGAGGGAGCATAACTCCCCAGTCATTAAGTGTAAGCTGTGTATGGTGACTTCTTTCCAAAGAGTGCAGGTTGGAAAGGAGGAAAAAAGAGTAACTTTACCCTAGAGATACCTGACAAATACAATCTCAATTAGGTGATCAGGGTCAACTTCAACAGTATAAATCATGTTGATGGTATGTGCCCTTGATATGATATGATGAAAATAGCACTTTATTCTCTAATCTTCCTTCCTAAAACTCATAATCTCAGCCTATCCATGAGAGAAATATCCAACAAATCCCAATAGAGGTAGTCACAAAAGACCACATATTATATTATTCCATTCATATGAAATGTTCAGAACAGGGAAATCTATAGAGACAGGAAGCTAATTAGTGGTTGTTTAGGGCTGAGGTGAGAGAGGGGAATGGGGATAGTAGGATGATAGTTGGAGCCCCATGTTGGGTACAGAGACTACTTAAAAATGAAATCTTTAAAGTATACAGTTCAGTGGTTTTTAGTATAGTCACAAAGCTATGCAATCATATCCACTAATTCTAAAAGTTTCATCACCAAAACCAAAATTTCTTATCCATTAGCAGTCACTTCCTGTTCTCTCTCCTAGCCCTAGACATTGCTAATCTACTGTAGTGTCTCTATGCCTATTTTGGAGATTTAATATAAATGAAATCATATAATATGTGGTCTTTTCTGACAAGCTGCTTTCACTTAGCTTAATGTCTTCAAGGTGCACCTGTTTTGTGGCATGTATCATTCCTTTTTGGGTAATTAATATTCCATTTTATGTATACACCACATGTTGTTTATTCATCAGTTGAGGGACATTAGGGTTGTTTCCACTTTGGGTTATTATGAAAAATGCTGTTATGAATGTTTGTGATAAGTTTTCGCCCGGACATTTATTTTCATTGCTCTTGGAGATATACCTAAGAGACGAATCATTGAGTCATAGGGTAACTCTAAAGTTTATCTGTTTGACAAACTGCCAGACTGTTTTCCAAAACAGCTGCACCATCATTCATTCCCACCAGTGGTGTGGGTTCCAAATTCTCTACATCATTGCCAACACTTGCTTTTGTATGTTTTGTTTTTATTACAGCCATCCTAGTTGACCTGAGGTGGTATTCTATTTTAATTGTTGGATTGAGAAGTCACTCACTGGGTATTTATTATAGTATTTTGCTTTTTTTAAAAAACAGTTCAGTAATTTTTTATAGTGTTTTGCTTTTAACCAATATATTTTATACAACTTTTTTGTGTATATTAGGTGATATATTTTGAAAAGAACAAAAGGCTATGGGATTGAACTAAAAAGGGAGAGGAGAATAAGAGAGAGAAAGAAGAAAACCACCTTTGGGAATAGGAAGGAGACTGGAAAAAGAATTTATTTTGTGTCCTGCATTATATTGGGGTAGAAAATCTAATGATATTGATGAAACACAAAATGAAGGATGGGAGGAATGAGCAGCAGAAGAAAAGGAAAATATGAGCTTAAAAAGCAGCCTTTAGTAACCTGATGAAGATGAAAAATGGAATCTGCAAACATTTTAATAAACATGTTTATATAGTTTTATAATCAAAATAAGTCTATGGAGTCTGTCTTCAAAACAAGATAGATTTTCCTTTGTTTGAGATGAACCAAGTTCAGTCTTGCCTTCTTTCAAAGTTCATTTACCCAGTGCTTCTCCAGTAGAATTATAGCCAACAAACATTTACTTGCTCACCCTCTCCAAGGAGGGTTCTTTCCAAAGAATCCAGTTTCAAATTCAACCTCTCCTCATCTCCCACCCTCTACTCCCAGCTCACTAAAGTGACTGCTGGGCTTGTCGCTGTCCCCCTTCAGGGGCTCTTCTCTCCACCTGGAATCCTCTTCTCCAATCCATTTGCTAGATCCCTCCCTTGCTGTCCTTTCTGAGACAATCTTCCCGACACCCCCGTCTGAAATGGCCCTGTCCACACTCACACTTTCTTCCCTTGCCCTGCTTTCATTTTTAACATAGAAAAAATATTTGATCTCTTTATAATCAAATACATGCAAATGAAGCATATAAGAAGATAATAGTTTTCAGCTGTCAAATTACCAATAACAAAAATGATTACATCATTGAAGACAGGCTGAGTCGGGTCAGAGCAGTTTTAAAACTGTTGGTATACACTGGGGCGCCTGGGTGGCTCAGTTGGTTGGGCAACTGCCTTGGGCTCAGGTCATGATCCCAGAGTCCTGGGATCGGGTACCACTGTCGAGTCCCATGTCAAGTCCCATGTCAGGCTCCCCACGTCGGGCTCCCAGCTCGGTGGGGAGCCTGCTTATCCCGCTAGCCCTCTCCCCTCTCATGCTGTTTTTCTCTCTCTCTCTCAAATAAATAAATAAATAAAATCTTTTTAAAAAAACTGTTGGTATACACTATTAAAACTTTTCTGGAAGATAATTTAGCAACATGCTTTAAAGTCTTAAAGAATGCATATTTTTTGACCTAGTACTTTCAATTCCAAGAATCAGAAAGAATTCATCAGAAGGTAGGCAAAGGTTTATATATAGGAACATTCATTGCAGTGTAATTCATAATGGTGAAAATTAAATAAACCTATGTATAAAATAATATATATGGGGCACCTGGGTGGCTCATTTGGTTAAGCCTCTGCCTTCGGCTCAGGTCATGATCCTGGAGTCCTGGGATGGAGCCCCGCATTAGGCTCCCCGTGAGCAGGGAGTCTGCTTCTCCCTCTGACCTTCGCCCCTCTCATTCTCTCTCACATAAATAAAATCTTTAAATAAATAAATATTTCTCTCATTTATATATATATTATTTTATTTATATTTTAAAGGATTTTATTTATTTATTTGAGAGCAAGAGATAGAGATAGCCAGAGAGAGCACAAGCAGAGAGGAGAGGGAGAAGCAGGCTCCCCGATGAGCAGGGAGGCCGACTCGGGGCTCGATCCCAGGACTCTGGGATCATGACCTGAGCTTAACCAACTGAGCTACCCCGGCACCCCATGAAAGAAATATTTAAAACTCTGATCCCTTTATATGATGAGAATCTGTAAGACCATTGAAAATCATGCTCTCGGGACACCTGGGTGGCTCAGCTGGTTAAGCGTCTGTCTTCAGCTCAGGTCATGATCCCAGGGTCCTGGGATGGAGTCCCACATCGGGCTCCCTGCTCAGCGGGGAGCCTGCTTCTCCCTCTCCCTCTGCCTCTCCCCATCTGCTTGTGCTCTCTCACTCTGACAAATAAATAAATAAAATCTTTAAAAAAAAAATCATGCTCTCTTTCAATGAATTTTTAATAAAATGAGAATATACTTATAAAATATCTTAAGTTTAAACAGTAGGATTTACAAGTATGGCATATATGTTACATACTATGTATACAAATATACATACTGCCCAAACCTACTGAATCAGAACCTGAATCAAAATTAGCTTTGAAGCAGGAATATGGACAATTGCAATTACGCTCTTCTCACTACCTATCAGTATATCCCTATTTTATCTGTCTTCTTTGCTGGAATGAAAACTTCAGCTAGAATGCATAACTTGCTTTGCAGGAGAGAAAGGGGAGACTGAGGGAGGACGGGCAATCTTGAAGCCTTGGAGAGTCGGAGGCAGGACTGGAGAAGGAAGGGCAGAAAGATACTCTGTGGTGGCACAGACTCAGGATTGGGGAAGGAGTGCTGAAGAGAGATTTTCAAAGGAAATGCTGGGCACTCTGCAATATGAGCCACTTGTGCCCCTCTCCATGGGGAAGTTTTCAGTACAATGTTATTTTCTCACTAATGAATACACATGACAAGATTATTGAAGGGGAGTGAGAAGAAATGCGAAGTCCTGCTGTAAGGAGGGTAGGGGAAGGTGGGTGATGAAGATGGCCAGTGGGTCAGCCATCAGGGTGGTGTGCACTTACCTTGAGAAGCATATTTTTCATGGTAAATCTCGTAGGCTTTTCTGTGGGCATCAGTGAGGGTCTGGAGACGTGAAGATCTTGATTCCTGTTGGGGAAGTTCTTTTATCACCTCCTCCAAGTCACTAAACGTGAACCAGATCTCAACCAGGTCCCCAAAGGAGTGGAAGGCGAATGTGGCATAGTCTGCAAAGAGATCAGCAAAGACTGCACCTCTCCGGATGGTGCTGGCAGGGAGGGTCCGTTGATGCAGAACGACCAGGGGCTGAAGCTGCGCTGTCTTGAGGGTCTCGAGGAATCGCCGGTAGCACTGCACTGTCTTGCTGTCTGGGTTCTCGGAGCTTCCTGCTGGGAGAAGTTGTGCCCATGGCAGAAATACTTTATAATGGGTGATCTCACTGGCATGAACACGCCTGAAGTACTCCGGCAGGGAAGAAGGCAGTGGTTGTTGACAAACATAAACGCTTTTGTCCTCTGCTGCAAAGTTAGAACCTTGGGTTCCTGGTGGACCACCCAGGTTGTACAGCAAGTCATTGGTGAGAGGACCAGCAGCTGAAATGAAGTTTCTATCAGATTCCCAATCTAACCCCCAGCATGAAAAGCTTAGGAGGACAATAAACACTGAATTCCAAGCCAGCTCCATTTTCAAGGACCTGTTAGGAAGTATGTGGAATCCTTACTTTTATAACAATAGCTAGGTTGTAAAATGCTAAGTGATTATTAACACTTAATATTTAACTGGGTTATCTATGGTAATGAAATCAGTGCAGGCTTACCAGCATAATATCAAAAATTTAAAGACCATAGAGATAACACGAAAACCTCAAACATCTCACATAATTTAAGCAGATGAGCCTGGAAAATGTATGAAGGGGAAAAGTAGTCCACATTTTTCCCTGAATTATGAATTATTTTAAAATTCGTTTACATAATAGAACAAAGGTGAATCCTTGTCAAGCCTTTCTCCCCCCTTAAAAATATGTAAGTAGGGGTGCCTGGGTGGCTCAGTTGGTTAAGTGTTGGACTCTTGGTTTTGGCTCAGGTCATGATCTCGGGGTCCTCGGATCGAGCCCTCCATCGGGCTCTGCACTCATCATGGAGTCTGCTTGAGATTCTCTTCCTCTCCCTCTGCCCTTCCCCCTGCTCTCTCTCTCTAAAATAAATAGAGAAAATCTTTTTAAAAATTATAAAATGTAAAGAAATATATATAAGTAAATGATGAACATTGTGTAAAAGATTCAAATATAGAAACATATGAAAAACCTGCAAATTCCCCTTCCCCAGCCCCTCTTGCCTTCCTCAGGTAAGCACTCTCAACACTGTGCTTCCTTCCAGTTTTCTTTCTTTCTGTAGTTCAATGATTATTCAGGAGTCAGAATGCTTGGGTTTAAATCTTATCTGGTGAAAGTTACTTAATTTCTCCATGTCTGTTTCCTCATTGGTAAAAATAGTGAATAGATAAGTTGTGAGAATGAAATGAGATCATTCTTTAGCATGTTTAGAACAAGGCAACTCAATGAAAACTATTACTAAATATATACAAATGCAAACATATGTAAGTGTATAACATTTTAAACGTATAATTTAACGTATATGGGATTATGCCTTATGTATTGTTCCTCAGGTTTCTTTTTTTCCACCTAACAGCTTCTGGAACTCTGTCTATATCAGAATATATAGAACCACTTATTTTTAACAGATGCATAGCATTCCACATAAGAATGTACCCTAATTGAATCTCTAGCATATAGAACACTGGTTGATTCCTAATTTTAATGTGTTGCAAATGAATATCTATACCTATACATCTTTGTCTAGATGTATGACCATGTCTTTAAGACAGAGTCTTAGAAATTAAGTTCTGGACTCAATGTTATACACATTAGAATTTTGATTGAAATCCAAATAGTCTTCCAAAACAGGCTTCTTGAAATTTAAATCCTACCTAACGTTAGGAGGATGCCTAAATCTCTACTTTGCTAACACCTGTTACAAAACTTCACATTTTTCACACTTTGAAAGATGAAAATATTATCTTCTTGTTGATTTCTCATTTTTCTGCTTAAAGGGGATAGCTAGCTGTTCATGTTATACCATATATGTGTGGGTTTATTTCTGGGCTATTTTCTTCTCTTCACCTATGTGTGTTTTGGGGGCAATACCATACTATTTTGATTACTATAGCTTTGTAATATAGTTTGAAATCAGGGACTTTGATGCCTCCAGTTTTGTTTTTCTTTCTCAAGATTGCTTTGGCTTGTCAGGGCCTTTGTGGTTCCATATACATTTTAGAATTATTTGTTCTATTTCTATGAAAAATGCCAATGGAATTTTGTTAGGGATTACATTAAATCCATAGATTGGGTTGTATGGACATTTTAACAATGTTAATTCTTCCAATTCATGAGCATGGAATATCTTCCCATTTATTTGTATCTTCTTCAATTTACTTCACCAATGTCTTACGGTTTTCAGTGTACAGGTCTTTCACATCTTTGGTTAAATCTACTCCTAGGTATTTTCTTCTTTTTTTTTTTTTTTAAAGATTTATTTATTTATTTGAGACAGAGAGAATGAAAGAGACAGAGAGCACATGAGAGGGGGGAGGGTCAGAGGGAGAAGCAGGCTCCCTGCCTAGCAGGGAGCCCGATGCGGGACTCGATCCCGGGACTCCAGGATCATGACCTGAGTCGAAGGCAGTCGCTTAACCAACTGAGCCACCCAGGCGCCCTAGGTATTTTATTCTTGATGCAATTGTGAGATTGTTTTCTTAAATTCTCTTTCCAATAGTTCATTGTTAGTGTATAGAAATTCAACACATTTTTGCATATTGATTTTGTATGTTACAACTTTACTGAATTTATTGATTCCAACAATTTTTTTGGTGGATTCTCTAGAGTTTTCTATATGTAATATCATATCATCTGCAAATAATGACAGTTTACATCTTCCTTTCTGATTTGGATCCCTTTCATTTCATTTTCTTGCCTAATTGCTCTGGCTTAGACTTCCAATACTAGATTAATAAAAGTGGTGAGAGTGGGCATTCTTATCTCCTTCCTGACCTTAGGTGAAGTTTTCCAGCTTTTCGCTATTTGAGTATGATGTTAGCTGTGGGTTTGTTGTATATGGCCTTTATTATGTTGAGGTACATTCCCTCTACACCCACTTTGTTGAGTTTTTATCATAAATGGATGTTGAATTTTGTCAAGTGCTTTTTTCTTCATCTACTGAGGTGGTCATATTTTTGTCCTTCATTTTATTAATGTGGTGTATCACACTGATTTGCAGATGTTGAACCATCCTTACATCCCTGGAACAAATCCCACTTAATCATGGTGTATGATCCTTTTAATATATTTTTTAATTTGGTGTACTAATATTATGTAAGGACTTTTGCATCAATGTTCATCAGAGACATTGCCTGTAATTTTTTCATTTGGTGACCTTGTCCGATTTTGGTATTAGGGTAATGCTGGCCTTGTAAAATAAGTTTATGTGTTCCCTCCTCTTCTATTTTTTGGAAGAGTTGGAGGACTGGCATTAATTTTCTTTAAATGTTTGGTAGAACTCACTATTGAATTCATATAATCCTGTACTTTTGTTTGTTGGGAGGTTTTTGATTATTGATTCAAACTCCTTACTAGTAATTGGTCTGTTCAGATTTTCTATTTCTTTACGACTCAGTCTTGGTAGGTTGTCTATTTCTAGGAATTTATTTCTCCTAGGTTGTTCTATTTGTGTACAATTGCTCATAGTAGTCTCTTACCATCTTTTGTATTTCTGTGCTATCAGTTTTAATGTCTCCTCTTCCTTTGGATTTTGAGTCTTCTCTTTTTTTCTTGGTGAGTCTAGTTAAAGGTTTGTCTTTTGTTTTTTCTTTTCAAAAACCAGCTGTTTCATTGAGCTTTTCTATTGTCTAATTTTAGTCTTTATTTTCTCTTATTTCCTTCCTTCTACTAACATTTGTTCTTTTCTAGTTCTTTGAGATGTTAAGTTAGATTGTTTATTTGAGATCTTTGTTTCTTGATGTAGCTATTTATCCCTGTAAAGTTACCTCTTAGGGGCGCCTGGCTGGCTCAGTTGGAAGAGTGTGTGAGTCTTGATCTAGGGGTCATGAATTTGAGCCCCATGTTAGGTTTAGAGATTACTTAAATCAATAAAACAAAAAATAAGTTCCCTCTTTGAACTGCTTTTGCTGCATTCCATAAATTTTTGTATGTTGTATTTCCATTTTCATTTGTCTCAGGTATTTTAGAATTTTTTTCTTCTTTGAAATTGGTTGTTTGGTAGCATGTTTAATCTCCACATACTTGTTGATTTCCCAGTTTGTTTGCTTAAGGTTTTACTTATTTGAGAGAGAGAGATATTGAGAGAGCAAGTGGGAGGAGGGGCAGAGGGAGAAGCAGATTCCCTGTGGAGCAGGGAGCCCGACACGGGACTCAATCCCAGGACCCTGGGATCACAACCTGAGCCGAAGGCAGATGCTTAACAGACTGAGCCACCCAGGTGCCCCCGTTTTCTTCTGTAATTGATTTTTAGTTTCACACTAGATTATGGTCAGAAAAGATGCTTAATGATTTCAATCTTCTTCAATTTATTGACTTATTTTGTTGCATAACATGATCTACCCTGGAGAATGTTCCCTGTGTGCTTAAGAAGAACATGTGTTGTTACTTTTGGATGGACTATCCTATATAGGCCTGTTAAGTCCATCTGGTCTAACAGGTCATTTAAATCAATGTTTCCTTATTAGTATTTTGTCTGGATTATCTATTCATTGATCAAAGTGGGTACTGAAGTCTCCTACTATTATTGTATTACTACCTATTTCTCCCTTTAGGTGTATTAATACTTGCTTTATGTACTTAGGTACTCCTATGGCTATATTTGCATTTTTTTCCATGTGTCCTGGAGGTAATTTCCATTTCAAACATGTAGGTTTACTCCATTTTTGTTTGTATATCCTACAGTACAGTTGTACCACAATTTATGTAGTCATTTCTTTATTGATGGATACCTGTGGGGATTTTGTGGGAAATACATTATAGCTCAATTACCTTAAAACATTCAAGTCTTCCCATTCAGAAACATGTTACATCTATCCATTTACTAAACACGTGTCTAATTTCTCCATAAGGATCTTATACATGCTCCATCATCCATTAGCCACTTCACCTCCTTGACAAGTAACTTGTGCAGAAGGGTGTGTGGAAATATAAGCACACTTATTCAGACATGCAAAAACTGGGGATTTATTTATAGTAATGACCTCACCTTTCTCTGGAAGCCCCCACTCAAATGGCAAAATTGGGAAGAGGAGGAGTCACCAAAAAACTCATCTTTCCTATGCTTCAAATTTCCCTTTAGGTAAATATTTATCAAATTAAAGTTCAAATTTGTCAGGGTGTTTCTTTCAGGACCTCCCCATCTCATTTCATCATGTTGGAAGTCAGTGCAGAGAGGGGCTTTCTTGCTGTCCCGAGTTTTCACTAGCCTGTTAACTGAATGTCCTGCCTGTTATTTGTGCCTTATGCTAGCATCTCCTAACTCCCTCAACAGGAAGCTTGGTATCCTAAACCCTGAGGTTTCCTCTTCCCAACAGCTTCTACCTTCATTAGTTAGGAACATACTTTTGACAGAGGAGTTTATAGTCTGTATCTGCTAACCGCACAATTTCTCTATCCATTCCCAGTCCTCCTCACTCTACTGTTTTCAAGCCATTGGAGAATGAACTCACATAAAACATATAAACATTCCCTAACCGGTCCTGCAGGGCCCCAAATGCCATCTGTTGTTAAAAGGTGCAAAAGTGTGAACTGCTACATCATGAACGTACTAATGATGAAAAAGTATAATAAACGTTTCATTTTTATAAACTGTCTGAAAAAATAAAACACAGAACTGGAATAAACCTTGGAAAGTAATCTCCAAAGCCCCTTATCCGTCATACTAATTCTAAGAAGGACTCCTCACAGGAACCTAATCCTAGAGGCTTATAATGCTATAAACTTCCACCCACCTACCCATTAAACAAAAAGGGAAAGACTCATGTTTGTGAGTACAGATGCCCCCCACCACCCTGAATAATTGAAGTTTGAACTGTGTGGGTCCATTTATACATGGATTTTTTCAATAAATATATTGGAAAATTTTTTAGAGATCTGCAACAATTTGAAAAAACTTGTAGACAAGACTTATAGCCTAGAAATACTGAAAAAATTAAGAAAAAGTATTACTTTAAGAATACAATATGGGCGCCTGGGTGGCTCAGTCGTTAAGCGTCTGCCTTTAGTTTAGCTCAGGTCATGATCTCAGGGTCCTGGGATTGAGCCCCCTGCTCAGTGGGGAGCCTGCTTCTCCCTTTCCCACTACCCCTGTTTGTGTTCCTCTCTCACTGTCTCTATCTCTGTCAAATAAATAAAATCTTAAAAAAAATACATTCAACTCTTTATATTATCAGTAAGGCTTCCAGTCAACAGTAGGCCATTAGTTAAGTTTTTGGGAAGTGAAAATTAATACACAGATTTTTGACTGGACGATCTGGTGCCCCTGACCTCCACGTTATTCAAGGGTCAACTGCAGATGAAAGCAGTAATTAGAGAAGGGAGGAAATAAATCCAATAGACAACTGAAGAACATATTATTTTATTTTTTATTTTTTTTTAAAGATTTTATTTATTTGAGAGAGAGAGAATGAGAGACCGAGAACGTGAGAGGGAGGAGGGTCAGAGGGAGAAGCAGACTCCCCGCTGAGCAGGGAGCCCGATGCGGGACTTGATCCCGGGACTCCAGGATCATGACCTGAGCCGAAGGCAGTCGCTTAACCAACTGAGCCACCCAGGCGCCCCCATATTATTTTATTTTGATGAAGAAAAGCAGTCATTTACAATTATAAAGTGATTCATACCATAAAAGTACTGCACCTTTTCCTATATATGTGAAAACAAGGTCTTGGTTACAGAGACCAAACACTGGGTTCCAACTTCATTTAGACAATAAACATAGCTTATGTTAATACAAAAGCGTATTACAGGAATGTGACATACAGGACACCAACTAGGTTCTTACTCCTCAAAATAAATTTTACTGAAGCCTTGCTCCCAGAAACGTTTCTCTTGCTAGTAGAGCTACATCTGTACTCCAGGCCAGGACGTAGGGGCCACAGTCTCTCGGTTAGTTACTTTCAGTATCTCAATCTTCAAGCGAGTAATTAGGGTTAACTACCAAGTAGGGATCTTCTTCATAGCTCTCACTTCCTTCTGTGGAGCCTTTCAATCCAGCTTGGGTGAGCTCAATTAGAACATGATCCTGTGAACACAAACATTTGTCCTCACGTCTCCAGCGGTATTGTAAAAATGCCCCCATCCATAGAACTTGATCCTTCTGAGTGTTTGCTATTAGCGTTTCTTCCATTTCCCCTTCAGAAGGACTTAGAAAAAGGACTACCCCTTAAAATCTTTACCAAGGTTCTGTTAAACTCCTTTCCCACTAGGATACAGACCCTTTCATACCATAAACCTCTTGAAAAATTACAAAATACATAGATGAGCTCAACAACATTGTGATTTCAGTAAGGTTTCCTGGCATACTACAGCCTATAAATATAATTTCAAAAAAGATAAGATGGGATGCCTGGGTGGTTCAATCAGTTAAGTGTCTGCCTTCGGCTCAGGTCATGATCCCAGGGTCCTGGGATAGGGCCCCACATCGGGCTCCTTGCTCAGCGGGAAGCCTGCTTCTCCCTCTCCCCCTGCTGCTCCCCCTGCTTGTGCTCTCTCTCTGTCAAATAAATAAACAAAATCTTAAAAGAAAAAAAAAAGGTAAGATATAATGCATGAATTTTAAGATTATGCAACTGTGTAAAATCGAATGATAAATATGCTTATCATTCTGTTTATCACTCTGATAAAAGTGTTTTAATGTCACTTATGTTAACTTCTAATTACTGGCCACTGAACTCTTTCATATACCATCCCTTCATAATTCAGTTAGAAGCAGAATCTAAAGATAATCAACATGGAAAAATTTTCACTCTGAGCTAATAAAAAAGGGTAGAACATGCCACATGTACCTGTAATTCATTCTAAAATAACCAAACAAATGAAGGGCACCTGGGTGGTTCAGTTGCTTAGGCATCCGACTCTTAATTTCAGCTTAGGTCATGATGTCAGAGTTGTGACATCAAACCCCTGCATCAGGCGTGGAGCCTGTTTAAGATTCTCTCCTTCTCCCTTTGCCCCTCCCCCCGGCTCCCCAGGGCACGTGTGTTCCCTAAAAAAAACAAGACTAACCCACAAAGGAGAGGGACTTCCAGCCAAGCCCATAGAGAACTCAGGAAACAGTGATTTGATCCAAAGAAGGCAGAAATGTCCCATACTAGGAGCACTATTGTCACTAAGAGGGATTGAACACTTTCAAGAGATCACTTTATGTACTAACACACCCTCACAGGGAGAACACCTTATCAGCACAGTATAATTTCTCTAGTATTCTGTAGTGAGCTAGCTCAGGTGGTGTAAAGTTAAAAAGTTAGCCCCAGTTCAGATCAGCTAATTTCACCAGGTGTCCCAATGTGGATTTGTGTGGGTCATTTTATCTTACACTGATCCCAGGAGACACTAGGGAGGGAAGGGCTTGGCCTGGTGCAAACACTGCCCAGCACTAGAAAGACCTCTGAATGCACACCACCCCAATTCAGCTTTATCTTCATAGATATTATTTATTAAATTCTGATCTGAGTAATTGTTCTCAACACCCCGCTCCAACAGACACCACCTGTAATCATACACTCACATCTACTCCCACAAGTAAATGACTTTTCAGATGACACAACACTGATATGTGACACCCATAATATTCATATAGTGGACACTGTAAAGTGAACTGCAGGATGGCTGAATCTGCTGTTTAAACAGAAATATTCAATCATTCAACAAATATTTGACCTCTTTATGTGCCAGGCACCACTACAGATCTTGGGGATATAGTAGTTAACAAAACAAAGTTCCTGCCCTCTTGGTGCTTGCATTCTAATGAGACAAACTGAACAATGATAAGCACTATGAAGTAACGTGAAGCAGGTTAGGGAGTGATACCAAGGAGGTTCTTATTCTGACAGGCCAGGCAAGAACCACCTCTTTGAGAAGGTAACATTTGAGCAGACATCAGAATGGAAGAGGGGATTTGGGTAAAGAGACAAAGGAGGAAGACAAGTGAAAGGTCTTCATGTTTGGTGTGTCTAAGAATAGTGACAAGGCCAGCACCACTGAGTAGCAACATGAAGAGTCCTACGCAATGAGGTGAACAAGGGATTTGATTGTGTAAGTTTTGCAGGCTATGGTATGGAGACTAGATTTTATTGCAAACATGAGGGAAGGACTGGAAGATAGGGCACTAAAACATTCTGATTTGTTAGAAGCTCTGTCTGGCTGCTGGACACAGAGCCAGTACAAAGGAGGACAGTTAGGAGGCTCCTGTGAAAGTCCATGCATGGGACCTTAAGATGTGAAGGTAGGGAGAAGAGAACACAGAATACACATACTGAAGGCAGGGCTCACGGGGTTTGTTGCTAAAAGGAGAAGCTATGAGGGAAAATTGGAATCATGGATGATTCTGAGGTAGAAGGCTTAGAACAAGTAAGTATATGGGCACAGGGGAAGAAATGTTTTGAACACACTGAGTGTGAGATGCCTGTAGTTCACATGTAGGCAGCTGGCTAGACATGTGGAGTTTAGAGGAGAGGTGAGAGCTAAATCTGGGAGTCATCAGTAGATGGGTTTAAACTCATAGAACCCAATGAGATCACTCAGGTAATCAATGTAAATAGAAAAGAGGTCTGAGGACTGAGGACAGTACTCCATTTAAAAAGTTACAAGACTCGAGAAAAGAGACTAAGATGAAATAATCAGAGAGATAGGAAAAGAGCCAGGAAAATACGGTGACTTAGAAGGAGCAATCAACGTGACAAATGCTAATGACAGGCTGAATACAGAGAATGACCAACTGATGTAGGTAGGGAGGAATATGCCTGTAATGGTCCGTAAGAGAGTGGGAGAAGTCACAGCACTGCACAGCGTCATTGTGAGGTTGGTAAGACGCAGTAAAGAATGATCCGCTTGAGATTAGTGGTCATGAATTTAAAGTAGGACATGGCCCGTGGTGGTATGCCTTTCTCCAGATACTTTTAACTGCCTGGATGCAGGATAGTTAAAGAATTATGTTTAACCAAGGCTGGGGTTTTACCAATCAAGTAAAACAGAGAGATTACAGCTTAAAGTTTGAGAAAAGAGTGATCACTGGGACAGAACATATGTAGGCTGGGTGATGTGGGAAGTGAGGATATGGAGAAGAGGAAACATAGAAAACAGGAGATAGGGGTCAGAATGCTTGCAGGTTTATGGTTATGGGAGTAGAAAACAAAGGTTAAAAACACTCAAGACAGGGGCGCCTGGGTGGCTCAGTTGGTTAAGCGACTGCCTTCGGTTCAGGTCATGATCCTGGAGTCCCAGGATCGAGTCCCGCATCGGGCTCCCTGCTCAGCAGGGAGTCTGCTTCTCCCTCTGACCCTCCCCCCTCTCATGTGCTCTCTCTCTCTCTCAAATAAATAAATAAATAAAATCTTAAAAAAAAACAAAACAAAAAACTCAAGACAGTAAGACCCTAAATCCACCTTCCCAGATTTAACTTAGGTTCTGCTTGTTTCAGCAGAGGAAAGAAGTCAATTAACTGCTGTAAATTCTTTTTTACAATTCATAATTCTAAGTAGATCCCAAGAATTCAAAATAAATGAACATGAGGCATGGACTCCCTCCCCCATTAATAATCATGCAGGAGTAGTTCTGTACGTACATAGTGGGTGAGTCGATGAATGACTTTCTCTATGATTCTCTTTTTATTTATAAGTTCCTCTTCGGAATCTATTTCTGATTCGATTTCCTTCAAGTACCAGTTAACAAGCTCACTCCTCTTTAATGCCGACTCATCCTCTTCTGCAACAAAAAATACATTTCAAAAGGATTAAATTTTCCTTCTAGCAAATTGTATTGCCAATCCTTGGGGTTTGCATACACAACAAGATAATGTACAGATTAGATAACCATCAACCTGTCAGAAAGTGTATCTGCTGAAATAAGATTTGCAATGTTCCAGCGTAAGCCTGAAATAACCTGTCATATTACTTGTATTAAAGTATGCTTCACTTTATCCTGAGGAAAAAAAATCTAATAAATAGAGATTATAAGAAACAAGTTTCTTAAAGCTATTAAGATTTCAAAGTATGAAGGTGTTTCCTCCACCTTCTATGCTTCATCACCCATGGGAACGTTTGCCAATAGCAACTGAAAGCATAAATTAGCAACAGCAAACAAAACTTCTTAAACATAACTTTTCCTCTTTGGAACACGGAAGATTTCATGCAGCTGAGATCAACCAAGAAGTGAACCATGGGCTTTCACTCAAAATAAAAAATTACCAATTTATTTCAGTAAGGTCTATCTATACTGAATGACTTTCTACTTCTTAAGACTCCAAAGCAGAACTCTAAAGTCACAAGAAAAGTTGGAACTTGGATAATACAACTACTACAGAAAGTATAATAAAAGAAAACTACTCAGTCTTGACTCTAGCTATTGCTAATAAAATACAAAATCAAAAACAAGAAAATTCTAGCTTTACTGACAATGCCTTTGAAAAGTTTTATTATGGGTGTACTGAAACTTCATTATCTAAATGTTCTTGGTAAGTGACCTTCTTGGTTTAAAGTTGTGCTCCCTGTGGGGGGAGCCTAGGTGGCTCAGGTCATGATCCCAGGGTCCTGGGATGGATCCCACATCGGGCTTCCTGTTCACCCTCTGCCCCTCCCCCCAGCTTATGCTTGTGCTTTCTCTCTCTAGCAAAAATAAGTAAAATCTTAAAAAAAAAAAAAAAAAAGTTGTGGGGCGCATGGGTGGCTCAATCAGTTAAGCATTTGCCTTCGGCTCAGGTCATGATCTCAGGGTCCTGGGATTGAGCCCTGCATCGGGCTCTCTGCTCAGCAGAGAGCTTGCTTCTCCCTCTCCCTCCTGCTCTGCCTACTTGTGCTCTCTGTCAAATAAATAAATAAAATCTTTAAAAAAAAAAAAAAAGGTTGTGCTTCCTGCGCTAGACTAGAGAACAGCTGTCTACCTGAAGACTGAGAATTCACAACTTACTTGACTGGGTGAATAGTATCTTTTTTTTTTTTTTAAAGGAAGACCTAGCAGAATTTGTCTGTGGAATGCAGATAGTGTCTGGGTGCTAACCATACCTCTATTCCATTAATGGTTTGCCATGTTTAAAATTCAGTTGCATGATAAAGAGAAAAATGAAATACAGTGTGAACATACGAACATGTAAGCTCCCCAATGTTTTTATGTGAGAAGAGGGTGGGGCTAAACCTGTCTGTCCTAGTGGCCTCTTTATTGCCTTCTCTCCTTCCCGCACCTGGCCTACAGTTCCAAGGAAACAGGGGAAAAACTACAGGGCTGAAATCTTTAGTAAGCTAAGACAATCTCTGCTGTTCTCTTCTTCCATCACAGACAGCACACTGTGATGAGAGAATATGTATGGAAGCCAGCATTTGGGGATTTTTAAGTAAGAACTACCTGATGGGTAACCACCTAATGAAAGTTTAAGTTCGACCCCTTGACTTCATCATTTTTCCTTCTGCCTTGTGGTTAACTATAGGCATGTTAGAATAGCACAGTAAATCAGTCAAGGTAGGAAGTGTACTAGTGTCCAGGTATCACACTTTACCTATGGAGAAATGAGGATTTTACTTCATTTCTAGTACAGAATAACCTGGGCTAATATGGTCCTTTCAGTTCAATTACTTGGTTACGAGATATAAACAACCTAGACTCCATCCATTTGAAGTAAAGCTATTCTAAGGAACAGTGATTTTGCATCTGCATAAACATTTGCTAAGTGCTTCTTTACATATTATCAGATCCCAACTTCTGCTTCTCAAAAACATTGAAATAGGCCAAGGACATTAAACAAATGACCTTTATCTGGCAATGAACTTACGGGTAAATGTCTAGACTGTCATCTATACTGATATCCCAAAGACTTTCTTTGCCAAAGCGAGCTTGTGTAACGTTTATGATCTCTTCTGACAAAACAGAATCTTTAGCAACAGAAGTGGTTTATGCAAATACAACCTACATAATGACTGAGCATGTGCGCACACTAGGTACAGCCTTACCTTCCTCCATCTTTCTGAGGTGAAGTACAATAAGGTTGGAGATTCGGCAGTACTCGGGGAAGCTCAGCCTTAAGGAGGCTTTAGGAACTAAATCTTGGTTTATGTCTTCACTGTGGCCATTGATTCCATTCACAGGAGCAGGGCTGTCAACATGACCTAAGTAAATTATCAACCATATGAATCAAATGTTTGTAAGTATACTACTTCTATTTTATTTTATTATTATTATTTTTAAAGATTTTATTTATTTATTTGACAGAGACAGTGAGAGCAGGAACACAAGCAGGGGGAGTGGGAGAGGGAGAAGCAGGCTTCCCGCCGAGCAGGGAGCCCGATGTGGGACTTCATCCCAGGACTCTGGGATCATGACCTGAGCTGAAGGCAGCCGCTTAACGACTGAGCCACCCAGGTGCCCTACTACTTCTATTTTAATACTAACTTCTAAATAAGCATTTAGTTATACTCAGTATTTAGTAATTTTACAAATAAATTAGAAGCAAATTTGTAAATGCTAGTAGTGAAGACAAAAACTAATTTGAAAGCAGGTGCTTGGGTGGCTCAGTTGGTTAAACGTCTGATTCTTGATTTTGGCTCAGGTCAGGACCTCAGGGTTGTGAGGGAGCCCCACGAAGGACTCCATGTGTGGAGGGAGCCCCACGAAGGACTCCATGTGTGGAGCCTCCTTAAGATTCTCTCTGCCCCTCGTCCCTCCTTGTGTGAGTGCACTCTCTCTCTCTCAAAACAAAAAACAACCCAAAAAAAACTAAAGTGGAAGGAATGGGAAGGATGGCAGATACAAAGATTTCATGATCTAAAAGTTCATTTGCAATATTATACACAAAATCTAAAAATCTGGTATTTGTCTGGAACATGTGTTTAATTCAAAAGCAAAATAATGATAAATAAGGCCGGGGAATTAGGTCCAACTCTTACCATTTTGGTATATTTTCTTTCAGTCTTTCAAGCATATATATTTTATATTAACTATTTAATTGTATTTTACTTTGTAAATAGTACAATATCCATTTTTTCCCTTTTGCTATACAGACTTCAAAACTATCAACAAGTACACTTTTACCGTAACATCTCAGAGAACATTTTGGTCCCTAACTCCAGAACAGTAAACAAGTGTCTCACCATTGATGCCATCTGGGCCCTCATCTACCTCCATCTGGGCCTCTTCTTCTTGATCTAGATTAACATCAGGTGTTTCTACACGGATGATTGACTTATTCAGTAGCCTGAAAGCTTCCTTCACATGTTTAGGCTGGACCTAAACCAATCAAGATGAAGTAAATCAGAAAGTCAGTGTTCTTGATACACCACACAGATTTTCTCCACACCAAATCACAGTGGCATTTTAGTTTTCTCTCACACACATAGAATATGAGTTAACACCATAAATTCACCAGAATGGCTTATAAGGACCAATAATATATAGTACTGGAAAGAATGTAGAACAACTTTCATTCACTGCTGGTGGGAATATAAATTGATACAACCACTATGGAAAAGCATTTTGGCAGTCTTAACACACCTACAACCTGTGACAACAATTCCACTTCTAGGTGTATACCCAACATAAATGTACACACACATATATAGACCAAAAGATATGTATATCCCATGAGAACCCAAATTGGAAACTATCCAAATATCCATTAACAGAACAGGTGAATCACTGTGATGTATTGACAGAATATTACAAAGCAATGAAAACAGGCAAACTATTGCTACACAAAGCCTGGATGGTATCTTATAGTGTTAATGCTGTATAAAAGAAACCAGACACAAGGGGGGACATACTCTATGATCACGCTTATATAGAGTAATGGTTATCCTTAAATCCTCACATATATGGTCAAAAGTTTTTTTGACAAGGGTGTCAAGACCACTCCTTGGGGAAAGCATAGTCTCTTCAACAAATGGTACTGTGGAAACTGGGTATCTTATATAAAAGAATGAAGTTAGACCCCTGCCTTACATCACATACAAAATTAACTTAAAATAGATTGAAGACCTAAAACTATGAAACTTTTGTAAGAAAACACAGGAAAAAAGCCTCAGGACATTGGATTTGATAATGGTGTCAAAAGCACAGGCAACAAAAGAGAAAAATGACAAATGAAACAGTATAAAATTCCAAAAACTTCTGAGCATCAAGGTCATCAACAGAGTAAAAAAGGCAACCTACAGAATGGGATAAAGTATCTGCATGTTATATATCTAATAAGGGATGAATATCCAAAACATATAAATACCCATGTTCATCACAGCATTATTCACAACAGCCAAGAGGTGGAAGTGACCCAAATGTCCACTGATGGATCAACGGGTAAATAAAATGTGGTACACAGTATCTCCCTTTATTCTCAGGGATTATGTTCCAAGACCCCCAGTGGATGCCTAAACTGCAGATAGTACTTAACCTTACATAAACTGTTTTTTCCTATTCATACATACCTATGATAAAGTTTATCAACTAGGTAAAGAGCTTAACAATAACTAATAATAAAATGGAACAATTAGAACAATATACTGTAATGAAAGTTATGTGAATGTGGTCTCTCTCTCTCAAAATAACTTATTACATTGTACTCACCCTTCTTGTGATGTGATGATGTCGCTTTAGGCTACTACTGACTTTCTCACAATACTTCAGGAGGATCATCTACCTCTTAATGGTAACTCACCTCTATATGTACTCTATAATCTATGACATGATTATTTCATCATATTAATCTAACTATGTTTAATGAATGTTTACCAGCAACCTTCAAGTGACAAATCTTAGCATCGTGTATCCTATGAGCACTCAACGGTCATACCAAAGATAAAAACATGCTTATAAACCAACAAATCAATTGCTCTTTCCTCCCGTTATGTTAAGGTGACTTTGATACCTCGTCACAGCAGTGCATCCGAGCCATTGCTTCAGAGAGACGGATCATGCTCTCGAGCTGTCGCACTGTAATCCTCCATGAAGACTTGGTTACCCCAGAGCCATCCCTCTGGCGGAGACGTTTATACTGTTCCACAATGAAGTCCTCTGACTCTTTAGAAATCTGTTTCAGAACATCACCAAAGTCAGAGCTTTTCTACTTGATGGGAGCTGCATTAAACATAAGTTTAAGAGCCTTCCAGGTAGAGACACTCTGGGGAACTGTGAGGGTCAAAACTCTGTAGTCAACAAAGAATTAACACTGAAATGCATTTCAAAAGAAATTAAACTGGGGTGCCTGGGTGGCTCAGTTGGTTAAGGGACTGCCTTCGGCTTAGGTCATGTTCCTAGGGTCCTGGGATGGAGCCCCACATCAGGCTCCCTGCTCAGCGGGGGGCCTGCTTCTCCCTCTCCTTCTGCTGCTCCCCCTGCCTGTGCTCTCCTGCTATCTCTCTGTCAAATAAATAAAATCTTAAAAAACAAACAAACAAACAAAAGACACTAAACTAAGAATGCCTGTGAATTTCATATACTAATTTTGTCAACAGGAATACAGCAGGGTATTTAAGCAAATGCCATTTCTAAAAGACACAGAACAAGCTAAAGCAGTGGAACAGGATGTAATGCCTTTTAAACCCAAGATGCCAAAGCTCATTAAAAAAATTAATGCTCAAACTGTTCTTGAAACTCAGTTAATTAACTTATGCTGTCTTTGAGAAAAAGAGAGGTCCACACACACACACACACACACACACACACACACACTCCAGCTATTTCAATAAACCTTATTATTTGTTGAATAATAACAAAGTGAGAATACTAAAAAGAATATTCAGTTTTTCAGAGCGAGGAACTCAGCCCATTAAGGAAGCCTGCCAAGGTCAAAGGACCGGTACACAGTCATAGAGAACAAAAGCCTCCTTAAACATATGTGACCAGTAACCCTTAGTTTTAAATGCCTCATTAAGCTTCTTTCAGGACAATGAGAATCAATCTCAATATTACATATAATCAGTGAAGGTGATAGATAATTAAAATCTAAGGGCAACTCCCCAAAGTTGAGCCAGACAATAGTGTAAAAACCTCAACCAGAATCAATTTTTTTTTTTTTGGTATTCTATTTTAGGAAAATGTTAAACAAAACAAATGGATTACAAAGTTTACTTTAAAAATAAATGTCCTGGGTGCCTGGGTGGCTCAGATGGTTAAGCGTCTGCCTTCAGCTCAGGTCATGATCCTAGGGTCCTGGGATCGAGTCCCGCATCGGGCTCCCTGCTCGGCGGGGAGCCTGCTTCTCCCTCTGCCTCTCTCTCTCTTATGAATAAATAAATAAAATCTTTAAAAATAAATAAATAAATAAATAAATAAAAATAAATGTCCTGGATCCAGTACAGATTCAATTAAATGAACTACATCAATTACTGTAAAATATTAAGCCATGTTCATCACAATGACCTAAAGGAATCCAAATTTTTCCTTAAAGATTCCAGAACATTCAGTAGACTACTGATTGAGCTCATATAATTTTAAGATTCTTAGGAATAATGGCTGAAATAAAAGTATGTCCGACTTTATTTGGTTATCCAAAATTCTTCACCCATAAAAATCTTTTTATTAGCACCTAACAAGTAAAAGAAAATTATTCACATTTTTAGAAAATTTCCTCTTCCCAATTTTCTGAAGAAACATTGTTCTCAAAACAGAAAAACCTCAAAAAGAAAACAAAACAAAAACAAACAAAAAAACCCCCAAACAAGTATAGGTTAATTTCCACAGAACCCTTTTTAATGCCCTCTTCAATGCCCTATGCCAGTACAAAAGGGCAAGTTACCTTGGGTTTAAACTGTCTTGCAAAGAGAAGATACCTCCTGATATCATCAAGGGAATAGACACGATCAATGGAATCCTCAATTCTTGAATGCAAGTCTACTATACGTCTGGCAATAGCATAATCTGTAACCTAATTCAAAAGAAGAAAATCACTTTGGTCAGTCACAATAATATCCACTCCAGATTATTCCTGGCATTACAAAATTATTTATAGCTAAAAACAAGCTCTAATATGCCAATGAAAGCTGTATCAATGGGTACCAAGTTTCTGAGCAAAGTTTGGTACCAGTTTCATTTAAAATCAAAAGTTCTTTTTTTTTTTTTTAAAGATTTTTATTTATTTATTTGACAGAGAGAGACACAGTGAGAGAGGGGACACAAGCAGGGGGAGTGGGAGAGGGAGAAGCAGGCTTCCCACTGAGCAGGGAGCCCAATGCGGAGCTCGATCCCAGGATCCTGGGATCATGACCTGAGCCGAAGGCAGACGCTTACTTAACGACTGAGCCACCCAGGCACCCCTAAAATTAATAGTTTAATGCATACCTTTGCCCCACGCTAAGAATATTCCTGAAGGAATTAATGGATTTTAATAACACCACCAGAATTAAGATTTCTAGGGTGCTCCGTATATGCCAGGCACTGTTGCCTTAAGTGTGTCTAGAAGCATTTAACTCATGCAACCCTCACAAAAATCTTATTAGGTAGGTAATATTATCCCTATTTTACAGATAAGTAAATTGAGGCCCAGAGAGGTAAAGTAGCTTTTCTGACATCACAATACATAATGGAGCCAGGATTTGAACAGTCTAGCTTCAGAGTCCATGCTCTTAGCCACAATATTATATTGCCACTTGTGAATATATGAAGATAATCAAAGAATTGTTATTCACATTGAAAAAAAAGACGCCTAGGTGGCTCAGTCGGTTAAGTGGCTGCCTGCCGCTCCCCCTTGCATGTGCTCTCTCTTTCTGACAAATAAATGAATAAAATCCTAAAAAAAACCACACTAAAAATAAGCAATTTTCTCTCCTATAGTACAAAAAAACCATAGATATATAGAGAAATGTTAATATGTGAGTAAAGGGTACATGGGTGCTACATGCACTATTCTATTTCTTGCAACTTTTCTGTAAGTTTGAAATTATTTCCAATTAAAAAGTTTAAAAACTAAAGAATCACACACAGGGGTGCCTGGGTGGCTCAGTCGGTTAAGCGGCTGCCTTTGGCTCAGGTCATGATCCCATGGGCTCTCTGCTCAGCAGGGAGCTTGCTTCTCCCTCTCCCTCTGCCTACCACTCTATTTGTGCTCTCTGTCAAATAAATAAAATCTTTGAAGAATCACACACAAACACAAATATATGAAAATCAGACAACTCCCAGCTATGAGGATGGAGATAGGGAAGGGGGAGGACTGGGTTAAATATTTATATGGATTTGTGAAGGGAAAAAACAAAACATAAAGAACTAAAAATCCCCCCAAAAATCTGCTGTTCCATAGCCTTCACATAATGGAAGGCAGCTTTTATTTAGATAATAAAGTTTCGCTATAAGCAAGAGGTAATCGTTTTGTCTAATGTAATGTAGGGACTTTCATGCTCAGCAATTAACTGTATAGCCTAGAATGTTAGCTTCCATATAATGTCATTTTGTACTTCTGTGCACATCTGAGCTGTGCAATGTGGCTGAATATTTAAGTCTAGGTATAAATAACTTTAATAACTAACATGTTAGAATCCAAGTAAATCTACAAGTTTACAGTCAACCTTAAAACTGTTACATAATTAGGAAAAAAGTGTGATATACATTCAACAACTGGATGGGAAGATATAGGAAGATAAATGACTCATGATTTGGTGAAAAAAAACCAATTTTTTCCAAGCTTACTAAAAAACAAACAAACAAAAAACAACACCCAACAAAAAAAAATTCCTGTAAAAATCTTTGAGTATGGCTGGGAGTTAACCATGTTTCCTTTTATCTCTTCAGAATTAAAAAAACAGTAACAAAAACAACAAAAAACTCAATATTCCTCAGCACAATTAAGTGGAGCCAGCAATTAAAGTGACTTTATTTTGATTTTCTTAATAAACCTTTTGCCCAATCTTATGCCATTCTGAGAGAAATGAAAGTCAGTGCAAACACATGCACCAGCCGTTCAAGAGTACATCCTACAGTCTTGTCTCCTTCAGTTACTCAAACTGGAAATAACAAAGGAACCCAAGAGCGACAGTTCACACAGTTACCTCATTACATTCATCCACAAGTATAAAGAAGAGATCAAATCGGGACATGATGGGAGCTGACAAATTTATATTTTGTTTCAAAGATTTTGATCTGTCATAGTGTCCACTGATTGGGTTTGCTGCTGCCAAAATGGACGTCCTGGCATTCAGAGTAGCCTGACCATAAAAGAAATCATTGTTATAGGTTTAAAAAGACATCTGGAATGGTCAATAAACATAGGACAAAATGCTCAATCTTACTCATAATTAACTAAATGCAAACCAAAATATTAAGGCATCATTTTTCACCTACTGAATCATCAAAATTAAAGTCTGGTAACGTATAGCAAACAGGCACTCCCATATTAATGGTGGGGTTATGACACACACATTTTTTAAGCCAGCAATTTGTTAGGAATTTATCTTGCAGCTAGGTACAGGAAGATGCATGTTCAAGGATGTTTACTACAATATGGCTTGTAATCAAAAGGCTGAAAATGACCAAATGTCACTCTATGGGAATCTAATGAGCCAAACTGGGGGACACAAGACTTGAAAACCATGTAGTAAAATAAATACTAAAATGGATCTAATATGTGCTGGTATAGAAAGATTGCCAAAACAAAATTATGAAGTTAAATGAGCAAAGAACTAACTTATATGTATTATGCTTACTTATATATGAAAAATTTCTGAAAGGGCTATAACTTCTGAGCATTTATTGGTGATAGGAGTTGCAGGGGAAGATTTCACCTTTTAATTTATATTTTATTCTACTGCTTAAATTTTCCTTACCTATTTGAATGCATTACTTTTATTTAAAAAGTCTGGTTTCTCTCTAATATTGGTTACAATACTGTACTTATTATTTTCATTTAAATAATCTGTTGACTCTGATTATTTTTTGTTACAACTGGAAGCACACATTATCAAAGAATATAGAAGCTTGGTGGAAATTCTGAGAAGTGAAATGCTAAAAATTTTACCAATGCTTTCTCTATTTTCTGTCATAGCAATACATTTTCTAAGTACCCCAAAAAGCGCCTATAATTTGGATTAATAATGCTCAGGGCTATGTTTCCCACTTCAATGATCAGCATTTCATGTTGAAATAACGCATTTTATCCAAGTGAACGTTTCTAGAGCTACACTAATCTTTAAGGCTAAGGCATGATGCAGCAGAACAGAAGTGAACATACATACCTTCACTCCTGCTTTAGTGATAGAGATGGTCTGCTGTTCCATAGCCTCGTGAATAGCAACTTGATCCCGCACATCCATCTTATCAAATTCATCAATACAACATACACCCTTGTAACCAAACAAATTAGCATAAGAAATTGCCTTTGAGATGTCAAATGCCAAGTATAAACTCAAGTTTGCTACTACAGAGATCTTTTCATTCTCTAAATAACTCTAAGGTAGGTAACTAAGCAATCTTAATTTCCCCTACTAGATAGAGGAGGATAGTTCGACAGATTCCAGAGCTAGAAGGAACCATACATGTTGACTCATTTTAAATCAAGAGCAGGATTAAAAACATACAGTTACTTACTGCATCCTTATTCAACATCAGAACTTTGTGTAAATCTCTAGGTCAAATATTCTGGGTCACCTTAGCATTCATTTTAGGCTGGGGTAGTGAAGGGTAAAGTTGGAACAACATTTATAAACGTATAGCTATGGCTTATATGCTTTCACAGATCTAACAGATCTATGTCAAATACATGTAAAATGCAAGAGACATACTCATAGAGGTGTCATGGTCTGGAAAGGAACAAATGCTGGGAACTACTAGTCAGAGCAAACACATGCTCAGGGCAGGCAATACATTCTAGAGAAGCTCAGAAACCAATTAATGATGACTATCTCAAATTCTAAGCTAATAAAACTGAATTATTTACTAAAAATGGGTTTTTTTTTAAAGGCTTTCTCTTTAATAGAAATTTATAGGCCTTTTTGATAGGGTAGGGGCTATTCTGATTTCTTTAGTAAAGTATAAAATGTTCTTACATTATCAGCCAACATCAAAGCTCCAGCTTCAATGACAAATTCATGAGATTCTTCATCTCTTACAACAGCTGCTGTTAAGCCAGCAGCACTGGATGCTTTGCCACTGGTGTAGACAGCTCTGGGGCTGAACTCCTCCACGTGCCTGTTCAACGTTATCATATTCATTAACACATGACTACAAAAGCATCTTTTCTAGAAATGTCAGCTGACAGGGCTTATGTCAATCAAAAACTGAAATTTCTTTTTTTAAGATTTTATTTATTTATTTGACACAGAGAGAGGAAGATAGAGCACAAGCGAGGGAGCGGCAGGCAGGCAGAGGGAGAGAGTGAAGCAGGCTCCCTGCTGAGCAAGGAGCCCGATGTGGGACTTGATCCCAGAACCCTGGGATCACGACCTGAGCCGAAGGCAGCCACTTAACTGAATGAGCCACCCAGGCGCCTCCCAAAATTGAAATTTCTTAAAGAACATCTGAGAGAGATATTAAACATAAGCATTTCATAAAGACATATGTCACAGACTGAACAGAAAGCCTTATATCTCCTTTGGCCTTTTAAATCAACTTAAATCCATTCCTGTCAAATGGAAGATGAAGTTCATACATGACAAGAACATCATTTTTTCCCCTTTTTTTTAATGTTATGTTAATCACCATACATTATATCATTAGTTTTTGATGTAGTGTTCCATGACCCATTGTTTGTGTGTAACACCCAGTGCTCCATGAAGAACGTGCCCTCTTTAATACCCATCACCAGGCTAACCAATCCCCCCACCCCCCTCCCCTCTAGAACCCTCAATTTGTTTCTCAGAGTCCATAGTCTCTCATGGTCCGTCTCCCCCGACAAGAACATCATTTTAAAGAAGTCTTTAATAATTAAGTTTGGCAACAATGATCTATTAGAAGGCCTTGCACTTAAAAAACAAAACAAGACAAACCTGTATCTGAGATTTATTCCAAAATAATAGATTGGTTTAAGATCTAAACATTAATAATATGCCATAGCAACAGAATAAAGGATAAGAACAATCTCGATAGACGCAGAAAAAGCATGTGACAAAATCCAACATCCTTTTATGATAAAAACTAGAAATATAAGAATTTCCCACAACTTAATAAGGGCATCTATGAAAACCCACAGCTAACATCATACTTAATGGTAATAGGCTGAATGCTTTCTCCCTAAGTTCAGGAACAAGATACAGATGTTCGCTCTTGTCATTTCTGTGCAACATTATATTGAAAAGTCTAGCCAGGGCAATTGGGGAAGAAAAACAAAAAGGCATCTATATTTGAAAGGAAGAACTATCACTATTCCCAGATAACATGACCTTATAGTTAGAAAATCCTATGGAATCCATTAAAACAGAATAAATGAGCACTTGCAAGATTGCAAGATAAAAGATCAACAATCTATTGTATTTCTATACACCTGCAATGAACAAGTAAAAAATGAAAATAAGAAAACAGTTCTACTTACAATAGCATAAAAAAGAATAAAATACTTATGAACAAATTTAAGAAGCACAAGCTTGTACTGTGAAAACTACAAAACACCATTGAAAAAAATTAAAAACCTAAATAAATGCAAAGATATCCCATGTTCATGGATCAGAAGACTTAAAATTGTTAAAAAGATAATATACCTCAAATTGATCTACATATTAATGCAATCTCTATTAGTATCACAACTCGCTTTGTAGAAACTGACAAAGCAGATCCTAAAATTCATGTAGGGGACACCTGGGTGTCTCAGCTGGTTGGGTGTCTGATTCTTGATTTCAGCTTGGATCATGATCTCAGGGTTGTGAGATCGAGCCCCACAACTGGGCTCCACTCCGGATGTGAAGCCTGCTTGGAATTCTCTTTCTCCCTCTCCCTCTGCTCCTCCCCCTGCCACTCATATGCACTCTCTCTAAAACTAAAAAATAAAAAATTAAAAAAAAAATAAATAAAATTCATGTGAAAACTCAAGGTACCCAGAATAGCCAAAACAATCTGGAAAAAGAAGAGTTGGATGACTCACATTTCTGATTTTGAAACTTACTACAAAACTATAGTAATTAAGATAGTGTGATATTGGCCTAAGGACAGACATCGAGATTATGAAAATAACCCAGAGTCCAGAAATAAACCCTGACACTTACAGTCAACTGATTTTCAACAAAGGTGCCAAAAACAATTCATCAGGCTAAAAGAATAGTCTTGGCATTCAAATAACTGGATATCCACAGGCAAAAGAATAAAGTTGGACCCCTACCTCATACTATATAAAAAATTAACTCAAAATGGATCAAGGACCTTATTTATTTATTTGAGAGAGAGAGAGAGAGAACGCTAGTGGGGGGAAGAGCAGAGGGAGAGGGAGAAGCAGACTCCCCACTGAGCACAGAGCCCGATGTGGGGCTGGATCCCAGGACTCCAGGATCATGACCCAAGACGAATGCAGATGCTTAACCAACTGAGCCACCCAGGCGCCCCAAGGACCTAAATTTTAAAAGCTAAAAATAACCCAAAGAATTGCAAGCAGAGACTTGAACAGATACTTGCACATCAATGTTCACAGCAGCATTATTCACAATAGCCCAAAGGTGGAAACCCAAATGTCTATCAATGGATGAACAGATAAAACAAAAGGTGGTTAAGTCCATACAATCGATTATTATTCACTCTTTAAAAGAAAGGAATTCTAAGATATTCTACAACATGGATGACCCCTCACTATTATGCTAAGTAAAATAAACCAGTCACAAAAGGACAAATACTGTATGATTCCATGTATATGAGGGACCTAGAATAATCAAATTTAGAGACAGAAAGTAGGATGGTGGTTGCTAGGGGCTGGGACAGGAGTAAATGTGAAGTTACTGTTTTAATGCAGAGACTTTCAGTTTGGGAGATGAAGGAGTTCTGAAGATGGATGGTGGTGATGACCGCACAATTTGAATGTACTTAATGCCACAGAAATGTACATATAAAAATGTTTAAAATGGTAAATGTGATGTGTATTTTACAATTTAAAAAAAATGGTGAAAGCTTATTTGCTAATGTTCATAGCAGTATTGCTTATAAAAGCCAAAGTAAAAACAATCCAAATGCCCATTACTGATAAATAGACACCTAAATGTGGTAAATATGTATGATAGAATATTAGGTAATAAAAGAACATGAAATACCAGCATGCTCCAACATGGCTGAACCTTGAACACATTATGCTAAATAGAAGAAGCCAGTCAAAATGAATCACATAGTATATGATTCCATTTCTAGGAAACGTCCAGATAGAGACTCAAACATAGATTAGTGGTTGCCTACGGCCAGTGGGGAGAATGAAGGCTGCTAGTGGGTATGGGATTTCTTTTTGGGTAATGAAAATGTTGTAAACTTAGTTTGGTGATGGTCATACAACACTGTGAATATACTAAAACCACTGAACTGTATACTTTGAAGAGGTGAATTTTACGATATGGAAATTATATTGCAATAAAGATGCTAAAAGATATAGATATAAAAGGCTATTTCTAAGATAACTGTGTACAACTCTGTTACCAACAGCAACACTGTGGCACATCTTTTTGTGGTGGTGGAGGGGAGGTGGGAACAGAGGACATGAAGAGAGAAGGCCCCCCCCCCCCCCCCGCTTTTTAAAGATTTTATTTGACACACACACAGAGAGAGAGAAAGAACGTCAACATAAGCAGGGGGAGCGGCAGAGGGAGAGGCAGGCTCCCCGCTGGGCAGGGACCTGGACACAGGGCACGGATCCCAGGACCCTGGGATCATGACCTGAGCCGAAGGCAGACACTTAACAGACTGAGCCACCCAGGCACCCCAGACGAATTCCTTTCAACCTAGGACTACTATTTTCAAATCTAAAGCCTAGTCCTTGATATATGTGAAGGAAATAATACTTACTTATAAAATTCCAAACCAACTAAAAATGTTCTCTGTTCTAGAACAGTGCCATTTTACAAATTTCCCAAACAAATAAAGGAAAAGCAGCTTGATATACTATGAAGAGCAAAAGCTTTGCAGTCAGATACATCTGAATTCTAATATTCATGGCTCAGCAGTCACTTGTTAGCTATGAGAAGTTGGGTAATTTACTAAGTTTCAGAGAAGTTTTGTTTGCCTCCCCCCAAAAAGATGATTATTTTACATGCCTGTCTGGGTGCTGCTAGGACAAGATGCATATACATATACAGCACCAAGAACACAGCAGGTGTTTCAAAACTGGTTGCTTTTATTTTGACCTCCAAGTTTCTTAAAAGTTTGAAACTAAGCAAGTATTTGCTATAGTTTCTAAAAATAAGCAAAACTGCTAAAACAGTACACATACTGATAAGGTTAGCATAACGTGTCTCATCCTTATTGCACTGCTATTGGAAAGCAGTTTCCTAGTTAAAAACCTTAAAAATGGGGGTGCCTGGATGGCTCAGTCATTAAGTGTCTGCCTTCGGCTCAGGTCATGATCCCAGGGTCCTGGGATCGAGCCCCACAACAGGCTCCCTGATCTGCAGGAAGCCTGCTTCTCCCTCTCCCACTCCCCCTGCTTGTGTTCCCTCTCTTGCTGTGTCTCTGTCAAATAAATAAAATCTTAAAAAAAACCCCAAAAACCTTAAAAATGTTTGTATCCTTAGTCTCAGCAATCCCATGTTTAGGGATTTTCCCAAAGGAAACAAAACAAAATAAAATAAAAATTTATACAAATCATGATGTTCACTGTATCGATATCCATAATCATTAAAATAAATGAAGACAGGCTAGGAAAATAATTTTTAAGTTATGGTACACCAATAAGAAATGGTGAAAATAAACATGGAAATTAGGGCAAATTAAAATTAAAAATTGCTATGCTGGGGTGCCTGGGTGGCTCAGTCGTTAAGCGTCTGCCTTCTGCTCAGGTCATGATCCCAGGGTCCTGTCATCAAGCCCCGCATTGGGATCCTTGCTCCACAGGAAGCCTGCTTCTCCCTCTTCCACTCCCCCTGCTTGTGTTCCCTGTCAAATAAATAAATAAAATCTTAAAAAAAAAAATAGCTATGCTATGATTTATAACCATGAAAATACATATTCATGTATCCAAAGACTTATAAAAAGATTATACGAAGACATTATACAAGGATTAAAAGAATTCTAAATGGGATTGAGATTATAGGCAATTTTTCCCTGTTCTAAAAAATTGTAAAATGTTGTCACATTCTGTTAAACAAATTAAGGTGATTTAATCTAAGCAAGTTATATTTTCAACAATCATAATCTATACTCCTGCTTTAGTAAAGGCACACTGACTGCATTCTTGACAGCACAGAAAACCTGGAACTCTACACACTGTTTTTTCCAATGTGCTACCTCAGGCAAACGCTTACTTGAGAAACTGGCTCTTAGCTGTACTTGGGTCACCAACAATGCAAACATTTATGTCCCCTCGAAGAGAGGTTCCTTCCCCCGTTGTCTTTGGAACACCACCAAAGAGCATCAGCAAGACACCCCGTTTTACTTCATCATTGCCTAAAAGGAAAACACAAGGTATTTTTCAATATGAGGCTAAACAATTTCACAAGAAACTACAACACGTTTACTAATCAAGAGCCAAGAGAGCTGAAGTGAAGTGTAAGACTGAATAAAAGTATCTGGCCTCTACTCTCGGTTCTTGCTTTGTGAACTTAAAGCCAGCTAATCACTGTCCCAGTGTTCTCACCTATACCACAGATGTCACCAGTGGTGATGCTCACCATCCTAAGAGTCTTTCCTTCAAGTCCTACTTCCTCATAAAGCCTTTTCTGATGTAGTACTTCTCAAAACAACTCCATAAATAAACTATGTCCAGCACAGCACACTGCACTTACTAGTTCTAACAGCAGATCTTGCTGTTGTATCCAGAGTTTGAGGAAACAGTCCATGATTTACTTCTTTTGTATCACCAACAGTGAATAGTGCTAAATACAGAAACACTCTAAATGAACTGCTATGGATTAGATAAGATGCTGATTGTGATTTATGGCTGCTTCTACAAGCTTTTTATGAATCCAATATAAGAAGGAAATGTACAGAAAAAAAACCTGGATCTTTACAAATGTGCTGTTAAAAATCCAGGTAACCTCTTTCTATTTTGTGTCCCTATGAACGTGCCTATTCTAGGTACCTCATTTTAAGTGGAATCATGTAATATTTGTCTTTTTGTAAATGACTCTAACACCCCTTGTAACTCCACTAAAAAACCTTTTGATCTGATTTATGTGCTGTAAGAAATCACTGATTGCTGTTTTAAAAAAATTTTTAAGTTCCAGTATAGTTAACATAGGTATTCATTGCTATTTCTTAATCATCATTTTGATTTCAAGTTTATGCCACAAATGGAAAGAACTCTTACCATGTATAGTAGGGAACAGGCTGGTACAGAGATTGTGGTACAGATTTTTATCCTGACTCATTTCAAACACTTTCTCCCACTCCTTCACAGTCATTTGGTTCTTAATGCTCTCAGCGGTCTGTTCCTCATCTCGGAGCTCTTTCCCTCCAAACTGAGGGGTGGAGAAGAAAGGAAAATATACTTGCATGGAACAGTCAAAGTAAAGTGAAACAGAGAGAGCTTCATTACAAACAAAAAATAGCCTGGGAAGTCAACTTCAGAATCTCTTGACTACAAAGGTTTTCAAAAAAATCCCCAAACTTGTAATGCCTAAGTTAATCAAGATACTGAAGAGTTTGTCATTTCTCCAGTGAATTGAAAACAAAAAAGCTAACACTGTTTTATATTGCTATCGAAATGAATCTGAACGCTCAAGAGATGAGCCATAATAAGATGTTAATCACTGATACGAACATAAAGTAACATAGTATTATATTCACCCCTCTTCTTCCAATACTGGACTATTTTCCAAACTTTTTCTCACTGCTTTCCCACTAAGGACACAGAATCAAGTTTTACACAACTATTAATACCAGGAATCCATCGCTCACAGAAAGATCAAGTTACTTTACTTCCCAGATTACTAAATTTTTCTATTTGTACTTTCTCCAGGAGCATGATAGAGCAACTGTGTTAATTAAAAAAACAATAAAATTATACCATGGATAATTTTTATCAATGCTGTTAAGGCATTGAGCTCTTAAACATGAAAACAGGTTTTTCCTCAAGGTCAGAAACACATGAAAAGATTTGAATCAGGGGTGCCTGGGTGGCTCAGTTGGTTAAGCGACCGCCTTTGGCTCAGGTCATGATCTCGGGATCCTGGGATCAAGCCCCGCATCAGGCTCCCTGCTCCGTGGGAGTCCTTCTCCTGCTGCTGCTCGCTTATGTGAGCTCTCACAAATAAATAAAATCTTAAAAAACCAAACCACCAAAAAACACAAAAACTGAAGAATCCTCCCACCCCACCATTAACACTGACTAGATAACTCAGCAGTTTCAGAAGCCTATATTGTTGTGGCAGCCCCAGGGGACGTCTTTCTCAACCTTTTCCATTCTATTAAGACTCACCCTTGGGTTGGTGGGTGCAACACAGCAGGCAAGAAAGACCAGCCTGTATGAAAGATCCCTAACACCAAGAGCCCGGAGTCCTCGAATGCCTTCCGTCTCATATCCATCAACACCACTTACACGGGAATTAGTTTCTGCACGTGCTCCTGAAAGAATGAATGACAGTTTGTTTCACAGCTCAAATATCAAAGGTGCTGAGACTCAAAATTGCTTAAATAAACAAACCCCATAAATCCAAAGATTTCATTTAGGCCTTGAAATTTTTCAGAACTGTACTTTTTGATGCAAAATCAATTTGTCTCTATTCTTACCATATTTCCTTGGTCACCCTGATGGATAGCCAAAAATAAGGAAGATTCAAGAAGCTGAATGTTCTGTAGCTTCAGGTAATGAGAATTTGTTAGATTTGAGCCAAAGATTACTGACCTGGTATGCTAAGCTTAGAGACATCAGGCACAACAATTAGAGTCCCTGTAAAGTCACACTTGTCACCAGCTTGAGCTGACTCCACAGCTTCAGCTCTCAAGATCACCTCTAAACTTCGGGGGATACTCCCTCGAGGAAGTTCAGCTTGAGTCTCTTGAATACGAACCTGTAACAATGGCCAAGAAGAAGAGATTATCTTTCAAATGCCATATAATCTAAATTAATGCCACAAATATCAACATATTCCAAATTCTTACCATTTGCAGACTTTTGACATTTGTCAAAATTCACTGTAAAAATTCTCTACCCTAATACTCCTCGCAATTTGGTAAGCGATAACATCTACTTAAAAACTTCACCTTTAGGGGGCACCTGGGTGGCTCAGTTAAGTGTCTGCCTTCAGCTCAGGTCAGGATCCCAGGGTCCTGGGATCAAGTCCCACGTCAGGCTCCCTGCTCAGCGGGGATCTGCTCTTCCCTCGCCCTGTCCCTCTGTGTGAGTGCTCGCGTTCTCTCTCAAATAGTGCCTAGAGGTGAATTATTAGCATAAACTGAATCTGAACGCACAGGAGATAATACCTTTTGAAAATCAACAAATCTTGATTTATTTGTATCCAGCAAGAATCTCCTTCTGTTGGCACAAACTGGATTTCGGCAGATATTCGGCTGTGTGTATTTGAACTGCTGTTCTACATCCTTGATCACTGTCTGACAGTCCAAGCACAGGAATGTTCCACTCACAAGCTCTGGGTGAACAGGATGAGTCCGTACTACCTGCCCACTGATGCGAGTGAGCAAACCAATTCTGGATGATGTGAGTTCTCGAATTCTGTTTAAAGATAGATATCTCATTAGTAAATATTCATTTCCAAACTAAGAAATGTTTCTTTTTTTTTTTTAAAGATCTTATTTATTTATTTGACAAAGAGATAGAGAACACAAGTAGGCAGATCAGCAGGCAGAGGGAGAGGGAGAAGCAGGCCTCCCGCTGAACAGGGAGCCCAATGTGGGGTTCAATCCCAGGACCCTGGGATCATGACCTGAGCCGAAAGACGCTTAACTGACTGAGCCACCCAAGCACCCCGAAATGTTTCCATTTTAATGATAGGGTATTCAAGGATAAATTTATGTTACAACAAACAAAAACAAAACAAGAGAAGGAATTCTTTGGACTTCTCCAAGAATGATTTAGTCAATGTGCCCATTCCTAAATTAGACAGTGTATATGCATTCACAGCAAAAAACATCAATATGAAAACTAAAGGACACCAAAGAAATGAAATTACAACTATAAAACAGATGATCCTAATTTATTTTATATGCAAATATTTTCTGCTTACCTATAATTTCTAAATAATCATGTATTAGTTTCACAATAAAATTATCATAGGGAAAAAATGGTATACTCAGAAGTTCAGAAACACTTCCTTTACCTCACAAACCCATTTTATATTAAATAACTTGTTAATTTTACAAGTAATTTCAGTAGTTTAAGTTTTCAAAATATCACTTCAATTTCTTCCAGTAAATTTATTCTTTAAATAACTGCTAACAGGAAAACATGTTTTAAAGTTATGCCATTTAAGCTCTGACAAAAATTTCCAAAGATTCATGATTTTCTGTGACTGTTCTCAGTTTTCGTATTTTCTCACTTGACTGATTTTTCCCCAGATGTCCCCTGAAAGGCGTCCTGAAATATGACAATCCCCAAAAATGGCTTGATTTAACTTACTTCCTATTTCATCTCCCTAGAAAAATGTATTTCTCCAAAACCAAACTTTCTAGATAACTAAGCCTAACTCTTTACACATATAAAACTAAACCTATGGGTGCCTGGGTGGCTCAGTCAATTAAGCGTCTGCCTTCGGCTCAGATCATGATCCTAGGGTCCTGGGATCAAGCCCTGTGTTGCTCCCTGCTCAGCAGGGTGTCCGCTTCTTCCTCTCCTTCTGCCCCTCTTCCCTGCTTGTGCTCTCTCTCCTACTTGCTCTCTAAGTAAATAGATAAAATCTTAAAAACAAAAACAAAAAACAACTAAACCTCCTGAGTTTTTTAATCATTAAATGATGCCTATACTGTTTGGTGAATTCCTGTTCTTCCAAAGAAGGGTTTCTTACTTGTGTCGGATAGGTAGGTCTTGGAATGCAACATAAAAATCCTTGGCAAGAGGAATCTCTTTTCGGTCTTTGACGAAGGTTTTCAAGGCCCGACACAGGTAAGGGTAAACTCTGAAAAGCAAACAAACGAACAAAAATCACACGTCCTCTTCAAGAGGCCTACCAAGGCCTTTCATGCTTATAAACAGCTGAGACTAAGCAATTTCATCTGGCTACAACCAAGCCTTAAAATTTAACTATGCAGGACACTTATATTGTCTAGTCTAGGTTTATGAGCCTCTTCCAATCCCTCCTATCCACCATAAATAGATCTAAGACAAAAGAAACACAAAAGATAAAATGTTATACCCAAATATCCACTATCTTTAAATTAGCACTTAGCACTAACACTGTAGGCCACTCCTCTGTCCAAGATGAATCTACCTGAACAATCTTGGTGGTTTACAATCCAGCAAGACAGTCTCCCATTTGATGTCAAGGCCTGGTATATTTTTCTAGGTATAATTTTTGACTGATAAGAAACGGATGAGGGGAGAAATTTGTGTACTGACATGAGAGCAAACTGGCAGAAACATACCACTTGATCGGTTAGACTGAAGTGTCTTGATACAAGTTCCCAATAGTTGTTACAGCTTGGTTTGTTTAAGCAGTGGGATCTGGAAGTCCTCTGAACAATGAGCTACCTTCAGGAGACAGAACTGCTACATGGCCTGTGCATGAGGTATGGGTATAGGTATTTCTACCACCTACCACCAGCCTGGATTTTCTATCTCCCTCACTTGTCAATACAACTTTTCCAGCTGTGTATTCTTACAGTAAACTCTGCTGCTTATTCCTGAAACTATTCCCGATGATCAGAAACACTGAAACAAGTCATCCATCTCCAGCCCACCATGTAAAGGAACAGGGTTGTCTCTCCTTACTTCTGGGTCTTCATTTCTCTTTCACAACTGTCCACAATGTTTATTTTAACCTGGTTTTATTTATACAGATTGTCACATTTATTTATTAATGTTTATTTATATGTATTTACATAATGTTATTTAATTTATTAATCCAAATGCTGACAAAGATTTGTTTAAAGAGATGTTTCTTATTTTATACAGCAATTAAAAATAAAATGAAAGACTAATTAATGTCTAGTTTCTACCCAAAAGAAATACCATTCAGCTATTAAAATGTTTTCAAGGGATTTTATAGGATATGGAAAATTACGTTATACTGTTAAGTGAAGGCAGGCGACTATATCTACAGTATGACCTCAATAGTTACATAATACCCGGAAATAAAACAAAATGTGCCAGAAGATCCTTGGGAAACTCCACATTTGCAGACCTGCTAATGATGGGTTATCTATGGATGATGAGAATATATTTGTAATCCCACTATCCACAGATATGTATGTATTCCCTCTACTTATCTCTACTTTCTACCTTTCCTACAACATACACATTACTTTCATAATCAGAAAAAAATTAAACTTTAAGGACAATGTCATACTTTAAAGACACCCTGATCAAGAAGAGGATCCACACACTTTCTCAAATATCTACTTCTGGGGGCAAGGGAAAGGATCAAATGAATGACACAGCAATAGCACTGAATGCCTGAAAGAAAGTAAGCGATCCTCTGAAACCTACATAGAAGGCGTAGGTTTTCAACATTCGCATGTGAAAAATATTCGGCTCCACAAAGGCCTAAATTAGTTCAACTAAAATGACCACTGGCTCTATCAAAGGGCCTCTGTGACAGCTGGCTTCTGCCTCACAAATGAACACTTGGCAGTTCAAGAAGATCTGGATTCACAGGCTCCATGCTTATTTAAAGTAAAGAAGATTGATACACCATACCTATAGAACTCTTCTTGAATGGTGGTAGAAAGTTGTTGGTTAAATTGCTCCAGGTCCACAAAACTCACAACCAACGTGTTTCTCTCGGGACGAATGAGCTCCTCTGCTAACTGTAAGTACTTAATTTCTCCATCACTGTTCTGGAACCTGCAGGTACATGCAAGTCAGATTAAACTTAAGAATTAGGTAGTAAAAAGAAGAATCTAGATGCCTGATAACTCAGTGTATTGGTTAAAATTCATCAGCTGTAGGGTCAGATAGGCTCACTTTACTAATTGTGTAACTTGGGGCAAGTTAGTTATCCCCCTTTTTTGAGAAAAAATAAATAAATTAGGACATTGCTTTATCTCAGAGGATTACTGTGAAGTTTAAATGAGAATGCCTGTAAAATGCTTTGCACAGAGCCTAGAACACAGAAAAACTAGGCCTTCCAATTTTAATCTGCATTTCTTAATTTAGTATTTTCTAATAAAAAATGCCCACTCGGGTGCCTGGGTGGCTCAGTAGTTAAGCATCTGCCTTCGGCTCAAGTCATGATCCCAGGGTCCTGGGATCGAGCCCCACATCGGGCTCCCTGCTCAGCAGGAAGCCTGCTTCTCCCTCTCCCACTCCCCCTGCTTGTGTTCCTGCTCTCGCTCTCTCTGTCAAATAAATAAATAAATAAATAATCTTAAAAAAAAATGCCAACTATTCTTTTATTATTGTTATGTATAATTAAGATTGGAAAATATTAAACCAAGAAATGCAGGTTGAAATCCAAAGATTCAGTTACTATAGGGAAAACTAACAGACTGGTTGTTAATTTAAAAACGTGAAAATACAGGGGCGCCTGGGTGGCTCAGTCGTTAAGCGACTGCCTTCGGCTCAGGTCATGATCCCCGGGTCCTGGGATCGAGCCCCGCATCAGGCTCCCTGCTCAGCGGGAAGCCTGCTTCTCCCTCTCCCACTCCCCCTGCTTGTGTTCCCTCTCTCGCTGTATCTCTCGCTGTCAAATAAATAAAATCTTTAAAAAAAAAAACAAAAACAAAACAAAACAAAAAAACGTGAAAATACAGAGATGAGGTGCCTCACTGTCCAAGTCCTCAGGAAAACAGAAACATCTATACACAAAATATAAAGGATTATCACAAATATTTTTGCTTTTTGTTCTTTTAACATAAAATGCAGATTCATTTTGAGGCAAAAATCAATTCCTTCTTCAAATACAGCATGCTCTGTTAAGATATATACTGGACATCTACCTGCAAAGCACTATGCCAGAGACACTTGAAGCTAAAATGACAGTGTTGTTCCTGCCCTAGGAACACAGGAGACACTCTTATTAAAGAGAGGTAACAAGAGAATCTAAACATCCATGACAAATGAGTAAAGAAAATGTATACAACACATACAAAGGAATACTACTCAGCCTTAAAAAGGAAAGTCTGCTATATGTGTCAACAAAGATGAACTCTGAGGACATTACATTAAACGAAATAAGCCGATCACAGCAAGACAAATATTGCGATTCTGCCTATATGAGATATCTAAAATAGTCAAATTAATACAGTCAAAGTGGAATGAGGGCAGCTGGCTGGCTTAGTTGGTAGAGCATGCGACTCTTGATCTCAGGGTTAGGAGTTCAAGCAGGTTGGGTGCTGAGCTTACATTAAATAGACAGACAGCAGAATGGTGGTTGCCAGAGGCTAGAGTAAGGTGGGAAATGTGGAGGTACTAATCAATAGGCATAAGGTTTCAGCCAAGTGAGACTGAATAAGCTTTAAGAGATCTACTGTGTAACATTGTACTTATAGTCAATGATACTATATTGTACAGCAAAAAATTTGTTAAGAGGTTAGTCTCATGTTGTGTTCTTTCCACAATAAAATCAAGGAAAAGGTGTGCCTGGGTGGCTCAGTCATTAAGTGTCTGCCTTCCGCTCAGGTCATGATCCCCGGGTCCTGGGACTGAACCCCCATTGGGCTTCCTGCTCAGTGGGAAGCCTGCTTCTCTCTCTCCCACTCCCCCTGCTTGTGTTCCCTCTCTCGCTGTGTCTTTCTGTCAAATAAATAAAATCTTTAAAGTAAATAAATAAATAAAATCAAGGGGGAAAAAAAAAGTACAAGAAATGTGCTGGGGGACTATAAACGAATTCTGCCCAACAAGAACATGTAGAAAGGCTTCAAGAATTCAAAAGGTTCAGAATTTGAAAGAAAACAAAAACACCAAAAAACCCCCAGTGGTGGTGAAACTGACTGCAGATGTTGGCAAATAAGTGGCAATGTCAGCAAAGGTATAGGAACAGGGATGGTTGTGGAAGGATACAGGAACAGGCTGGTTGTGAAAGATGAAACTGGGAAGAGCTGTGAAGAATTTGGGACTTTATTCCATAAACAAGGGCAAATCAAAGCTGGAATTTTGAGAGGAAGTTAACATCCCCCCCCCCCCCATAAAGTGATTATCTGTCTTATCTATCATCATCCCCAGCACCTAGCTGTATGGTAAACTGCAAGGTAACGAAGGCAATTATATCCTTTGTTAAAATTAAACATTCATTGAGGACTTTTGCAATATGGTGTGGTGGCCAGGTGGGGTTAAGGGTGGGATTTACATTCAAGATGAAGTGGCTGACAGGTAGATATAAGATACTCTACAGAGATAATGGTAAATGGCACCTCAGGGGCATAAAGGAAGAAAGGATTGGTGCTGCCTGAAAGGTTTATAGGGTTTCACAAAGGAGTTGTGAGTCTTTAACTGGCTTTGAAAGATGAGAGCTGTTAGGCAGAGGTAAAGAATGTAAATTAAATTATTGTTTTAAATATATCAGAATTTCATAAGACAGCAGAATTATTCACAGTAGTAAAAGTGTGGAAACAACCCAAAAGTCAGTGGATGAATGGACAAAAAGTGGTACACGCATACAGTTAAATACTATTCAGCCTTAAAAAGAAATTGACACATGCTGTATACACGGATGAACCTTTAAGACATTATGGTGGAATACGCTGGTCACAAAAGGACACACACTCCAAGTATAGGAGGAGATAACTATATAATGACATTCATAGTAAGAAGGGTGCTTGCCAGGTGCTGGGGCGGGGTGGGGGATCGGGGTTACTGTTTAGTGGTTGCAGAGTGTCAGTTTGAGAACACCAAAAAGAGTTCTGGAGATGGATGATGGTGATAGTTGCTTAATAAGGTACATGTATGTACTTCATGCCACTCCACTCTCCACTTAAAAAAGTTAAATGCCAAGTTTTGTTATGTATATTTTACAATAAACAAAAAAAGAATTTCATAAGACACTCCAAAGTGTCTTAGGGAAAGAAGTGATACATCTGCACTATCTAAGAAAAGTAACTGGCGGCAGTGGCGGAAAGCCAGGCAGGGAGGTTATGAGAGGACAGGAGCTTGGAAGGCAACTGACCAAAAAAAAAAAAAGTCCGTGCATGGGGAGGGGGGCGGTGGAAGGAAAGGGAGGGATGGATGGAGGGAGTGTGCTCACTTTCAAGCAGGTCGGGGACTCTCCCCCCCCGCCCCCCCAGCCATCTGTCTACGCGCAGGGTTCACTCTAGTACTTTTATCTCCAAAGGCTCCAGGGGTTGCCCGGGCCCTCGGCGCCCCCAACACCAAGGGGCCTGGCTGTCCGGTCCAGTCAGGACTCTGCAGGGATCCCCACTCGATCGTGCTACTTATCCTCCCCGAGCCTCAGTTTCCGTACAGGTACCCAGGGCCGACGGGACCACCAGCCTTACAGGCGGTGAAGACTGAATGATGGGACCAAAGCGCTGCCCTAGAGTCTGAGGAAGGGCTCGCGGTGAATTTTAGTGCCGCGCGGCAGTCCGGCTAAGCCCCAAGTGGGGCGTGGGACACTCTGCAAGGCGCGTGACCCCTCCATTCCCCAATACACGGCGGCTCCACGGCCCCGGGGGCCGGAAGCGGGGAGGGGCAGCTCGGGGAAGTTACGCGAGGAAGGGGCGCCCGCCGACTTACTCCTCCAAGAAATCCAGGAACAGTTTCTGACACTTCTCTGCCACCTCGTCGCGCACTTCCAAGTGCTGGCTGCCGGCGCCCGGCTCCGCTGCGGCCGCGAGGTCCATGGCTGCCTGGAGCAGAGGGGTCGCAGCCGACACGCTCCGCAGCCACGAGTCGCTTCACTACCGACGCTACAGCTTTGCGCGCGCCGCCGCCGCCAAAGCTCGCCCCCTCGCCCCGCGGGATGGCCGGAACCAATCGCGGCGCAAGAGCTCGCGGATTTCGCGCCAAACCTGCCCAATGAGCGCGGCTTCTCCCTCAGCCCCGCCCACGGAGCCGGGATTTCGCGCCAAATGCTAAGACCTGGAGGAAGCCCGCGGGTTCTGCCTTTGCGCCTGCGTAGTGTGGCCGTGTCACCGGCAGTTTGGTTTCTGAACAGGTTGAAAGGTTGGATCTCGGTTCGGGTGGTTTTTCAAATGTTCTTCAAATCATTTCACTGATATTAACTGAGCAGTAGACATAAAGCTCTATGGAAAAGAGAAATGAGTAAGATTCAGACCTGCTTGAGCCGTGTAATTGGAGGAAATAAACGAAATCACCGGGTAAAGCTGTACAAGAGCCCAAAGAGATGTATAAATAGTACCAGGGAGGGGCGTGGGCAGAGTTATTGTAGTTGGTGCTGACTGGGGAAAATCAGCGAAATGTTTGACATTGTTGATTAACTCCTCTCCTAAACTCAACTGCTGGTTTGCGTCCTCTTGATTTTCTTTACTCTCTTTTTGGCAATCTTTACCCAACTTCGTTCCGCTTGCCTTTTCTCCTATTTGGTCATTTTTGGTTAGCTTTTGTAGATGCCTCTTCTTCAGTGAGCCCCTTAAGTGGTCTGGTCCCAGGGCCCTTCTTTCTCCTAAAGAAGCTCTGTTGGGCGACCCTCTTCATTCCTGTTGTTGCAGGATCGTTGAGTAAGCCTGGTCAAGAAGGAATTCTTGAGGGGTTTTACAGTGCAACTTAGCAAGTTTACTTAAATAGCACGGGGCTAGGACCCGTCAGCAGAAAGAGCTGCACCTTTGCTGTGTGAAACTGGTGGTTATATACTTAGTGTTCAAGGGGGAGGGGACGTGCAGGAAGTATTAGATCATAAATATTTTCTTGGAATTTCTACTCATAAAACTACTTTCACAAGAGTTCTCTGGTGCTTATTCAGCTTGATATTATTGGTGAGATGTACATGCAGTCATGAGACTCTTTAAGAATGTAGCAGCCAGCACTTATTTGATCCCTATCAGAATTAGGCAGGCAATAGGTCAGCCTTCTGAGCTAAAGATGAACATTTTTCTTTTTTTTTTAAGATTATTTATTTATTTATTTGACAGAGAGAGTGAGAGAGCACAAGCAGGGGGGAGCAGGAGAGGGAGAGGGAGAAGCAGGCTCCCCACGAGCAGGGAGCCCGATGCGGGACTCGATCCGAGGACCCTGGGATCATGACCTGAACCGAAGGCAGACGCCCAACCATCTGAGCCACCCAGGTGCCCCAAGATGAACATTTTTCTGCTTCTATCTCTCAATCACCATCGCTTCTGGGTGCCAATGACTTCCACCTTGTGTATCACCAACCAGTACTCTTTCTTGGGCTTCCAAGAGATTAAGAGAAGCCTGGACCACTTCCATTTCTTGAGGTTTCCACACATGAAAATATTTTTTTCTTAATGCCAAACAGGGTGACAAAAGTTACTCTAATTCCTTTAACACCACCATGCGTGTACAAATACACTCTTCACAAAATACAAGGTTTAACAAAAATGCTCACTGCTGATGTACTATCTGAGACTGTATGTCTTACCTCATTTGAAGGGGATGGGAACACTCGTGGCCCTGTATCCCTCAGCTCTTCACAACGTCCAGATTCTGGACATCACCACTTGTATGCATTTTAGGAACCTCAAAGTCCATGTGCTACAGGACAGTCATAACCCTCATGCTACTAAGAATGGATCTAGGAGATAGCTAAGAGCAGTTTGCTGACCTGATTTGGTCTCTTGCTCTCCAAAGTTCTCATCTTTCTTTCCCATTTTTCCTTTCTGCCCTCCTCTTTCTCTTCTATCCTCAGGGTCAATTTCTCCGAACTTTAGTCTCACACACAGAAGGAAAAAAGCAAGGAAAAAGAGCGCAGAGTTCAGGCTAATTCGGAGCTATGCTCACTGAGAAAATTGGGATTTCCTCTTCTCAGCTCTCCACACCTCACAGGTCCTCCCTTCCTCTCTCAGACATGCACCTGTGGCCCAGAATAGTACATGAGGTCTCCAAGTGAGGGTTGTGGGGATTCTTTCCATAGCAGGAGGAGGGTGTGGGTTATGAAACATCTCTCTGCTATGTCCCAGAGAGTCATATGCCTGTGGGTATGTATAGGCCTGAGACTGCCATTCTTAGAAAGGCCTGCTTGCAAGGTTGGCCTTTGGCTGGCACTTGGGAACTTGATGGGTAAAAGTTCCCTACACTGATAAGACACTTTCCCTAAATGATAAGGATGGCTCACTGTGCCTAAAATGTTTGTGCAAACAATGTAGTTTATGCTGAATTTGTTCTAAGAGTCTGGAATCTTGATATGTGCTAGTTAGAGGGTGCCTATGTGACCAGACCCCAGTAAAAACTCTGGGCTACTCTAATGAGCTTCCCTGGTAAACAGTGTGACGTGTGTTGTCACGGTTAGATGCTGGGGCGGAATTAAATGCATTCCCTATGACTCCATAAGAAGAGGACTCTGGGATGCTTGTGTTTGGTCTCCTTTGGACTGCTCCATGTGCCTTTTCTCTTTGCTGATTTAATTTTCTATCCTTTTGCTGATTTTATTTTCTATCCTTTTGCTGTAATAAATGGTAGCTGGGAGTACAATTATATGCTGAGTCCTGTGAGCCCTCCTAGCAAAGTATCAAAACTGAGGACCCCCAACACTATATATATATATATAAAACCTTCTTATAAAGAGAATTTTAAACATACTCAAATATAGACAGAATAGTATAATGAACTTCCATTATATAGCCCCAATAACTGTCAACATGTGGCCATTCCTGGTCCAACAACACACTTCTCTGCTTTTCCTTCTCCACTGTTACTATTGTCTTTAAAAAAACCTATTTTAGAATGGTTTTAGATTTACTAAAAGTTGTGCAAGATAGTACATCCATTCTCATATATTCTGTGCCTGTTTTCCCTACTGGTAACATCTTACTATAATACATTTGTCACAACTAAAGAATCAGCTTTGGCACAGTACTATTAGCTAAACTCCATACTTTATTTGAGTTTTGCTAGTTTCCCCCTAATGTCCTTTTTCTCTTCTCGGATTCCATCCAGGATACCACATTACATCGTACTGTCATGTCTCCTTAGTCTCCTCAGGTCTGTGACAGTTACTTAGGCTTCCCTTGGTTTTGATGACATCGATAGTTTTGAGGAATACTGCTCAGATATTTTGCAAAACATCCCTCAATTGGGATTTGTCTGATGTTTTTCTCATGATTAAACTGTAGTTACTGGTTTTGGAAGGAAGACCACAGAAGTAAAGTATAGTTCTTACCACTCCCTTACAATTTTGAAGCAAATCCTAGGTGTATCATTTCATATGTAGACATTTCAGAATGAATCTCTAGAAGATACAGACTATTGGAATGTTACTCAGTCATAAAAAAAGAATGAAATCTTGCCATTTGTGACATGAATGAACTCAGTATTTATGCTAAGTGAAATAAGTCAAGCAAAGACACATACCATATGGTTTCACTTACATATGGGATCTAAAAAACAAAACAAATGAACAAATAGAAACAGAATCATAAATACAGAGAACTGATGATTGCCAGAGGGGAAGGGGGTGGGGGATGGGCGAAATCAGTGAAGGGGATCAAGAGGTACAAACTTCCAGTTATAAATAAATTATGGAGATGAAACTACAGCATAGGGAATATAGTCAATGAGATTGTAATAACATGATGACAGAAGGTGACTGTGCTTATGGTGAGCACTGAGTAATGTATAGAATTGTTGAGTCACTATGTTGTACACTTGAAACTAATATAACATTGTACATCAACTATATTTCAATAAAAAAAGGGCTATTTTTCCAGAGACATATCTTTGGCTGGGAAGGAACCTTCCTTCAAACAGCTGTAACAGTACAGATTAATGATGCTGATTCTTTTAAATCAAACTATAATAATTTAAATCAAACTATAATATTTTCCTGGATTACCAACACTTTATCTCACTTTGAATAAAACTACCAGATTAGGGCGCCTGGGTGGCTCAGATGGTTAAGCGTCTGCCTTCGGCTCAGGTCATGATCTCAGGGTCCTGGGATCGAGTCCCGCATCGGGCTCCCTGCTCCTTGGGAGCCTGCTTCTCCCTCTGCCTTTCTCTCTCACTCTGTCTCTCATGAATAATAATAATAAAAAATCTTTAAAACAAAAAAAAAACAAACAAAAAAACTACCAGATTAAATTTTGATGTGATTTATTTTAGCTGGTGTGCAATATTCAATAAGATATTTACCAAACATACTATGAGGTATTTTTTTCCAAGTATAGTCAATCCCCAACTTATAAAATATTAATATATCCAATCTCTTATTTAACAGGATAAGAAAATTTTATGCTAGCTACTGACCAAATTAGTTTTTAGCAGTACTTGATGAAATGCCTTTTTAGTCATTTGCTTTTCTCTTTAGTTACCTACAGATGAGAAGGTAGGATTTGATCATGATGTATATCAAATGTAGGGGTGAGGGCAGTGGGAATGATGGCAGTTTTTACCTATTTTTATATGATACTTGTTTAATTTTTCCTAAAAGCTAAATATCAGAATTATACACATACACAGTTACTGAAAAAATATTTAAAACTTCCATCATACTTCTCATTTCACAATTTATTTAAACCATGCCTTACATTATATTATTATAAATTAAAAGAATGAGAAACCGCATTCAGATTTACTCTTGGTTTTATAGCTGTTATAAAAATGGATACATTAATCACATTGTACCCATGTTATTTTAATATTGATTCAAGTTTTTAATCATCACCTTTATAAATTGTATTCCATATTTAGTCCCCCAGTGGTTATTAGACTATTCCTCTTTTTTTAAAATATTTTATTTATTTATTTGAGAGAGAGAGAGCGGGAGCATGCGAGACAGAGAGAGAGCACAAACGGGAGGACAGCAGAGGGAG